GCCCTAACCGACCAGGGGAAGCGTGAACCACCCTTTGACGACGAGTCCATCAATCCTCTCGCACATAACCATCCCTGCATGGGATTTGAACCTGCGAACCAGAGTAATCAAAGGTGCGGTGGCGAGCATATTCCTAATGCTTAGCACGATGAGCCATACCGCCACGCGACACTTAGATGATCATACAGTCTTAATGTCGTATTGCTCCCTCCAGTCTTAACCAAAAATTTAAAAAAAAAGTGTCTACTTGTTGTACTGTCTGACTGCTGTATGTATGAAATCTATCTATCTCAGTATCTACAACATCTGAAAAATAAAATTAAAGCACTTGGAGCACAGGAATATGGTGGACATAATTATGTGAGTTTTGAATTGTACTAGTACCGGTATTTCCTCAATAACTGGTATTTCCCTTTGGGCTGGTGCCTGTAAAAACAGAAAAATGTTGCTGTAATTCAAATTCAGTAATATCTGAATACTGGAATATCTCGATACTCACTGTATATTTGTATATTGTACTCCAGTACTTAAATAAAATACAATGGAAGAGATAAAATGAATGTAAACACAAAGTGAAAAGTGGTGTCGTAAATCTGTAGTGGACCTCAGAAATCGAACCAGCTGCTTGACGACAAGCAGCCAAGGTTCAAAAAACATTCCTGCAAGCTTCCGATTCCAAGATGTTTCGACATTTGCCTCAATAAAACAAACATTCTATTTTTGTCTGATCACGCCAAGCTAGTCATGGTAATAATTTAAATTAATTGTGATGTGCGTCGGCCGTCATATGACCAAAATTGCGTTTATTTGCTAAAAACTCTCAAATGCTATGAAATATGGCAAAATTTCTTTTTCTACTGCAAATCGGATTATTATTTTCAGAGGAATCCAATGATGATGTTTTAGATTGCGCTTCCATTTAGTTTATGCACTCCACTGTTATAATTGATGTATTTTAACGTCGGGGCTATTCTTGGAATCAGAGAACTGTACCGTACTGCTTTAATCAAATCATTAATCAAATAATCTGGAATGATAAACCAGAATGCTATGTCGATCCCATACCTGACCTGGCATTGGTATAATTATGATGTGATGTTGTGGTTGGCCTTATTTTTAAGTAATAATGAATGCACTAATTCGATATAAAGAACTGAGCATATTTGATTGAAGATGATTTCGAGATTGAAAAGTGGAAAATGGAAAATATCAAGTTCTTGTATTGTGCTCTTGTTGAGGGTATAGAAGTCCTATCAGTTGTATTTAGATAGTTATTCCTTGAAGAAATATTTAAAAAGAAATTATGAATAATTTTATTTAGTTTAGAGCCAGTTATTTATTTTATAGCAAGTGAATATTTACATTTGGATTATTTCGAGTAAGGTAAATAAATTGAGAAAAAGCTCGCTGAGGCTGGGTGTGAAGTGGGCGTTTTAAATTTGTAAATAATTTGTGCAAATTGATTCAATTCCTCCATTATCACGAGCAATCAATTTTATTTTTGCGTTATGGTATTTACTCATCTGTTATACAGAGGATGTGTATAACACAAAATAAGAGAATAATCAAAAACTACATTCAACTCATTTGTACCAATGTCTCAATAAACTTGTACTTCTAGCCCAAAAACAAGCTATGATGGCGAAAACCGATCAATATACTATTGTGAATACACTGTATGATATTGGATATTCTAAATTAGTTCATGTTCATCAAATAACACATATAAGTTGATATATAACTTATAAGGAGTGATGTTAAATTTTTTAATACAGTTAAGTAAGATGAAAAATTATGTGATTGGTTCTCTCTATTCAAAAATTTATTTTTCCTGTATAATTTCATTTGCTCTAAATTTCAACTATTCTAAATTAAAGAATACTGAATACAATTAATTCCAAATAGATTCTAGTATTACCTCATTTCAGATATTCTCCGTAATAAGTACGGTATATAGAAAAAGACTAAAAAAATTAGGGGCTCCCGAAGTATGCGAACCAAGATGGCGGACGTCGGAATGTAATATGTGTACTAGGTTAGGGTTAGGCCATAGTTTTAGGTATAAATACTACGGGAGGCTCTTGGCTAGTCTTCGAACTGATAATAGGACTAAAATAAGGAAAATTGGAAAAAAACTATCGCCTAACCCTAACCTGTTACCCATGTTACGTTCCGATGTCCGCCATCTTGGTTCGCATACTTCGGGAGCACCAAAAATTATTTTTTTCATTTCGTCATTTTATACAATCGATTCATGCTGAATATTCGATTCATCTTATCTACTTCTAGTTAAAGTGAGCAAATAAATACACTGTGATTACTTGCAAAAACTAGGTAATTCAAATCATCAATGAGGATCTTTCAGCAGCTGTATTGGGAATACACAGCTTGGAAATTAGAATATTTTTTGACAAGGCATTATAGCTATGCACAATTCATAACTTTTGTTATTTATTAGGAGTGCAACAATGGAAGCTTTCTATTATGACATTCACAAGAGATTTGGTTTTTATATCAAAGATCATTAAAAAGTACTGCATAATCAAGTTTAGTCAAATACACCCTATTCACCGTTTGGTTATAGAAACTAAGGTTATTTATATTACATGTGATGTATCGATATAATATTTTTGTTAATCGTTTTTCACTTTTGTAAGAAAGGTCGTTCATTCTTTCTATAGAAATAAACTGTCATGCGATGGCATGTCTATTTAAATACTCAATTATTGATCTATGACGTTATTCATTGATACATATGTAATGGTTGTATATCTACATTTAACACTCCATGGTTGTTTTATAAATAGGATATTTCTGAATACGCAATTTTGTTGTGTGAATGCCAAGCCATTGGAGGAATTTTGTCTGAACGAATTTCAATTCTTGATATTTCGATGTTTTTTGAAGAATTTTAAATTGTGAAATTGGGGATTTTTATTTTTATCACCCCCTGTGCAACAGAATCATGATTTATGACAAATTGTATGAAGGATGGTTTGATTCAGGAGAAATGAATTTGCAGTATATGCAATTTGAATGAAGTACCCGTATGTGGTGATATATGATAATCTTGTGGGTTATTATCAGTATTTGAATTGTATAATTTTGTAGTAATCAATGTTTCATACCGAATACTTAAAGTGATAATTTTATAGTTATATAGCATATACCTGCTTTAAAATTTATATTATACTATTGCTTTATAATGTGATGTATTCAAAATCGATATTATGCTTATAAATCCATTTGGAAAGATGATAGGATTATAGCATGTTGCTTGAAAGTATATTGGATTCCATAGTATGTTAATTTGTTCTTGGTGAGAAAATAGAAAACTCCTAGGATAGTTAATAGTCATTCCCACTTGGGCTGATAATTTTAGTTAGTATTCTTTGTTCTCTTATCAAACAAAATTGACTGGTTATCCATTGTTGCTTTAAATCAAATAAAACAGCGCCAGTTTATCTTTTTCTTGGTGTTTAACAATTAGGATTGGTATTCTTTTCAAATTGAAGGCCACAGAGGATAAAGTCTAGCAATTTTTTGAGATAAATGTATCTTAAACTGTCATAATTCGTTGTAACTAACTATCTGAGATCAGTTAAATAAAAAGACCTGGTTGACCAAATGACCATGCCCATCCTATTACCAACACTTAGGTTAGAGGTAGGGATGGTTATATGGTTCATATCACCATTCGAATGGCCTCCCTCTCCCGTAGAGGGCATATTTGGCTGCCACTTTGACAGCAGGTTAGATCTTAAGGGCAGTTATGCATCTATCGGTCCTATGACTTAATTAAGTGAACGTTTCAAACATGTGTAGTTAAACTAGTGTGGCTAAGTAATAGACTTAGCAAGAATATACATCCAAGTCTATTTATTGTCACTTGACGGACATAATCTATATATATATGTATGTATATTTATGCTTAGTATCGGACAAGGTTCATTCTCGAATATGTGAAATATTATGCAACCAGTCATAGTGTGGGTTGCATGAGGTCATAGAGTTCATTGAACCAAATAAAGTAAATCATACTGATCTATGCTGTAGTGTCACAGTGTTAATTTTTTACTGCAAATACTTAATTATACCAACAGAGCGAGATAGAACAAGGAAGTAAATTTAGGAGGCTATAACTACCTGTTATAAAGCATTGTACATCAGGGTGCGTCCAGTGGATTGCTTTTAAAAAAAATGATATGGAACGATATTGTCTTTTAAAATAGCAATTATATTTAAACGTTTAAAACCGAGCTAATGATGAATGTTATTTGATCATTGATACATTGCATGGTATCAGGTTTGTTATTTCAATTTCTGAAAAGTACAAATTTGACTGATGGCAGTGTAGAAATGTAAAAGTCTTGATTTTTTCAATTTGTTTAAGTTTTTAGTACATAATTGAATACTTTTTAGTGGAGTTTTTAATTTTTATCCTATTTCTGCTACCATATACATGTAATTTCACACAGGGTCTTGCAAATATGGTAGCAATTGTAATCCAATAATCAGTGAAGTGTGACTGGCGAGATAATCTAAAACGAAAGTTTCAATGCTGTCAATGTCATGCTTCAATAATTTTTTGTCTATTATGAACTTCGTATATACCAAAGACGCAAAGTAGATTCATTTTCAAATTCATATCCACGACAAAATTAGTTTAGCTATGAATTTACGGGAATAAGAATTTAAAATTTTATAAAAAAAAGTGGATGGAATGATTTTGATTCTTCTAATCTAATGGTATGTATAAAGTTTATATTTCTGTTGGATCCAAATTTTGTTATAAAATGATTCTTGATATATCTTGACCAGGTTTGTTTTATTTAAATAGTTTTTTTTACTACATTTAATACACCTATAAATAATATACCCATAGTTAATTGAACAAAGCACCTTAAAGTCCTTTTAACTAATTTCATTTATGACTTTTTGAGCAATCTGTATAACTCATTCAAGTTTTCATGTTTTTTTCTCTATTTCATTGTCACAGTGTAATAGATAGTTATTAATAAAAGGATTGTTAATAGAAAAACCGTAGTAATTTTAACTCAGGAATTATACCTTATCGGATAACCGTGGATATTATTCAGCATCAGGATGGCAAACACAATAAAATCTATGGTCAGTAAGAAGAAACGAAGATATAAGGAAGGAGGATTCGATCTGGATCTCACATGTAAGTTGATAGATTTCATATTCGAATATAGGCCAAATCTGATGATAACGTGCCAAAAAAATTATGCATGTAATATACCAAGTTATTTATATTAAATTTGCATGACTAATTCATTTCAGTATTTTAGGGAGCATAAGGTACGCTTTGAATATTTCGTTCCGTCAAAAATAAATTGTCAAGCTGGAACGCCTCGTGTTGGAATCAGGTAGTTCCTTATAGCCTACACTCAAAACCAGTAACACCCAATGCACCTTTCGTATGAATGAAAACCCAATTTAAGCAATTTATTGACAGTGCGCCTTATGATCTGTAAAATATAGTAGTTTTATTTTTAAATATTCTGACAGCCTTTAAAGAGATGATGAAAACTGCCATTGCTAAAGTTTCTAAGGTAAAACAAAAAGAATCTCCAATACATATATATAGCAAGGGCTAGGAATTATTTAGTTGCTGTGTGCCATGCTTTACTCTGTCACATTGGGAATCTTTGCTAAAACCAAAAATACCGTAATTGTCAGCATTCAGTGTAGCAGTGAAATTGTTACATACAGATACAGGTATATGCAAAAATATGGATTGTACTAAATTTTTAATATGAATTCAAGAAGAGTATTTTGGTTTATTATCAAAATAATGACTGTCCTGCCAGTGATGGCAAAGTAAATTATATTTTTATTTCATATATTTGGGAATGTAGAGAGTAGGATTACCAGGTAGCAGTGAACGATTATGGTATTGCACTTAATTTGTTTTTTTTCTAAAAATGATCATTGTTTGAATATTTTTCAATAATGTTTTCAGCAGATGTTTAAAACTTTCACTTTCATTATCACATTTGAGATTTGATGGTAACTTTATTACGGTAGATATAATGTCTTGAATGTGTTGAATCATAAATGCTATATAACAGCACAATAATGCTTACGAAATGACTGCAGAAAAAAAATTATAAGCAAGATGGTTTTTGACTCGGTTCTTTCATGAAGTTTAAATTAAGCAAAATAAAATCTCAAATTCTACTGAACTGAAGCCGTAGGGTCAATATATTATATCCCTGATATGATATGAAGGTGAAGGCATTCGAAAAACTGGCAAAAAAATTACTATGTTTTTTTCCTGTACTCATTCAGATATCTGTCCAAATATTCTTGCGATGGGATTCCCAGCAGAAAGAGTTGAAGGATTGTACAGGAATAATATTGATGATGTAGTCAAGTAAGTAACATTTGAAAAACGAAATTCGGTTTAATTCACTGATTGATTGCAGAAGAAAAAGACAAATTTTCAAATTTTTACGAGTTTATGAGCCAAAAATATAAAACTTGATTGTTATTTGACCTCAATTTTGATATGGACACCCAGCCATGTGGTTGCAGTAGTACCTTGAAAATTAAAATTTTCAATCCTTTTTTGGGCCAAGAGTTGAATAACTAAGTAACAAAAAATCAGCCATAAAATTCATTCATACATGAGTGGCTTTAAACTTTGAGTCATAAGAAATAATCTAAAGATTTTATGTGAAGATGTAAATCATCATATTCTAACATGAGAAGTGAGTTGTGTTGTATTTTACTCTGTAATATCGTTCTTTTTTTTTTTCAGATTTCTTGAGTCGAAGCATCCCGGCCATTATAAAGTTTATAATTTGTAAGTACATTTTAATGGTCATAATATATTCACATGTATATATTGTATAAATATCATATTTTTTTTTTATTTACAGATGTTCTGAAAGGACATACGATACTGAAAAGTTTCACAAAAGAGGTAAATCTCATTAATTGATTTAGATAGCTTTTTAAAAAAAATTCGGTTTAAAACTATTTTGAAATATTGAATATTCTAAAAATTCACCATGATAAAAATTATTGGAAAAATTCAAGTTGAGAAAGAATTGTTATTGAAATAAAGATGTAAACATAGCTCAATATTTAAATCTTGCAGCCAGTTTTCCTTAATCTTACTTATAAATATTAATTGATTTAGATAGCTTTTAAAAAAATTTCGGTTTAAAACTATTTTAAAATATTGAATATCCCAAAAATATACTATGTTGGAAAATTATTGGAAAAATTCAAGTTGCGAAAAATTGTTGTTAAAATAAAGATGTAAACATAGCTCAATATTTAAATTTTGCACCCAATTTTACCGTAATCTCAACAATAAATAGCTGTATTTCTTGTGGACATGGTGACCCACTGCATTACACTTACAGTAACTATGGTGGCATATTTATTCGCCACCTCACCCGAGGCGTAATAAATTGGGTCTGCAATGCCAAACTATAGTAACTCCTTATGTAGCAGTGAGTGATTGTGTAGAGCCTTGTTCAGAGCCAAAAGAGTATAAAAAATACTAAGCTGTTGGTTACAGATGTTTGTATCCTAATATTCTTAATAGAGTCTTGTTTAAAAAATTTAAAATTATTCTGTGATGTTTCTGTCACCAGGATAATTAAAATAGCTATCTTTCAAAATATAAGGAAAGTTTGAAACATTTTAATATGGTTGGATTTATATAAAATATTGGGTCTTCATTGCAAAAAGACTTGTGAAGTAGCTTGGGTGATTATTAACATTGACGTAACCTATGTTGCAAATTTACATAATCAGCACATTGATTAATATGCACAATCAGTCATTTCCTACTATCGAAAAAATCAATTGTTTTTAAATTATGCAACTCCGTTTGAGGTTGGTCTGTTTATTATTCATTTAGTTGCATTTGAGATTCTGATTCCAATTAATTTATTATTCAATATACATGAGCCCTTTTACAAATAAAACGAAATGAACCTTTTTTTTACAACCCTAGGAAATAGAGCTTCGAAATAGTTCTGAGAAACATTTTTGTATTTCAATCCAATTTGATCAAAACTGTTTCGAATTTCAAGTCATTAACCTATTATATATTTCATAGATTATGATTTCAACTCTAAATTCTCGCCAAGAGATTGTCTAGCCCAGCGCTTCTCAATCTTTTTTTTTCTCTGGCCCCCTTTTGTTGCAAAAAAATTCTTTCTCATGCAAGGGAAAAACTACAAAAAAAGCGAATAATTATCTTCACAAAAATATACACTTCCACTTCTTTTTAATCAAAATAAAAATTACCACTCAGTTTTCAAAAACAGCATCATTGCTACTTCAATCAAATTATACTAATTTATCAATAACTCTCATAATTTTTAATATGTTTGCGGCCCACCTGAAAATGTTTCTGTGGCCCAGCAATGGGCCATATCCCACTGATTGAGAACCGGTGTCTAGCCCAATGCCACTGATTTTCATGTTTTCAATACGAAAAAAATGAGTGGGGGTCTGGGGGATATGGCGGACTCTTAAAATATACGAAGGGCTACACAAGAGGACAAAGGTTGAGAAATGCTGTTCTTTATAAAATGCTATCTTAAAGTTAAAAGTAGACTTTTTTCGAATTCCATTACCAAATATGAATTTTCAATCCTTTAGTATTTTCGGTTCTCCATCATTTATATTTGTCTATTTTATTCATTATTTAATTTTTAGTTGCAGTATTTCCATTTGATGACCACAATCCTCCAAAATTTGAATTAATTAAACCGTTTTGTATCGATATGGATGAGTGGCTGCGAAGAGATAAGCGTAATATTGCGGCTGTTCATTGTAAAGCAGGAAAGGTACTTATTTTCTTATTACCTCTGATTATTCAAGTTAATCTTAATTTTGCTTTTTTATATTGTCATCTCAAGACTGGTTATTTGAATACCCTTTTCCCTAATCTAGCTCTTCAACTGTCCTGTGCTGTTCTGTAAAAGGATTGGATATATAGTTTTTTCTTTATTTTACTGTACCCATGAATGACGGTTTTTCACTGTTTTTGCACGTTTTAGCTAGATTTTAAAATGCAAACGAAATTCATTGATGCCAAATATAGTTTCTGGGCCTACAGGTCAGGTGAATTAGTATTTAAGATAGATTGAGAACTGACTTCACAGCAGAATTAAAATTGTAACTGGACTTTATGAATACCCTGTATATAACTATAGATACATCATACCGCCCATTAATATGATTCACAGATGAGTAATTGGCGTCATTTTTAGGGTCGAACGGGTGTTATGATTTGTTGTTATCTCCTACATAGAAGGAAATTCTCAGAAACAAAAGATGCCTTGAAGTTTTATGGTCAGGCCAGAACCAGGAACGAAAAGGTATTTGTATAAATGCTATTTATAGCTGAAGAACCTACCAGCCCTATTCAGTACACATTTCAATTACTCCATTCAGTAGTGTGTCAACATGACTCTGAATTGATATATTAAGAATCAGTATGAGATATTTATATTCAAATCAAACATATGAAATCATTTTTTAGAATGATATAAATAAATATTGTAAAAATATTGGTATGTCAATCTTGTATCAATAGCATTTTCGTTTTATCAATAAATTTATTTATCTTATTAACGGAAATGTCAAACTTGCATCATTTCTGTTGGTTTTTTTTATTTACAAATGCGGGCTTGTTAAATCCTTTAATAATAAAAAATTCAACCTATCGTGATAAACTAATTATGTGGAAATGGTCGAGCAATTACATTTATTGATATTGCTGTTATAACTGTCCTCAGCTCACAATACTTAGTTTATCTGTTTTAAAATATGATTTTTCATTTGACTGTATATGAAATATAGAATTTTGTAACTGTTTATTGTATAGCTTTGTAATGTTTTACACCAATGTTTATCCATAAAATTATATATTTTGAATTTTTCTGACTTTCTTTTTGTACAGGGTGTCACCATTCCATCTCAGCGTCGATATGTTGAATATTATGCTGAAATGTTAACACGGAATTTAACCTACAAACCAGAAACTTTATTACTTCACAGCATACAATTCGACACAGTTCCAGTTATACATAATTTGAGTAAGTTAAATTAGTCGCTCCTCACATATCATTAAATATCACTGGCTGCTTATACAGGGTCTTGTTCGGAGCAAAAGCTGCGAATAAGCATCAAACAGCCATTTTCTTTTCGATAAAATAATCTTATTTGTATACTAGTGTAAATGAAATGTCAAATAATGTATCAAAATAATTTCTTACCCTGTAAAAATTAGCAATTTTTATAAAACTTGTTATGCTTGATTTTATAGTCAAAAAGGTATTTATATATGCAATCAAAATTTGTGAAGAAGCAGGATTCCTGGAAACTACCTTTTTTAGTGTGATCAGATCATAATAAAATTAGTTTTTGTCGTAATATGGCATAGGCCTATCAATTATTTGCTAATATAATTCCTAATGAGTGGAATGAGTCTGTTTTCTATTCCTCACTTCTTCTAGTTGGCAATTTGTAATGCTTTTATATTGAAAGTCATCTGGTGGAGTTTTCATGAGTTAATCTTGGTTTTGGTATGTGTAACATTATCCTAAGAATATTTTATGACTAACATTACGGTTATTTGAATTTGAATTTTTGTATGAGTAATCAAGTTTACTTTCCTTCAATTTCAGATCCCTTTTTTGTTGTAAATCAGTTGAAAGTTAAACTATTTACGTCAAATCCAGACTTGGTTGTTCATAGCGATCATCTTTTAGTATTTGATCTTCCTCAACCTTTTCCTCTATGCGGAGACATGAAAATCGAATTTTTTAATCGAAAGTCTGTAATGGGAAAGGTATGTTTGACTTTAGTCTATTTATTGAGTTTACGCAGGAATGTTGGTAATCATTGATTTCTCTGATATAATTAAAACAGTTTTATACACTCCCTAGTGGCGTGGTTCTTAAATTCACATTATTCGCTACCCTTGTGCACCCCTGCTCATTTATGAAAGCACCCACCTAGTTTTGCTTGCACCGTATTTCCATCAATTATTTCATGCACCACATTTAATGAAAAAATAGCTGGCGAAGTAAAGCAAAGAAATAAATACATAACAATGGAAGGATTGAACAAAATGAATGCACTCATTACCAATGGTACATAGTGAAAGGCCTAGATTGTGGCCCCAGAGGAAGCTTTGGGCACCATACGAGACATCCTGCTAGTGATTGAGGTTGAAAATCTTGTGTGCAAATCAACCATCCTAATCAATGTGTAATAAATTGGGTAGGAAATCCAGAATCAAAGTCCTGGATCACCCAAAGATAGTTGCTTTTCACATGTCAGTGTCTGCTTGTACTTAGCCTTGTTGTGAGTGTATATAAAAAACTTACATAAACTCATGATGTAATTTCCTCAATATGGGAAATGATCTAAGGCTACCTAACACAAACTAAATAAATAAGCTAAACACAAACTAAATAAATAAGCTGAATACTTGAAATAGGTTCACACAGTTACACAGATGTAACTTTTTTATAACTTCAGATCATGATTTATGTAAAATTATATAAAGTAATAAAATTTAGCATATGATAAGATTATGCTCTGGAAGCATACTTTTTAATCAAAAATATTTGCAAATCAAAATTCCATGTTTCCAAACTAATCAGATTCAGACTACAGTTTATGTATACTGTATATTTATATATATATATGTTAGAGTTACTATTCAGTCTTTAAATCATTGTATATTACTCAACTGCTGCGATACGAAATTGGAATCATTTATTTATATACATAATAATTACTAAGAATCTTGTTACTATTTACGGTGTTCGTTTTACCCACATTCACATTTATTAATGCTATTTTCGTCAGACGTCCGGTACCATTGGAAGTGAAATACACAGGAAATAAACACAAGGTCATTTAATAGTAGAGCACCTTTATTCTAGATCTTCTTTATTGTTAATTTTGTATTACAAGATTTAAACTGATATTAGAAATCAAGCCATATTATGTGTAAACCACTGGTTCAATCTGTGATTCCTTTGTGAAAGAAATTCTAAATTGTCAAAATTTTCATTTTTGATGCTTGTATACTGGACTTTACTGCACAAGTAGTCGTACTTGACGTGTTGTGTAGTTGTCAAGAATACAACTACAAGTTTAATTATGGAATTTGGGTGCCGGTATATTATTATTCTTATTGTTACATTATAGAGAAAAATAGGTATGACGTCGTTTCAAAAAAAAAATTTCTACCGTAAATCTAATTTTGATAGAAATTTGGGATTTCATGTTCATTCTGAGGGTGAGGAACTTAATAGTAAATATTCATTACCGAAAGAACACATGATATCAAATTATCAAATCTGTGACCCTGTGATAAGATGTGTTGAAGGAATTCAGAAAACGTTGATCATGACTAGTTTAGTTTTTGGATGATTGGAGTTGTTTTATAATATAGAATATTTCTGAGCCATTTTTGAAGGATGTATCTTAAAACACTTATGGTGCAAAAGAAAAAATTTAGTAATATATAAAGAATATTGTTATTTTTCGTGATGTTTTGCATCCTGCTAACTGTAATGCATGGGACGCTGCCCTAGTGGTTACCGTGACTATGATGGCATCACAGGTTAAAATCTTTGGTTCAAATCCTATGCCCATCAACCCTAACCAGGGCATAATAAATTGGGTAGGCAATGCCAAACCGGAAAGATTCCAGTCCTACCAAAAGAAGTAGCTGCTTACAGAACCTTATTTGGAGCGAAGGTGGACAGTGTGTGATATATCAACCCTAACCAGGGCATAATAAATTGGGTAGGCAATGCCAAACCGGAAAGATTCCAGTCCTACCAAAAGAAGTAGCTGCTTACAGAACCTTATTTGGAGCGAAGGTGGACAGTGTGTGATATGTCATATAAAAAATGCCAATTCAGGTTGCAACAAAATTTCAAATCAAGATATTTTCTAACATTCTCTAGTGGTAATCTTATCCAATTTGGGTAACAATTTAATTTATAACTTGATTCTTTTACTTCTGTTTCTATCTATATTTCTTCTACTTGTGTGTGTGTTTACTGTTCAGATCATTCTAAATCTTTTGTAATAAACGAAACCAGTTTCGGCTTTTGGCAACATTTGCACAACATGAAACTAAAACCAACAAGTAGAGTAAACATTAGATTAAGTCACTAAACAGGAGATACCAGTGGCTGTCACCTGTACCTATCCCCAAGAAGTCAGGCCTCACCCCTACGACGACTGTTTCTTGTCTAATATAAGCCATAAACAGGCCCAAACTACACACTGCTTCTATGGCAGACCTGACTGTGTACAAATAGACAATTATTTATTGATAATCTTTAGTCGAATTTCGATTCACACCTTGTTGAAACAATGTTTGAATAGTAGCCTATCAGTCACTTTATAGGTTTAAATTCAAATACATAGTAATATATATATTCATTATTAAGTCCTGTATTAGGTTAAGTAAAAGAACTTTGATGTGCTTAGTGCAACTAATGGTGGACATATAAAGTTGTATGAAATTATTAATAAAAATTGAATATACACTGATTAAAATAAAACATATATTGAAAACTAACGAACAAAATTGAAATTGTAGAGACAGCAGGACTTTCTGAACACCCTGCATATTTCTGATAGATAGTATCCCAGATCCTTTTTTTTTGTCGACTTTTCTAGTGACTTGATTATCACAAATTGATTACAAGGATGTAACCTAAGAATTTGAAGGTCAAAAAATCCCAAACTACGGTCTCCTAATATTCATAATTTCATGTTTTTGACACAAATCATGTTTTTGAATGGTTGTGTATATTTATGCTTGATTTTACATCAAGTAGTCATAAAAAAAAAATTATTTAGAATGTTCAAGATTATGTTTAATAGGATTTTAGTTATGTATGTGGTAGTTCTTAATCAACAAACTGTTTGCTTACCAACAAAATTAGTTTATTCCTTTTTCTAACTTTTATAGATACGGTGACAAATTTTGCAAGATTATATTTATTAATGAGGTGTAATTTTAATAAACTTTTTTTTTCTCGTATGTAAACATGAACCAAAGTTTTTTTTTAAAAGTAGAATAACTTTTTTAACAGTGAGGTTCAGAGTTGGCGTACTTCATGCTCTCAGCCGGCAGCATCTAATTGTAGTCATTGCAGTCTGACATGTTGGTAGGCTATGAAATTAAAACAGTAATTCGGATGAATAGTGCGAATGGATATAAAATTCTTAAGCTGTGTTTACAATATAGAAATTAGTGTATAAACTTTACATTTTTTATACACGATATACCGTAACCAGAATATATATTTGAAACTCTGAAATGAATGGTGCTTCAATTTGAATTTCAATACATTAAATTAGGCATTTCATTTATCAAATTTTGTGCTTACATAATTCGAGTATCAGGTATCATAGGACTTTGATGAATAGTCTTATTACGAGTAATCAGAATCATGAAGATATCAATTGGTTAACAACATTTACATCTGTTCATATATGGTACATTTATCAAATGAGATACCAAGCTTGATTCATATATGTTTAGTGTGTCTCCGGTTCATATATATATTTTGTGAAAATTGTGTTCTGTTTGAAAATGATTGATGATAAACTTCTCTATCCGTAATACACTTAGGCACTGGGCAACGCCAGTCATCAACACATCTCACGTTTATTGCGGTATTGCAAATTAAGACTGTAATATCTTAACCCTGTCAGTAATAATTCACTCATCTTATAAGCTGTCTACTGTTGCCATGACATGGAACATGGAAGCATGCATCATCAGTGTCCCAAAGATAGCAAGTACATATTAATACATAGCAAGTACAACTTGATATTTTAATAATTAATAAATTATAGTTTTGTATTTGTTGAAGAGAATATTCTAATGCATTGTGACATAATAATCATTATATTATAATATTTCTACTAAAAATGGCAAATTTGAAGTGCTTGAGCCCTCTTCATTCACCATTTATCCGTTATCTTATTTTTTTTATTTTTTTACTTCAAACTGAATATATAATATATGTACGGTAATATGTGACTACTAGTTGAAATTTCATCTAATTGCATCGACTCTATGTGTTTTCTTGTTAAGCATTATCCACTTTGCATCAATGCTTGCAGTTTTTGTCAGCACCCTGCTCAGTCAAGATTTCAGCTTTTAGCATACCCAGCATATCGGTTACAATGTGTGCTTAAACCATAGCCATTTTTAAACTTCATTATAAAGCTGTTGAATTTCATCAATGCTTATATCATAGCAAGTTTTATTAAAAATGTCATGGAATATTCATTAATGAAATCATTATATCTGTCTCTCATAAGAAAATCATTTTGAAATGTGTGACTAAATTATTGAGGGTGTGTCAATGGTTTGCATTGAGGAAATAATGTATGTGAGGCATAAACATATTAAATTCACCCTATGGGCGATTGCAGTATTTCATCAGATATTGATCATATATGAAACATGCTTTTGATTTTCGATTCACCTGTTGTCCATATTTGATGCTGCCATAAAAGGCAGATAAATATTATATCCTACTGTATCGCTTTGCTGTAGTATAATTGTATGCATAGCAACAACAGTCAGCCGCGTTACCAATAGCGTGCGCTGTATTAGACTTAAAATAAACGCAATAAAATTGCATGAGTGCGAATGACATCACAGGAAATCATGATACATGCAACGCACATGACTCAACTACTCTCTTTTAACCACTAAACTTTTTTAAAACGATATGAATTTAACCTGTAATACTACTGTTTATTTTCTAAATTGATTTATATCCTAAATGCAAATTATAAATGTGTCACATGGGTTAAGATTTGCCTGCAGGAATCACACACATACATTTTACTCTGCTCATTTTCCACATGGTTTTATAAATTAAAATGTTATATAAACATAAAATACAATCTTATAAATGTTGGGCTTCAAAACATTTTTGTCTAAGAACTACATATTAAATTGCAAATCGGGCAGCAACTAATTTGAATTACAGGTTAGTGAAAAAAACTGCTCAAGGGGGAATTCAATTTTATTAAAAATATTTTGCATTCGAATCATTATGCATTAATATGTAACAAAAATTAATCTACCATACAATTTATGTATGTTGTTTTTGTCATTTGTATTGCTTTTTTATCCAGAAAATATATTTTTATACTTTGATAAATATTAGTTCTTTTTCGATGATCGTCCCACTTCACTAAGGTTTCGTACTTACTTGTATGTATTAAAAGAATAATGAAAAAAAAATTATTTATTCTGGAATAACCTTGACAGCTTGGCCTGAAATATAAATATATATATCTAATATATATCCTTCTTTACTATTGTTTGACATGAACTATTGCCATTTGACTTTTAGAATTGACAATGACAAATGTATTTACGTCTCTATACAGTTTGCTTGGAATTGTAACACTTGCTTTTCTATTCTAGGTTTTCAAAAAATGGGCGAATACTAAAATTTTGACAAGAATGTTCAGTTCTTCAACCTGAACAGTCCACATTTATTAAAAAAAAACATATAAGTTTGGGTATTTTCATGAAACAAAAACAATGCATTCTTAGTAGGCTATCTAATCATATTTTGAAGGATTATTCAGCAAAATATTTCAAAAATAGTCACAGGATTTTAAAAATCAAAAATATAAGTTTTTCTAATTTTCATAAAACATATTTTTCAGGTTTTTTCCTTCTAAATAAGAGCGCATTGTAAACTTTCAAATTGATTTCCCGCAAAATATTGTTTTTTTAGTATGAAAAAGGCAAATTTTACAAAAATAGTGTTTCATTCAAATTTAATTCGAAAGACAGACAAGTTGCGTTTTTTTTCAGACAATTGCAAGCCATATATAAAAGTATTGGTGATTGGGTTTTGAAATCAAAATAACTTCCTTCGATCGAGGTTATGAAATAAATTGTGTTATGACTCTTTGTGTAGTATTTTCAATGTTTCAAACCGCCTTATATGGGTTTGGGTGCATGCATGAATGCAAGGCAATGCATTTCCATACAAGGTATTTGCAACATTGTTCTCATTGACGATGTATTTCTAATTGCTCATATATGATGTAATAAAATTTTTGTGAAATATTCATCTTCTGGGATTTTTAATAGTTTGGTTGTTCAATGCTGCAAAATAAAAAATATGAAACATGGTACAAAACAATAGAAGTTTTATTGTAATTGGAAAGGCAATTTTGCTTTTTATTTATTTGCAATTAATAAATGATCAACGGGACTAATTTTATTCAATAATAAAAATTAAAAAATGGTACTGAACTATGAAAGTTTTATAACTGGAAAGACAATTTTGCTCTCTAATTTCATTCTTTGCATTAAATACCTAATTGGTGCAAATAATTCAGAAATTTCGAACAAATACCATTGGAAAAGGAAATCAAAAAATTTTTTGGATTAAAAAAGCTGTGAGAAAATCAGCATGTTGAAGTTTTAACTATATATTATTTTGTTTTGCTATCTAGATATGAATTAGATTTTTCTTGGCCCTGTTATTTATTTATTTTTAACACTTAGATTTCTTTTACGCTGTATATATTACAATTTCAAATTACTAAAAAAAAATTTCCTTTTTTGTTTTTAGGACAAATTATTCCACTTCTGGTTCAACACATTTTTCGTTCAACAGATGCAAAAGTCAGAGAAATTAAATCTGGAAAGTACGAAAACTTTTGTTCTAGATATTCAAATGTTAGGATTTTTATTCATTTCAGAAGGATAGGATTTGCATATTCATCCCGATATAGAGGAAAGCAAATAAGATGGCATATTTATATGGTGAACCCCAATCTCTCGTGCGGTTACCATTTCATGTCGGGTTCCATTAGTTATTTTTTTGAGATTTATGGACTTGATGATGGAGGAAGCCACAACGTACCGGCGGTTACGTGAACCACCCTACAGCGACGATGAGTCCAGCAATCCTTTCCCATATAATTATCCTCCACAGAATTCGAACCTGCTAACTCACGGTAATTCAAATATTGGCAAGTGTTTTCCTGGCGCTTAGCACGATGCGACAGACCGCCGAGCCTTAGGATCTCATTCTCACCAACTAGTCCTCTGGTATTACAGTATGATATGTAAAATTTCATTTTGATTCATTTTATTCAACTGTATTGTTTTCTGCGTAGTTCGAGAATATTCCGCCCGACTTTGACTCCAAGCTATTTGAAAATTTCACAATCGACACTATCAATTTATGTATGACTCCTGTAATATGGGTTTTTCTTTTCGAAACCTTCTGTGTTGGCAAAAATACATTGTTCTAATAGATATACACCATTTTCCTGAAGAAAACTATTGTGTGCATGTCTTGACATATGGTTTGTAAGACCATTCACTCATAGTATTACTGTAACTTGTTTTAAAATCTAGTAAATAATGTGTATCCAATAGTGAAGTCTACACCAGCTTGATACAAAGTTCAAGATTCTGCCACCTTTCCTTTATATTTAATAAAGCCACATCCCACAGATTCAATTTATGCTCAGAAAATCTCCTTTTTGTAGCTAATACAAATTTATTTAATTTTCAGAGTCAAATCGAGAAAAATCTCAGCTGCCTAACGGCAAAGCAAGATCATACTATTATGTAAGATAAAATTTTGTTTTCAATAAATAATTCTTTTCTCGTTTGTATTTGTGGATTTAATTCTGATCTGTTCGGATGTTTGAATTCTATTTTTATAACATGATAAAACAACTGTCTATTGAAATATTTTGCCCTATTACATATTTATTAGTATTTCCACTGCAATGCATCTGTGTCATTTTCAGATATATAAATGAGACTCTGATCCCATAGTGGATTGTGAATAACTAACTCATTACTGAACCACTTTTTTTGTGATCTTATTTTAAATTTTTTCAACAAAGTACTGCCAAATTGGTTGGAAAAGATTTTCACATTTGTCCAGTGATCAGGAAAACTGATAAGACGACTTAATCATATATGGAAAACATCATCTTATCTAGTTACCAGTCCATGTCAAATGTGGGAACTAGTTATTTGTCACAGAAATATGGACTTACTGACATTAATAACAGACTGTGCTTGTCTTAGGAAGTGTAGTACATAGTCTATTTCATTTGGATGTTTCTCATGCCATTCCAAATTCCCAAATCTAAATTGGACCTGTTTCCATTATTCTGGGTCACCCTATACATTTCTTTATTAGTTCACTACAATTCACTATTATATTGTTCATACTAAAGGATTTAAATACATCTACTAGTCTAAATCAAATCGAGTTGCAAGGAATTTAATTGTTTCTTGTGGTATTTTTTTCAAGTCTAAGCATATGCCTTTGGAGAAAGACCTGTTGATGTTGACTATTCCAAAGTCTGAACTGGACAAAGCTAACAAAGACAGATCGAACAAAACATTTCCAGAAAATTTCAAGGTAAAATTTACACAAGTAAATTTTTTAAATATCAGTGATCTTAAGTACCTTGAAACATGCCCTGCCCAGCTCTTAGGTAGGGCTGGCTAATTTCAAAGACCTCAGGATTTCAGAATCGAATCAAATATTTTTTTTTCATATATTTTTTTTTTTTGGTAGTATGGTTTGGCTTAGTGAATGTCTTCGAATTTCTCACTTGTTGTATATATCTGAATCTATATATTTTCAACACTATTAATATAATACTCCTGGTTAGTGTTCTGTTTGCTGTAGCAATATTTCTATCATAAAACTTTTTGAATGATGCTGATTCTAAATTTATATATATTAGGCCTACATATTTTGGAGAATTGGGTTGGTTAATAACATATAAAATATTTTCTATATTACGTTTTTTAATCCTTTTTTTTGTTCATTTAATATCAGGTAATTTTGATCTTCAGTCAAACTGACTCAGTTGATTCTGACAATGACGTAGAAATGAACCCTGTCGTTCTTTCTGATCACTCCCCGAGACAACGATCAACCAAAACACTCGGAGGATCCTCATCATCATCCTCAAGTTGTGGCGGAACCACAACGCCTCAGTCGTATTCCGACCGAGAAGACAATACAGACGACGCGTCATTGAGCGATACGGATAACGAGGATGAATGGGCCGATGATGAAAGTGACAGCGGAAGCTTTGACGGACGAGGTCATCGTAGTACTCCGAGCATAGGACGAGTTCCTCGTTCTCCTAACGTGAAATCTCCAAAACCAGACCCAGATAATTCGTCAACTAGATCAGAGGCATGTCATAACACACATTTGTGATAATGTAATTCTTCTGGAATAACTATGTAATGTTAGCATCATGCTGAAGTGAACGGAAGCCCTTCATTGTAACAGAGGGAGAGGTTTGTCATTTCTTGCCTTATGACAGTGAGAGAAAGACCAAGCCGAAATTTGCATTTATCGAACCCAACCCCTAATTATGACCCCTAGTTTCCACTCACGAAAACGTAACAGGCAGAATTTTTTGCTTGATATTTGACATTGCAAGTATAGTTCCTCGTGAAAAGATGACAGGAAGAAAATTATGCATCCAAGTACCGCTATATCACCTTGCAGGGATTATAATCACAAATTTATAATATTGTCTATTTATTATCTTATGTAGTATTGACTGTGTTTCTGGTGACTTTAAAATATCAAATACTCTGACTGCATTGAACAACAACAATTTCCAATATCATCGTATTTTTTTCTTCAGAAACTTTATATAATTTGTGATGATAGTAATTAAAGCGCCAAGAGTTGGCAAATTTTTCCAGGGGCTTTCATTTGAAAACCTATTATCTGATTTTTGCTAATATTCTCAATCTCAATGTTCGATAATAATTATAGCGCAAGAACTGGAAACGAAAAAAGTGTGCAAACACATGTCTACCTCTTGATTAAAAATTGCAAGCCTTGCTATACTATCCAAATTGTTATAAAAGCTAAGGATGTTTGCCTTACAACTTTCCGTAATAGGACTGCCATATTGAGGTTGTAAATAAATGTGATTTATTAGGGTAATATAATAAACATGACTGGAAACCAATTGAAATCACAATGGCACTAGCTTCAGTGCCGGCCACTACCATGTCTCATCAGCCCAAATGCAGTTTTGCCAGCCAAAGCAGGGACTCCAAGCTATGATATAAAGGCTTCAAATTTACAATTGAACTTTTTAATATACAGATTTAACTCAATTCATTTATTTAATATTGAAAATTAAATTCAGAAAATAAATTATAAGCAAAAAAGGATAGATTTTATTATATCTACGAATTATCAGAAAATTATAAATTTGAAATAGTAGTCATTTCGGCTCCAGCTTCATCTTATGTGGCAAGCTTGGCTCAGGCTCCTGCTCTGACAAAACTTTACGACTCCAGGACAGTGGTTAAATTTAGATCATTGTTTATGGATCGTTAGAAGTTTGTCGTGAGGTGCCCAATCAAGATTTGGCAAAAGATAATGAAATTATTTTTTTCAAGCTATTACAACCTGCATACTTACAAGGTAAAAATGATGACCAACTTATCTTATGGTTGAGAAAAACGATAAGCCAAGCTGAGATTTCCATATTAAATTAGAAAAAAATCCCTCAAGATCAGCTTTTTTTTTATTATTATTTTTAAATTGGTTTTTAGCATTTTTATTTCGCAAATGCCTGTCAATTGCCAGTTTTTTTCTTAGTTTAATTTATTGAATTACAATCAACTTGAATGAGGAAGAAGAAAGCCACTTCATACAGACGTATATTTATGGCTATTTCTTTTTGTGATTTGAAAAGTTTTTAAGCAGGCTGCTTATGTCTGAAAAAATTATTTCAATGGAAATTTCACATATTTTGAAAAAAACCCAAGGTTCCAGAATGAGGCAGTATTCTCTTATTCTAAAAGTACTACCTACGAGACCAATCACTCTCTCTCTCGTATTAGCCCAATGCGGTGTAGAGGGGCTTGATTCATCGACTCGACATGAGTAGACTCAAGTCATCTAAATGGGATGACTCAGACTTGAACTCAACTAACCACCAGTAATATTTAACTCAGTGATCGATTAAATCGAGACTCTGACAACCCGTAACTTGACTTGCGACTCTGCATTTAGGAACACTGCTCGTTTATTTAAAAACTTTTTGATTGAAAAATTTATTTGTGATGGGTAAATATCTGGTATTCAGGGTTGATTGTGTTTTGTTAATGTTTTGGTTATTACAATAAGTCTTCCATTAATTACACATAAATTAACTTGCCTAATATCATCACATTTACCATTAAAAAATATTCATCTCATATTCGTGAATCGACAATAGTTATCGTAAGTGGTTATAGTTTTTCGGGAAATAATTTGAATAGTGCGCTATACCATAATAGATGTTTCATTCAGTTGGCATGCATAGCCATAGGAATGATAGTTTTGCCATTAGGATATATGAGACATTAACAAGTGTTTAGGAGTATAACATATTGTCAATCCTTGGATTTACTTAAAACATTCATTTAGTGAGTTACAATGTATTACTGTGAAATAACATTTATTTAACCCCTTTACCGACTTTAGTCTGAGCCTTCCCCATTGGTGTTTGGTCTTAATGCCCTATTGGTGAGAACATCAATACACAAAAGACTAAACAAAAATTGATTTAAAGGTCGGCAGAAGACGGCTTCTCGTTATCATGAGGGGATTTCGTTATTGAATAAAAAGGTGAAAAAATAATATAAAGTTCAGAAAAAATCTTGTGAAACTTGCAATACTAGGTTAAATTTAATTGTGATTTTTTATTTACATTATTGAAGCAGAATTGTTAATTTTCTTCCATTTTTATATTTACTTGATTATCATGTGCTTGTTCATGTTATGTTGCCGCAGCGTTGATATTTTGTGTTATGAATAAATCTTTTTTGACACCGTTTTTCTCTCAAATGTAACTCGTTTGTTGTTCCTAAAATTGAAAAATTAGTTTACATAAAGTGGTAAGTCAATTTTTTCAATGAATAATCGATTGTCATTTATTTAAGTGTAATTTATGATTTTGATGAATTGATTGTCTGCACTTGGTTTGATAAAAAAAAGGCATCCTAAATTTTCTGAATACTAAATTAACTTTATTTTTGAAGAAAATACAAGATATAAATAATGAACCATGGGTGAGAGCATCAGAGATTTAATATAAACAGACACATTTTTAAGACTGGAGGTTGATTACGTTCTTCTGAACTTTTTCAAGTTCAAAGGCCATATTTTTTTTTTTGCATAAAGATAAATTCACCAATCTCAGAATTCAAGAATTATATTATTATTTTATTGCTTGAAATGTTTTCAACAACTTCCGAATACCGAAGTTGGATCCCATACAATTCTATCATTCGAAGATGTTAATCAATGAAATAGTATTTTACATGTTTAATAATATATATTAACAGACTATTGTCAAAATGTGATATTACCAAATTTTGTATTTATGATGTGTGCCTTGCAAGTTATAACAAGATTGGAAATAATTCGATTACAGGAGGTAAAAATTGTGCAATTTTGCATTATCCAATTTTGTCGGCCCAACAATAATTTTTTCACGAAACAAATATGTGTTCGAATTTTGGGGAACTTGTATTATTAACACTGTATGTTTCCATTTCATTTTTTCTGCTCAACATTATTTACTTCATGCTTTTTGTTTATACTCTCCATCTCATGACGATTCAACCAAACGTCAAATGTTTTAAATTTTTACATGATCAAGTCAAGCTTATATGTTCTTGTATACTAGTATTCTAGATCAAAAAAATCATAATTGAGGCCTGGATTTCTTATTCTAGTATATTTTAAACCCTGAAATGATGTAATAAGTTTTCTTTAGGCAATTACTGTAAAACAGAACTCTGGGTTCACATAAGTTATCTTGTGTGCGCATTTTTAAAATTCACCCCCCCCCCTCACTCTGAAGGCTGTGGTCATCTGTTTCAATATGAATACAATTATTCCTCATCGGCCAATCTGTGAATATCTCTTGACTTATGTAAAAATGAGTGTTAGTTAGAAAAAGAGTCTTTCCAACACTACATAAAATGAACCATCCTTCAAATGTCTGCCATTATGTTCTATGAATTTGTACAATGATAGGGTAATGATCTGTCACTTTCTTTAAATCAGGGAACAGCCCTTTTGTACTATAACATTTTCATTCTGGTCAAGGATGTCAAATGGTAAAAAATTTTCTAGAAAATATTCCAAATTAACTGAAAAATTTATTATCGCGAATTTGACTCATTTAGGGTTTTGCTGCAATGTAAACCAATTCAAGAATTTCGGAATTGCAGCACAGAATTCGAAAATATTAAAATACTATATATGAATATTGTTGTATTTTAAAGGCAAGGTGGAGGAATTTTATGATATCAACATATAGCTTCCATTCAGTTAACTTTATTAATATGATTTTATTGTTACATATTTTTTGGTTTTAAATTTTCATTTTTAATAATGATTACTGATTGAGCGCAGTTTGTTATTTATATAGGACCATTCTTTTCATTTTTTCACAGGTTATCATTTGTTGTCATCAATATTTTGATTTTTTTTTGAACATTCATACTACCACCATTTTTGATTGTGTAACGTCATTCTTTTCTTGATTTCTTTCTTTTATAATAAGGTGTTCCCACTTGTATCATGGACTATTAAAATGGGGGAACACTGGGAATTGTATCGCCAGATTTTTCTTAAAGCATATTCGGAGGTAATATTAAACCTATTTCTTTCTTTCCTTTTTAAATAAATACAAATAAAAGGTTTAATGAAATTTCATTTGTAGTTGTTCTTTGAATAACGCCAGGGGACTTGGATACAAAGTGTGTATATGGATCGTTTTGGTATTATGTTGTTGTTTTTGTTAGTCGTTCTATTTTTCTTCTTCGCTTTTCTCATTACCTATGGACCATTGCATCGAAATTTCCAGTGGTTGAGGATTATATTTTTTGCTAGAAGGCTAATACATTTATTAATTTTTGAATTTTTTTTTGGGCTTCATGGGATTCGTTCTTGTTGTTGTTAACACCCTTCGTCTTTCTGTGATTGAAGACCCAGGAACACAGCGGCTTCGATTGGCTTTTCCCACAGGTCCCTTGTGGTTAAGTGTGTTGGTTTGGCTGGACAGATAAATATATGTGGGACGTCATGCGGGCCGGTTCTGTATTCAGGGCAGATATACCTTATTGCTAGATCAATGCGTGCCATGTAGTGGTTTGTTTGGCGACTCCACCCAGAGCGTAGTTGAGAGAGCGTCGTGTAATTCTGGGCAGGTAACTTTCGGATTTGCTGATTGGTGGTGGATACCCTCCCAGGACCAAGTTTTGTTCTTGGTGGCAAAGGTAGTCTGACACGAATTTAGTATGAATTTCTTGGAGTGCTATCTTTCTCGACATGTTGAAAAAGGCTTCAGCCAATTAAACAAACGTTTCAACCAATCCTTTCTTGACTTTTCGATGTAGCGATTCTTTGGTGTTTGTTATGTGGCAGGGGTGGTATTGGTCGTATCTTACATTGTAGACGTGTGCAGTTTTGAGGATAGAATATTTTTTACATTTTTCTGTAATTTTTGTCATGATAAACATGATCAAGATTTTTGATAATCGTCCATTGAAATATTATTGAGCGCGGTATTTCGCGCGTCATTCTCATATTTCCGGTATCACTAGAAGAAAACGACTCCGAGCGCCAACAGGCAGATAACCATGACAGAGAACCTGAGCTCAGTATTGTGCAGTCGTCGGCATACGAGATTATTTTAATGCCTTCGGGAGGCTGTGGCAACTTGCTAAGATACAGATTAAACAGTGCTGGTGAAAGAACTCCGCCTTGAGGCACGCCCTGTTCCATGCGCCGGTGTTTTGACTTGGCGTTGCGAAATTCAACAACGTTTGCCGGCCGTGTAGGTAGTTGCTGATCCATCTTTTGACAGTCGATGATAAATTAGTAGATGGTACGTCTTGCAAGAGAATGTTGTGGCTTACAGTGTCAAAAGCTTTGGAGAGATCCAGTGCAACAAGAACCGGTGCGCCAATTCGGCTTTGGTTTGTTTAGACCAGTGGTAATGATATCGTGGACCATGTGTAGGGCTGTTGTTGTCGAATGCCCTTTCCTGAAGCCATGCTGGTGAGGGGAAGGCATGATGTGCTCATTAAATGTCGGAAGAATTAGCGCTCCTAACAGTTTCACTACAGGTGTGAAATGGGGCAGTTCGACTTCGCTTCGTTCACGGGTTTCAACGGTATTATTCTGGCTGTCTTCCAGACGTTCGGGATAATTCAATTTTCGGTGGATAGAGACAGCCGCTTTGCGAGATATTTGTGGCATTTCACTTTAACGTTCTTGTGCGCGATGACGTCATGAAAATTGTGCGCCTCGTGGCGGTTCTGCGTCCGCATAGATGAGCGGAGTCAATAATTTCTGACTTCGAAATGGAAATATATGACTCCTGTTCGCTTCTGTCTTTTTTGATGCTTTATGTGACTTTTGTAATACAAGTAGTTCATGTAAACTTGAGTTTGGAAACAACTACAGACTATTGCACTACGATATATTCTATAAAAAAAACAGAACGAATTTTTAGCGTGAAAAATATTGATATATAAAAACATTGCGTTTATTAAAAGCAAGTCGTACAAGCATGAAATCTAAATCATTATTAATTTAACTCGGTTGGAAAATTTAAACTAAATCTGAAATCAGTAGAATGGATGGTATAAACCGGTATAACTTTTTACGTAATATCTATAATGAACGAGCAATAAACCAAAGCTGAAAATTATAAAGTTGCAATTAAATTACGCCAAATGTAAATAATGGTAAATTAACAAAACGTCCCCAATTGCTGTTACACCAGTGAAATTTATGATGCTCTGATGAATTCCCAAAATATCTATCTATATGATGCAATCTAACTGAGATGACAATGCATTTCCATTTATTAATTAAACATCTTCTAACGCTGAAAATCGTTCAACTCACTATTGCTGATTTTAATTTCTGTAAAATTTTGTCAGCTCTATTTTCATGAATTCAAAGACATCTCAAGTCTCAACACCAAAATCATTTTCTCAAAATATAAAATACATGCTTAGGGAATTTAAAATATTGGAATGTTGTACAAATGTATGTAAACGCTGTATCAGTACCGACCGCCGTCGCGTGCGGACGTGGCTACCTCGAGCCGAAGATATGCATTCGAGAAGTGAATCCCAGACTTAGTGACATCAATAAACAAATAACAGAAATAGCAGATTTTTTAATGATGGACTGGAAATGTGCAAAATGGAAGATTTTGTGATGGACGAAATTATGCTCTGCTCAAATATGGAGAAGACCGGATCCTACCGGATGGTAGTAGTATATATTTACGGTTAAACTGCACGAACTGATATTTGAAAATTCACAATCGATTTTTTCATTGGTGTTTTAACGTTTTAGTAGATTTTACTAGATATATGTTTGAGCATGGAACGGAAACATGCATTCGCATCTCATTCTAGGATTTTTCGGACTGTTTGTTTACATGCCGCATCACACGCACAGCGGATATTTAATTCACTGTTTTGTCTTTGAAAAGATTGCACGCAACCTGATTACCAAGTGAAACGCCTGAGTAATGACTGGCGTCAATATTCATGTTTATTTGTTTGTGTTTGTGACTCGTTTTCTTTGGTAAGTGAACGCGTTTAATACGTTTTAAACCTATTTTATTAGGTTTTGTTCACTTTCCAGATTCTTCGCCTTAATCTTTTGTGTATATGTGTTTATTTTGTTTTTGCGAATGAATCGAAATAAAATCTTATCTTAAGATGCTACTTCTGTTACGTTGTAAACGTACGTTTGTCGTATATTTTGCCACTGTATGCAGTGCATCGTGCTCTGCCTTGCACCCAATCATTGTAGACCCATTATTACCCTTTGTTTGTAGCGTAAATTAGTGTTATTATCTATTGTCTGGTTTAGCGTTTTCCTTTCGGTCATTTTGCATCACGTATTCGTCGCGTAAAGAGTCGCAGATATTTGTCTGTATTGTGGACTGTTTATTTATCTGTTATATATTTTAATTGTATTAGCCTCCCGGATCGGAAAACGTTTGGTGAGAAATTTGCCTTTTGTTGTTGTTATATGCTTTGACTTATGTTAATCAATTTTGTTTTATTTATTTATTTGAAAACCGCTGTTCTTTGCAAAGAATATAAAGAAGTGATTTATGCACGTGTCTTGTTTGTGGACAAAGGGGCTGAGAGTGGCGCGTTCGGTACGTTTTCATTGCGTCTCGTCGATATAGATTCCGGGCTATCAAAAGACGTGACAACTTCTTCATGCTGGAATGCAATACAATTAAAGAATCAACTGGAAGCGATATAATACTGATGTTCACGGCCTAAATACCCACGCCACGCCGAAGAAAACATCAGAAGAAGAAAGAAAACAGCGATTTTCACTATATATATTTGACTTTTCGAATGCGCAATCGCCCCCCTGCCGCCCCCTATTTTATCTCTTTTATGCAGTTGACCTTTGACCAAATACTTTCAACATATATACTCAAATTCTTCTTCAGTGTCAATTGGATTAACAGTGCTGTTTTCTTTTCGAATTGAAGAGTATGCCGTAACACAGTTGCCAGCATATGGCAACAACAAAGGACACGTTTGATATTTGCCAAAACCAGTTTTATGTTACTGCCCTGATCAGTGACATAGAAGGAATGTTCTGCTAAATACTGGGGAGGAACTCTAAGGATGCTAAGTATGACTACTCACAGGTATTCAATTTTTATCCGATTCTCGATTCCTCGACATATCTTGCCGAAAAAACATACCAACAATACTATATGAAATCAAAAACGAGAGCTATGTTCAAATATGTGGAAGGACAAGAAAGCAAAAATTAAGTAGAATGGATATTCAACCTGTCACAGTAGACAAAATCGCACAAAACAAAAAAAACGAATTCCTGAGAACCGACAAGACTTTTGAAATGAATAAACGTAAAAGCCTTCTAGCGAAAAGGACATATATGGGGAAGTTTACGACGTCGTAGCAATTCAGCATAGCAGTAAAGCAGTTTAAAGGTATATGTGAAGGACTTGCCATAAAACGTTACACATTGTTTGCAATCCAAGTTTTAACCTTAAGAATCGATTCCAATGCATCGGAATCGATTCTAGTCGATTCCGCGGAGACCTGACGCAAATTTCACTAATAAAATCCCAGACATGTTCGGGAAAAAAAACTGACGCATGGCAACCCCATTCCAGATGCATGGATTTGGATGTTGAAACACCCTTAACGCACAAACAAGTTCTTTGAACCGTCGAACCTTTAGATCAGCTATGTTTAAAGCATTCAAGACCGGGCAGATATTACTGCAACGTATTGATGTATATATATATTTACATATGTGTGTGCAATGACAAAAATTCATATGAAGCGTTTGATGCTCCCTCCAATATAAAGTAATAATAAATGTAACGTTGTAGTACTACATGTGACCGTGATAAGCCTTTGGGGCGGACATACAGTAGTTGGTCCTTTTGTTATAATGTGTTTTGGGGATGACGCCCGTTCCTGGCAGTAGTAGGACGGCGTGCATCGTTAGTATTTTTACGACCTAGCAATCGCAGGATCAACACCACCGCGTGGATATCTGTACGGCACAGGTAATAAAGCTATTGCTTATATCGCCTAGGGCAAAATTCCTGTATGACAACTTTATTTCGTTATACCGCTTTGCTCAGTTGAAGGCCAAGACTGCACTATACGGTAAATATACAGTTAGAGAAGTAATACGACTTAATGTGTTATAGTAAGTTGCGATTGTTATACAGTATATAATTTTCCTGTGAATCTGAATACCGGCATGAGGTTATTCATAGTCTTTTGACTATCTTCGTAATTATTAATTAATATAGTACCCCAAGCAGCCTCGAAACTTTGGAGATATTAGTCGTAGATTCATTTTTTGGTCAAATGTCATTACTGTTTAAATCTTAATATCTTTTCAGGAGGGGGGGGGGCAATATTTTGCAACTTGTGGCTCGGGCGACGTCATAATGTATGATTTTGATCGCGAGGCGAAGTGTCGGCATGGTCCAATGAGAATATATATATATATTATATTTGCATGGCCAAATAATCCCATCTAGCAAGTCGCTACCCTTGTGCTTGCACATACAATGTACTTTTATGTTTTTGATATACAGATCGTTGGCGATATTCTAAATACTATTCAAAAATTAGTAAAAATGTCTGCAACGTTGTCCTGTGCTCTTCGAAGTATCTTTACAATTTTGATGATGATTGATGTTGCTTATGGACAACTAAGTAAATTTGCTAATAGTTTTAGTTTAAAATAGACACTGCTTCTCTACAATTTTCGAATTATTTTGTGATGCTCGGTACATGGCCACAATAATGAAACTCTTGTACGTTTATCAGTGTCTTGTATACTGTTACCGAGAGTGATTTTTACACATCTAGTGTATGTTTTCTTGACCCCCAAACCATTTTCCTATACTTTACCTTTGCAAAAACATTTGAGCGTAATTTAAGATTTATTTTGACAGTTGGTGCTCACTGAATAGTTTGCTTATTTCAAGGTATTTCACAACCTGCGAATAGAAGCACTGATAAGTAATTTCTAATAGTATATCGCGTCTTTTGTACTTGGTCTAATATTTGGTCCCTGAACTAAGACTTTTCCGATGCCAAAATGACCATTGAGTTATTACATTCATTTCGGAAACATGATTAAATCACAACAAGTTACAAATATTACGGAATTTCAATAATTGAAGATGGCCTGTAGTTAGTGCTGTTTTTCTTTCATACAATAATTAACTTACATAATCATTTAAATTTAACAGAAGATGGTCTTTACACCGACTCCGAGCCAAACTGGATTTTAATTATGCTCGTGTTTATCATCACTTCAGCAATTGCGGCAGTGACTGGAATTGCTCTTTTATGTCACAGACCGCGTATTGCAGATCCACCTCTTTTCAAAGATCCGTTGTACTATCCGGGAGGACAACCGGTGGCTACAACATATAGGCAATATCCTCTTGAATATGATGCAATGGGAAGTGAAGATATGTACCCCATGACAACAAGAAACTTCAAACCGAGCTATGAGTACGGTGAACAAATCGCCACTCAAGAACTTTGAATGCATATAAGCCAGTGGAACATAATATGAATCTGTAGCTTATATTGATACAACGACTCTTTTTTATGGGATGGTTCTTTATAATTGTAAAATTTAAATTTTATTTATTGTGTTGGGTATTTGTGCGAGATTATCAAATACATTTATCAAAACCTGATCCTTTTCCGCGCATTAATACTTTAATGTTATTTTGTCGTTTCTAGTCTTAAAGTTTTCTTAGGCTTTTGCCTTTCGGATTGGCGATTAAATCATGTCGTACGACAATAGTCTGGTGCAATGTTTTCGAACCTTGTTGAATAGCAGAACACTTTTTATATCGTAATTTATTTGCGGAACACGAAACGAAAATTTTCGATTTTTGTGAAACAATTCAATAAGCTGATAATTATTTCATTCTGTTTTGGCATAGGAAAATCAACAACGATAAGACCAAACGCTTATAGCAGGGGTCACCAAACTTTTTTGACCGCGGGCCGGGTATGACTCAAATTGTGTTGAAACGGGCCGGATGAATATTTTTGTCAATGCAATACAATAAATTCACAAATGTTGGGAATATCGCAGAATATAGATCGAGAACATCCTAGGAAAAAAATTAACAAGATTTCTATATCTAGACAACTATCCTGAGTTTAGCTGTTATCAAAACGTTGCTGTCATGAATTAGAAATGTTACAAAATCCGCGGCAAAAAATGTACGCATCACGTCTGCTAAGTACCGTTACGCCGTGTTGAAATACCGCTCATAAAAACGACTGCCTGCTGTAGCTTGGAATTCTATGAAATTTTGACATAATTTAGATCAGGGGTCACCAAACTTTTTTGACCGCGGGCCGGGTATGACTCAAATTGTGTTGAAACGGGCCGGATGAATATTTTTGTCAATGCAATACAATAAATTCACAAATGTTGGGAATATCGCAGAATATAGATCGAGAACATCCTAGGAAAAAAAATTAACAAGATTTCTATATCTAGACAACTATCCTGAGTTTAGCTGTTATCAAAACGTTGCTGTCATGAATTAGAAATGTTACAAAATCCGCGGCAAAAAATGTACGCATCACGTCTGCTAAGTACCGTTACGCCGTGTTGAAATACCGCTCATAAAAACGACTGCCTGCTGTAGCTTGGAACTCTATGAAATTTTGACATAATTTAGATAAAATAAACAACTATTATCTGGTATTTGAATTTTTTCATTAGCGCATAAATTTCCCAACATTCGACGCTTTTATAAATTACGCTCCAGTTATACGTAGTGCAAATTATTGATATTGTCTATGAACACCAATAAAATTTATATGGACGTGTGTGTTTCTTGTCTAACTTGATACTTATCAATTTCTATGAAGTTCGTACAATCAGAACATCGTTAATTATTACCCACAATGAACCACTGTCAAACTATCATGCACAACTCCAGCGTTTATTTGCGACGCTCTTTCGGCGGTGTCAATGACCGTTGCCAGAATAAAATCCTGAAATTATCTCAATATACCATAGATGTGACGCACATCGAAAGATTAGTGATTGATATGTGTTATTTTTCCATATTTAGTACAGTTCTTATCAAAAAAGTAATACAATCATTATGGAAAAATTGGCTGTCGGGCGGTACTAAAATTCCGATATCTCCGTTATTTCTTGACCGTTTATTCCAAACTTGGTATTGTTTTCTATTTTTACTCAGATCTTTCCACTAGAGCAGTTTTTATTTAAATCGGATGAACTTCAATTTTTTTGTAACATACCTACATGAATATCCGCATTAAAGCAGTACAAAAGTTAGTGTGGCTTTTGAAATTGGAGCAGTACGCGAGGGATTACAGTACTGTTAGCACAAAATGCACATTCGACGTTTATTTTAGCACGAAAAACAAACAGTTTCGTCGAAAGCAAGCGCCACGAGTGTACAAGTGTATCGCAGAAAAACGTTACGTACTGGTAGCATTTCAAAGTCGCAAAAACGAAGTTTTGTTTACAACCACGACTGAATATCTGTCAGGGTGACATTAGTGTCTGAGCGGATGCGGAAAGGCCTATTATTACGTCACTTTTCTGCATCTTGCCGATTGGCCAATGTTACGAAATAAACAAGGACGACGATGCTCTTGAAAATCTTCCTCGGAAAAAATTTAGCCATTTTTGCGTGTTATTGCGGACCGGATAAAATGACGCCGCGGGCCGGATAAAATGACGTCGCGGGCCGGATCCGGCCCGCGGGCCGTAGTTTGGTGACCCCTGGCTTATAGGTTGGAAAAAGACATACACACATTTAAATTTATGGTATCAAAGAGCAAAGTACAATTAGAAGATTCATAAACTCAGAGCACATGACTCTTTAATACCTACGAGAATTATCTAAGAGAGAACTTTAAAACGAGATTCTGGAATTTCAGAGATCTTGCTGTGGACAGATGTTTTTTCCAGGCATCGAATACCTTGTTTATTACCATAACAACGACCGATCAGCAATACAAAGTTCTAATTACGTATTGATTAAAAGTTGAGAGGCCGTTCAAACTTATAAAACGTTAGTTCATTTTCGCGGTTTTGTATGCTCTTTGTTAGTTTTTAGTTTTGTTTCGAAAATTAAAGAATAAGTAAATTGACTTAAATGGTTAAAAATTTGTTTCCAATTAGCTGCGATCGGCTTAAATTACTTATCCATACATTTGAATGGCTTGTTCTTTAAACACTTAAATTGAAATCATGGTTAATATTTTGCAACGGTGAAACAAAAGGTTGGATGTTTTCCCGACCTTTAACCATTCGAAAATCCCCCTATCCTTTCACAATTGACAAGTTTTTAGTGCTATTTTGAAAGTATTTTTGCGAATTAGCGTTTGGAGACTATTTTTAAATTCGCCGAAATTTCAAGACAAGCTGCCTATAAAAAGTACTGACAACTAATTTTAGCTTTGTCCATCCTGGATTTCCCGTGATAATTTTTTTGATTTCGGTACTACTACAAATAAACCAAAGCTCTACCATTTGAAACAGATATAAGCAAATTTCCTTTCATAAAAGACACCGTCGGCGTCAACATGTTGTTGTTTGGCTATTGTTACTGATATGAACTCGGAAGCCTGCCCATTATCGCACAACAGACTTTTCTTAACAACAAATACGTACTCATTGATTGGATTTCTTTTTGTTATCGTAAATTACGCCAGAAAAAAAATTGCGAAACCTCAATTTGACGTGGAATACCTGAAGGTTATTCACCGATTGAAAATCACTCGTCTAGTAAAACAAAACTACTGGAATAACAAGGACCAGTGGTAAAATACATACCAATGATACATTGTAAAATTCAAAGTGTTAATGATATTGATAGGATGTTTTCAGTTTGGACAATAAACGGGAAGGACCGTTATATTTCACGAACCAACAAAACGGGTGTTTTAGTACAAAACAAATGTTACGTTTTGAAATCAGGTAACGTACATACGGATACATTCCTGTATATAACCAAACAAGTCTCGACGCGTAGAGATCTAATCTTTCAAGTATCGCATAGCTGTAATGTAATATCCACTTTTGACTGCGGTGATTCATTTGAATAAACTAGCTATAATAATAGTGACTGAATATATGTTACAAAATTAGCAGGCATATGAAATCAAATATATCATTATAAGTCACGTTTGTCACAGTCGGGAAATCATCCAAATTTCCCATGACTTAGTGGACCTGCATGTCCGTTTCTTATCATGACGTCATCGCGGTCAAACGTGTGTGATTATCTGCAAGGCAGACGTTTGTACGTACAACGAAGGAAGTGCTGAAACAGAAAAAAAAAACTGTAATTATCGCGTCTGCTAAATTTCGATCTGTCTGAATATGCAATTTTTGGCAAGTATATATTATACACCCGCAAGATTTGGAGTTATCTAACTTATAAACAACCGGTTCTGCGCGACTCAATAAAAAACAAGAAATTTAAAAATGCATTATTAATAAATCGTCACATAAAAACAACACAAATATACAAAATTTACAAAAGTATTTTGTGTGTTTCATTGAATAATCGTGATGACAATCTATTACCATATATGACCATGAAAGCAGAATTCAAATTGCGCGTATACTTACTAATACTGTTTAGTAGGTTATACGCGTTTGATTTTCAACACAGATGCACCGTATTTACTATAATGACCTATTTTTGGTGAAGTAGGTGACCGATACAAGGAAGTCGCAGTCAACATACGGTATTCAAATTTATTTCAATGCGCACTACCTATTTTACACGTCATTTGTCCCTGCACTCGAGGGGGAAGGGGATTGTTACGACTCGTAACTTCACAACAAAAGTTACTGTAATTAATGTAACCATATTTCTAATGAGGACGATAAGACAGATTGTTACATGAACATACAGCGATCGAAAGCAAACACGAATTTCATCTAACCAAAATTCCGTTTTACGTGCTGATATTTCATTACGTCACAATTTAGCAGCGAATGTGAGTTTAATATTATACATCCGAGTACGGTCACAGAGAAAGTTATCTTTTAACGCACAAACTATCTATATGTCATGCTCAGCATTGAAAATATTATGACGAATAGAATACCTGGCGTGGCGTAAAAGTACCATGACGTAAAGCGATTGAACGAGGAAGCTTGTTTGCAAAACCAATAGAATGATCTGAACTGCGCTACACTTTCACAAGTGTATAGTTTATAATAAATTCAGGCCTTGTATTATAATGACTAAGTGTTGGTTTCAAACTCAATTACTTTCTAAAAAGGACTATGGGGAATTCGTAATACCCGTGCGTTCAATACATCGATCTGTGGCAAGATTTAATCGACAAAAGTCATAAGAATGGGGCAAAAAGTTTATCAATTTTGCTTTGATGAACTAAAGCAAGCGTTAAAAAGACGACACGTCAATAATTATAAATGTTTATTCATTGTTTTTATATTTTTACATTTTGGCACAATATAATCATAATAAACTCCAGATAAGATAACTTCATGAAATACTCGCTAGATGTTTTATGATGTAGTTAGTAAACTTATGACGATTTACCAAAAGTTATGCTTTTATTAAACTAATTTTTGTAACGAATATTGTTGTTGTACGGCTGGATTCAATTGATGAGCGTAGAATAAGTAAACGCAATAAATCGGTAGAAAAATGAAATAAATATTCAAAATTTGACTTGAGGAGAACAGTTCAACGGTGTACTGATGTTGTATTATAGTCAGAATTTGTATTCAGAAGACTATCGCGAGCCCATGGAAAACGCAGCCAGCATGCGTTAAGGTGTAGTTCATTATACAAAAATAATACATCTTGACTGGGCTTTAAAGTACAATTTTACATATGCTAACTTTACACAGTATTGATTTCATTGTAAACATTATGTTTGCTTGAAAATAAAAATAAAATTGTTTGCCATCTAAATCTGAATAAATTTCAGAAAAACGCTTTCCCGCCTCTCACGTCGCGATAATTTTGTACTGGACAACGAAGATTGAGAACGAGATCTAGATTTGGAAGTTGGTGGTAACTCAACATCGGTACTAAGCGAAGCTTCATCGTGTTGATCTTTTTTGATCGACGGCTTTTTGTCGAGATTCCTATTTTCCTTGTTTCGTTTTCTTCTCGGCGCTGGTATAGGAGGAGTCAGTCCCTTTTCAGATTCTGATATAGTACTCCCGGTCATATTTTTTGAAGGAGACTGAGTTATATGTGAGATTCCATGAAGTTGTATGTCAGTCAAAGATTCCAGAGACGAAGATTTATCGGAACATAGACGAGATGAAGTCGAAGATGGCGGACATGTAGACGGCGGAGAATATTCTGGAGGTGGAGGAAAAAATATTTGTGGCGGTTGCTTCTTTGGTGTGCTTGACCTCTGTACTGCTGAGCCATGGTGTGATAATCTCACGACATCTTTTGTGTTTGTATTGTCGTGTTTTGTTATACTAATAATCGGAGGTTTGGAATCTTTTTGAAATGAATGAACTCTGAAATACGTGGGTTGAGCTACTTCCTGTGCCATTACGCTATCAACATCGCTGGGAATCGATTCAATGACTTCCTTTCTCGTCGAAGCTCGATAACTGCCATCGCTGGTCAGCGAAACGGCAAAGGCTGTTTCAAACAAAGCAGACATTCCCCAACCTCGAGAACCAGAACATCGAACAAAGTCGCAACATCCAATTTCTTTCGCAAGATCCAGTCCAATAGAATCCTCAATATCTGTGTCGTCAAAGACGCTGCAGTGGGAGATTCGGCTTCCACACAGATCTGATTTTGTACCAACTAAGATTACCGGAGGCACGAGACCTTTTTCATTAATTTTACGAGAATTTAAGAATTCTTCCGGAACAAATTCTTTCAGGTCGTCCGCTATTTTGACGTCACTTTTGTTTGCCTCAGAATTTTCATAGCTTTCGGATCCCAAAATGGATGCCATTGGAACACAAAGTAGCACAGCGTCTGCCCCCGAGCAATTGTACCACTGATGCCAATGACTTTCACCTTCGCCCGTATCCCATATTTCCACATCCATTTCCGCGATGTCAGAGTTCGTCAACCTTTCGTGTAATGCTCGTCCAAGAAGTGACGTTCTTTTGGACGAATCCAGCTTATCATTAGCGATAGTTGATCGTTTGCTTCGACGTTTTCTGGACGATTTTCTTGGTGCAGCTTTTGCAGTTCCTCCATCACTCTCCGCTTTGAGATCTTCTATATCAGCTTTTTTCAAGTCCTCAGTTTTAGTCGATGCCGAAAATGACCGACATCCTCGTCTGCCATCTACGCCTCGAAATGGCCTTTGTATGTAAACAAATATTTCATCCCAAATAATGTCTCGTTTATCATTTTCCGTGAGAACGATATTTCGTCTGACGAAATGTCTGGAATGTTTTTTCACCCAGAGACGACGGGTGATATCATTTTTTGTCATGGCCACTGACGATCCGTTTTTGCATACGTGTTTTACTGTCGTTTTTAGAGTTAGATGATTCAAGTTGCACAAGAAATTTGTTTGAGCATTTTTTGACAATTCTTCCTCTTCTCCATCGTTTGGATCATTCTCTTCAGAAAATCCTGAAATCGAAAAATGAAAGCACAACTATAATTATTACCATACATCAGAATATAAACAAATAGTAATGGTAATGAAAGATAAAATGGTGAAAATTGCATCTGTAGAAATCTTGTATCCATACGTATTCTATTGTTGCCACCGAACAAAAATTATGAACAGCGGCGAAGAGAATGTGTCTTGTGTAATTATCATATTTATCTTTCGTTTCATGTAACCGTCTTGAAAAATAGAACTATTTTTTAATCGTACTTTAAAAGATGGTTCGTAGAATATTTCAAGAGAGGATATGACGTAAATAATCGTTAGCTTTACACTTGATACTTAACGTTCCATATTCATGTCACTACTAGTTGCCTGGGTCTGATAACGACATGAATTTCACAGGGCTTTAAAAACTCACCTGCCACGAATTTCCGTATCAAAGTTGTTTTTCCTGATCCAGGTGCTCCGACAATCACAAACTTGAACGGACGAGGGTAGAGCACACTTCTCAAAGCCATTAATTTTTGTTCACCGCTGCTTTGGTTCCAATATAATATCTATGAATGTTATAATCTATAATATAATATGTAATAATTAGCACGACTTATACATCATAAAAGCCTCACGACCACGATTGATCAGGCATTAGTTATTGCTAACATTTTAACATGTTATCACATTCACGTGGCATCGCTCGACTAGGGCAACTTTTTTGCCCCATTCAGATCCCAGTCACAATATTTATGTTCACCATATGCTGACGGGACGCTGTCAATGACTAGTATATACTCGGCCGAACATAAAGTTACCGTGCAACATTCACCCGACCATGTTAAAAGTGTACCGACCTACAAACTATCTGAAGAAACCTGTTATTTCTTCTGAGTAACATATCGATTCCAAAATGTACTGCATGTTTAGCATTTTTGTACACAGACTTCGGAAGACCTGACCAAACGTTATGCGTATATTCGCAACTATACCCTGTGTTACCGAAGCTTAGAATATCACTTTCTGGTGTTACGCGCCTACAGCATAGTCCTTTTGTACACCTATCGCATTTATACATACCGCTACTAAATATATGTACCCGCTAATATGTAGCATAGGCTTTTCTTGAAAGACGATACCGACACAAGTCAACATTGGCAGGAAATTATGAAATGAGCGCAAAACATACCGTTTCCTTTTAACATGACGCTTCCTTACGTTCTCAAACGCTCGAGTCATAACGCCAATCTCTATCTGGTTTAGTTAATCCTAGCAGCGCATTCTCTTCTGGGAAAATAGAGCTGACTACCATGAAGTAATTCAGCACCCGTTTCTCGTACGGTTTGCTGTCCAATAGGTTTATGAATAATAACTCGATTAATATAATCAAACGTTATGAATATTGCAGGAACTAACTAGCTGCTTAATAAGCTGATTAGCTTTCAGATCAAATGAATTTTGATGACACAGTCATGATTCAACAGATCATATGCGTGACTTTAAGTACGGCCCGTGGTTAAATCGTGCGTCTGAGTTGACGTGCGCTCGTGACGTCATTCAATGATCCTTTGCTGACCGGAATTATTTTTCCCAGCGCGTGACTTGACGTCAAATAAATATTCACTCATGCACAGTTCATATAAATTATTTTAAAATACTTTCGATGCAAAATTGTGAACAAATTATCAGTTGAACCAACAATAGTAGAAATCGTCATATATCGTCCGACCTACAGAAATATGTGATTCATTGGTGAATATTGCACCATGGAATTTGTGCTGATGCCGATTAAAATCCAGTCATCCCATAATCACCAATTCCGAATGGCTTAAATAGTAAATCAGAACAGTTATGGATGTTTTTTGCGTACAATACAACGATATGTACCTCGGTAATGAGCAAGTCGACCCAAAATATTTAGCTCGTTAAATTGGTCAACAATTAATATTCTTTTATTTATCCGATTACGTCACAAGGCCCGCAACACACAAAAAAACTATGGATATTGGCAGAATAGACTAAACTTCGAGTGGGAGCGCACCAATAATATCAAGCACTTCCAGTCTTTATAACTCTTTACATAAAAAGTAACGAATGCAGTTTTGTATTTTGATAACATCATCGCACACAAAAATACGAATTACCTAAAACCCTCGGAAATTTTTGAGATGAATGAAAGGAAAATTATAGCCTTATAGTGACAAATACAATCTTCAACCACTGAAAAATTCAAAGCAATTAACAGTGATTCCAAACAAATTTGAAATGAACTATCTTGCCACACGTGTTAGGCCATGTAAAAATGCTCGAATGTGCATAACCGTAAAAAAAATATTAAAAAAGGAGATAAATCGTGATAAATAATGTGTGAACGTTAAAATGCTTTATTATCGGCTAAGGCCTGAAATGTATTAAAGCGAACAGTTTTTTCTGAAACCTCATGATAGCATTAATATTATGCGAAATTTGATTCGTGTCATTTTTTAATTTTATTTTTCAAGCAAAATTATTCGGCCATTCTTTTTTTTAAATTGTTGTGGGATTGGGGTGGGCTTTATACACAGAGCTGGATTCAATTCATTGAAATATCCAGCTCCGTGTATGGTTTACAGCAATTTTTTTTCCGTATTAATTTGTGTCACCTTCGATATAAAAAGGTGCAAAATCAACTGCTATATAATCTCTATATAGTAATATAATTCCTTCAGTTTGCATCCCTACAATCCGATTTCTTCACATTTTGGACACCTTTGCATTAGCGAACTTTTATATTTATTTTGTGCCTCTTTGTTTTTAAAAGATTCATATTTTTATGCCCCGATGGTTTCGTGTAGTTTCTGACCACAATAATTTCTAATGGGCGTGGCATAACAATTTAAGTAAGTCGGTATATTTGTTGTCGCTATCAGTGTTTTAAAAAAATACTGGAACGAACCTGATTTACGGAAATATTCTTAACGAAATTTCACGTTTTTGACGAATTGTGTAAGCTTGCTTGGTTACCTTATTAATTTCAAATATTCTATTAAATTCTGTTAAAATTGCTGTGGGATTGGAGTGGGCTTTTTACACAGAGCGGGATGCTATTGAGTCTGAAATTAGTTTTATTCATCAAAATGTCCTGCTCCAGCTCAGTGTAAGGTTTACATCAATTTTATTTCTGTATTAATTTGTATCAACATCCGGAATATGAAGGTTCAAAATATCGGCTACATTGACTCAATATAGTAATATATATGACTCCTTCAGTTTGCATCCGTACAATCTTATTTCTTGAAAATTTGGTCATCTTTACATTACCGAATGTTTGTATCTATTTTGTGATTTTTTAAATACTGTTAGCGCAGATGATTATGTAAATGTTCTTGAAAATAAACTTTTTGTTGATGAAATGATCTTTTTTGGCGAATTGTACAAGTTTGCTTGGGTACCCTTGGGTATTTGACTTCGAAATTACGACATCGAATAATAATCATGCAAGACTCCTGGATTTTCTGCTTTGAATAAAATCGTTCTGAGAGTCTGTATGGGTTGATTACTCTTTTTATTCATGTTAATTGCTGTAGGATTGGGGTGGTCTTTGTTATAGAGCATCTGAATTTTGCTGATTTGATTGTTTTAATTTTAAAATGCAGTTATTTTTAATTTTTGATCTCTGGGTACCGATTATAAAACATTTATATCTGCTCATTTATCTAGTGTTGTAATTTTTCCATAAAACTACTGGAGTTAATGATTATTAGGGCTGGGCATTTTCGAATACCTTGTGGTTTCAGAATCGAATCGAATAAATTTTTCGAATCGAATCGAATCTCGAATACTTGAAAATATATAATTGTAAGCGATTTTATTATAGTAATTGGTCCTCTCAACAAATGAATTACTGAAGAAATAGAACAAATCACTCAGATAGATTACTGAGCGCTCACACAGAATAACAAACACGTTATATCAATAAGAAAATAGTCGTATGTTAGAATTTCGGTAAAAAAAAACGACTCCAATGAAAAGAAAAAAGGAATAAACCTTGAAGATTAGCGGAAAGATAAAAACAAGATGGCGGCGATTCGAAATTTAGCTCTGAACCGATTCGAATAATTTACTATTCGATTCGAAATGCCCAGCCCTAATGATTATATGTTCGTCTAAAATTTGGGCTGTGCTCCCCAGACATTTTCGAACATTTTGCGCCTTATTTCCTACCTGGAACAAAGTATATTACAGTGGAAGGAATGGGCAGCAGTAATCGCCATCCGAGCTATATAGAATAATATAATATGTGCAATGTAATATGTATATAGTTGGGGTCCCAGGTTAAAGTCGCGGCTGCCTGGAAATCTTAAAACAGTAGGGCACATAATATAATTGCATCCGACTTGACGCGCATGACGACGCGGTGGTTTAGGCCGTGTCTAACAGAAATATGTGGCAGGACTCTTAGGACATTTCTACGACATGATGAACATAAATTCCAATCGACAAATAAAAGAATATGGCTTGCTTAGATTCAATGCAAATATGACTGACATATACAAGCTGTATTACATTTAATATTAACGCTAGCATCTCAGCAAGTGCAGGCATACAAAAATATGTGACTATCAAAAATTGAATTAACAACATTGATAGCTCTATTAAATCTTAATTTTTTTTCGCAAATGACATAATTACGAGTATGAGAGTATGAGTGCTCGTCACTTCTGTCACAACAAGAAAATTGTCCTTTCCGTTCTGTTGTGTCCCGTTTGCGCTTGTCAGTCAGTCATTAGATTTTCGGTGATAAATATAGAAATGACATTGAACAGCACTGAAAATTAAAAAAAAGGTAAACTGCTTAGGAGGAATTGCTGTATTACGAATCAAGATACCCATTTTTTCTTCAAAAGAGGCAGGCAACTTAATTGCTCGGACTGCATAATAGAAGCAACATTTGTAGAGGAATCAACATTGCTGGGCTTGAACGACTAGGTCGCACAAACATTTAGGAAATTTTCAAGTTCACCCTTTTCCATTAAATATTAAGCGAGATTCATGCATTTTAAAAATTCGCCTGAGACCATCATAATGCTCACCAATTCATCTAGTACAGTTCAAACATTTAAAAAATATTTAAATAAATGCAAACCATCGTAGTTACATTCTGTTCTTCAGGGCAAATAATAATGCACGCAAATATCCAAATAGATGAATATTAGTTGGCAGGTCAATAAGTAAGATCTTTCACCATATATGATAATCAGATCAGTTAGCTGGGATTCGTCGCTTACTGAATTAACGCCAGTAAAAGTTAGTGATAAACTCGACGTCGGATTCAAGACTTCGCCCAATTCTCGGGTGAGCTGTGACTCCGACTTAATGGTTCGATGATTTATACACAACATTGAACTGCGCGGTATTGGTGAAATATCATACTGATTTTACTACTGAGATACTTGGTGAAACGCATGTCTGTGACGTATGTGCATAGTGACACAAGGGGTAACGACTACCAGAGAAAGTCTGAAAGGATGTTATTTTTGGCGTCCGGAAAGAATAATTTATGTTATGAGGAGAGCAAAAAATATTGTTAAAGTGTCTTTTTTGTATATGTGTACCTACTCAATTACAAACATGAAGTGGAGTTCTGTAGAGTGTAGGTAGGTAGACCATGTCAACAGACGTCGCATAAGATCAATACCGATTATAATTACCCAAAGGAGTGAAGCCCCGTAAACGTCACTAATGCCCTATTATGACTCCTAAAACATTTTTCGTCGAGACTGGGCTTATAACAAAACACAAATAGATCAACAACAATCAAATAGTTGTCTTGATAAATTTTCCATGGAATGTGGTTTAATAAGACAATCTTCTCAGTCACATTCCAAATAAATCTACGTTCTTTATTTTCACTAGTAAACAACAATCATTGGTCACTGATTAGAGTGAGAATGAGATTACAGTATCTTTGTTTCTTTATTAAAAATGACAGCTCTCTCTCCTTGTGTTTTTCTTTGATACTGCCTTTTTTCTTCTCTTTTGACCTCAAATAAATATTTGGAGCGCATGCAACATTTTAGGTCAGGGCGTGGTAGCGAGAGGTCGTTTCTGCGCTAGTGTGCTCCGGGTTTATATATGCTGCACAGTTTCAGGAGGGGGAAGGCCGAGATATAACTAAGTTTACTAATTCATTGCCTTTCCTCCATTCTATTTTGAGTTAAGCTATTAATTAATTTATGAATAATAATCTATTTCGATTCAATTACGTAGCGCATTTTTAGTCCTATTCAAAAATTTGAGTGTTATATGGTAATTTAGATTTCAGCATCGAGTTCTTGTTTCTTTACTTATATACCTTTCGAGTGTATTTATTTGCGTGTTTTGCAACGTTTTTTCTTTATGGATCAAGTCTTGTTTTCTGGTCAAATATTTTGTGAGTTGTAACCCGGGTCAAAGTGCTGTTTTTAATCTTACTTTGCATAAGAAACTTTGTATCATCTCTAAAAAGTAAGTCATAACTTTTTTTTTCAAATTACAGGCTTAAAAGTGAAGAATCTACTGACGTTTAATATTGGCATGATTGATGGTGGACTGACGACTGATAGGTGTAGGTAGAAAGGTGAGTAATTGATATAAAAATGTAACATTTTAGTTTATTAATTTCATTATATCTTGATTATAAAGCAAAGGTCTTATAATTTTTAATTTAATTACAGGGCTTTGCGAAGAAGGAAGATATTGTTACTGCTAGTAGACGAGTGGCGATTGGTCGATGTAAACGGAAAGGTAGGTAGTTGGCCTAAAAAGGTTACAAAATCTGAAGTTTTTATTACAACTTCATTATAGAGCAAAGGTTTTATAATTTCCAATTTAAACACAGGTCTTTGTTAAGGTTATATATTGAGGTTATATATATAAGAAGATATTGTTACTTCTGCTGGTCGATCGATGACGGCTGGAAGTAAATGGACAGGTGGGTCGCATACAGTCCTTTTGTGAAAAACGTATATGAACGTATAAAATAGTTTTCAACTTGTTTGTTCGTGTTTGTACGATGTATGCCTTTGAATGATGACAGCTGTTCTCTCTAAAAATAACTTTTTGAAGCAAATTTCGCGTTTGCCGTAATTTTTCTCCCCTTTGTTCTGCCAATGTAGTTAGTAATATAGTAAAAATAGTAGTAGTAAAAATCAGCATCAAATAATTCTTTATACCAATTTACAGCTCTCTCCCTCTTTTCACATTACAATATTGTTGCGTATTACAATTGTAACCGCTGAAAAACAGTACTATACTGCTATTACATTTTTTCCGCCGTACACCTAATGCTTTTATATAGCAGGCATACGAATGCGAAATGAGATTTTGAAGAAACAGAGCAATGCTCAAATATATGGAGACAAAGCCGGAACGAAATATTCCACCCGTATATTCTCCAAAATTCATATCTTGGTCTCGGGATGGCTGCAGTTGGTGAGTTCTAGTTCGATGTATCTATTCCACTGCGTGTTGGGTCGTGCCGTACTGACATTAATTGACTACTGAAGCTGGGCATTTTTGAATACTTGCTAATTTCATCACTCAGTCCGTTCGCGCCGAGTTGTCACCCACAACAAAAATCATGTTTTATCAGTGACTCGCTATAGTCACTGGGAAGAAAATATTCGTCAGAGGAATGTACACCAAGATGGCGCACGACCTGATAACCCAAACCTGGTACGCATAATATGTTCAGGTTATGTGCCATCTCGGTGCACATACTTAGGAGCACCTGCTAAACTGGCATTAAATACTAAAGCCGGGCATTTTTGAATACCTGATAATTTAATAATCGAATCTTGATTACTGTTTAAATTTCATATTTCAACGCCATGATTGTATGCGAACGTATATTGTAATATGTCACCAAGACACATAAATTATTGAAAACACAGAATCCATCATTCGGTCAGTTCGCCGAGTTGTCACTCACACAATACCGAATAACTCACTGGGAGAAAAAAATCACTTCTCCGTCCCTCATAACAGCGTACTTCGTCAAATAGCCACAGATATGTAAATAGCTGTTATTCTTGTAAAAAAATCTGCATTTTTTTAAACTCGTAACTCATTCAGATTCTGCCGGGAACATCGAATCAAGGCGATATCAATCTTACAAATCGGATTAAAGTAAGTAATTATTCAATGTCTTCTTATAGAGGCGTAAAATATAGTCAAAAATTATTCATTCGATATCTTTATCGATATATTTTATGTCCAATTTTAGTTGCAATTCTGAATTTCAAGTATATTCGCCGAGCTATAATTTGTTGGTACTCCTGAAGTATGCGTACCAAATGGCGGACACCGGAATGAGTAAGTGTACCAGGTTGGGGTTGGGCCATAATTTTATTCCAATTTTCCTTATTTTAGTTCTATTACGAGTTCGGGGACTAGCCGAGTGACTCCCGTAGTATTGGTCCCTGAAATTATGGCCTAACCCTAACCTGGTACACATACTAACTACGTTCCGGTGTCCGTCATCTTGGTTCACATACTTAGGGAGTACCATATCTAAAATGAAATCAAAATAGCTTTTTTGTGTTGTTTGCTGCCAGTTAAGATATCACACGCTTTGGTCGGCTTGTCTGATGACTCAAAAATGAGTATATGTCTTCAAATCCTATTGAACACGCTTGTCCTATTTTTATTTATCTCACGGCTGTCTGGTTTGGAGTCGAATGCTGTCAATTTTCGATGTCCCAAGTGATCCTTTGCCAAAGTGTTATTCAATCCCAAGAATTGTAATTGGCGTCGCAATTTTAGTCCAGAAGTTATCAACGTTAAAATGTTTTTTAAAACACCATTTCAAACCAGTTTTGTTTTAATATCACGTACGTTCTGGACGGAGGAAAAATAAATTATTCATCCCGAATCAAGCAGACGTAGAATGGCAGCGAGTGTTTTAGAATTGTACAATCTGTATTTTCATTTTCAATTGAGTCGAGCAAACCTGGATCGGCGAAGTAAGCGCTGACCTAAAACCCGGTTACAGAACGATAGACTGCCATCTAAAAATACACCTGATTTGGTGTAATTATATCAGTGTTAATTGACTACTAATTGGACTGAAATGGCATTTGAAACTTTGCGCTTGCGCTAAGTATCCAAATCTCGCTTACTCTTTTTATGCCCCGTCACAAATTTCGTTCCGAGCCGGTATTTTACCAGATTGTGTTATTTTAACATAATTTAGTCAGTTTGATTGCTTTTTATTTCGAATTAAAGCGTATATTTAATGAATATGACCAATGAGAAAACACTTAACATGCTGGCTCCGAGTCTGGGATTGGTTTGTCAGGGGTTTCGAATAGTTGTTTTCCGGGATAAACAAGTGATTGTCGTGGTGTATGTAGAAAGGACGTGTGCACTATGGATTACTGAGATGGATGGATGGATTACTACTACTCGTCACTAGGATTTTGACGTCACCCTGACGAGCAGCGGTATTTTGGGGCGCGTCGGATCCTGGTCCGAAACGACGCGTAATTTTTTTTATTATCTCTGACCGACCACTGGCCATACTTAAATCGAGTGTAATTACTGAAATTGTCTTGATCATACATGATTCGAATAAAATTGCTTGATCATACATGATTCGAATAAAATTTTCAAAATTCCACTTTTTCCAAGGTCTCCCTTCAATTTTCTCCATTTTCGTTTATTTTGGGATTTCTATCTTCTTACAAGTCGTAACTTTCTTCATATTTTAGATATCTGCGTAATCCAATTAATGACAACACGAAATTGACACGGGACAGTAAGTTCGCGGGATTCAAACTTTGATCACCATGAACAAACTAAAGGTATATCAACCACCTTTACCAACTAGGCCGAAGAGGGACGTGGGAACAAGCATCTGCGTTCTAATATTTATCATCCATCTTGAATGACTTGATTTTTTTTTCAAAAGTCCTTTGGGGTGATACATAAATATTAGACCCTAGACCTGTGTTTCTAAGTTCTGAATTGGCATAGTTGGTAAAGGCGCTAGATAAATCATCAATTTGTTCACGATGACCAAAGTTTAAATCCCGCGATTAACATCAGATTATCAAATTTGTGTCGTGCGGCGCAAAGAAACCCCAAAATGAAGGAAATCGAAGGGTCAGACCTTGGAAAATACAGAAATTTGACATTTTCAATTGGTCCATGTATGGTCAAGCATGATCGTGGATAAATTCCAGCAGTTATACTCGAATTATCGCCAGTGATGTCATAACCTAGTGACGTCAGTCATACCGTAAAGCACGCAGAATCCCGCCAAAAGGAGGTTTGAAGACCCTTCTTGCACCTATGCTCCTAAATCTCAATTCTTATTTGCCTTTAACAAAACCCAATTGCCGACAACCAATAGGCATGGAGAAACGGATATTTCTTCAATAATTTTTATTATTCTTTTCAAGCGAGAGAATAAATAGACGAAAATATATATAGAGAGCCTTGGCTTACCTGGGTCAGCTTTCCAAACAAGCCGATTTTTAAGGACGATCTCCGAAATGAAGGACTATTATAAAAAACTAATCTGGAGAACTCACCCAAAAAACTCATCTAGTCCTCAAGAGAAAATATGAGTGGGGAAAGTTTTGAGATATTAATGGGAATGCAGGGACAGATCATTCAAAAAGAGCAACATTGAGATATTAGGCTTTTCTGCCATGATCAGACGCGAAATGAAGAATTGAGAATTTCTGGGTGATACCTGGGCTCCGTGGCAAATCTAGGCATGAGGGCCACCGTGCCTGCCCCCGGCCATGTGCGCCATTTAGATAAGAGCGCACAAATGGCGATTACCTCATTTTGGTAATAAAAAAAACTTACTTTATTATAACACCTGAGCTACAAACAGTTGTCAAAAATTTCAGTCAACGATCATGGGGGCGCATTTTAAACTTTCACGCAGATACGTCACTGCTGGGGCAGGCTTTGATATCCGACAAACCAATGTAAAAGAATGGTTAAAGAAAAAATAAAATATTTAATTTTTAATGACCATCAAGTCATTTATTTCTGTCGCCGTGTTGCCAATCTCTTCTTTGACCTTTCAATCCAGAACGCAATCGAAATATAAGAATAGATTCGACGCAGGACAGGACACTGCAGATGAGAAGTAGATTGATTATTCAAATAGTTAAAAATACATATAAAATTAGTTTAACTCATACAACATAAGAGCTATGCTCAAATATATGGCCACTAAAGCCAACACAGAGAAGTAAGGGCTTGCAATCTATCACAGCAGAATACCGGTACCGTTCGACCACTAGATTGTTAACGCTCAAGCGAAACCCTCACAATGTGCGCAACTTCAATTTTGGGGACGTGACGGCGTCTAATTTTGATGCAAATGAATTACACACAGTACACATAAATTTTTGAAAGAAATGGAAGTAATTGCCTTCTAGCTTTTTAAAAATTTCCAAGCAATTGGTCCAGTAGTTAGTAGAAAAAAAAGAGATATTTTCACACCAACAACAACCTAATGACAAGACGTACGTATGTCCATTTCGTGTCCAATAACATCAGAAACAACGATTTCGGACTCCAGACTAGGCGACTTGAGTAGTTCATTTGCTAGCTTGTGTACTCGGATCTGCATATGGCAACAGTAACTATATATAGTTATTTCCGTTGGTGCAGAATATAATATTTAGCAGACGCAAGAGACAGGGAAAAAACTGCGATTTTGTTTACTGGAATATTAGCTCACCAATATCACTGAATCGAGTCAATGACGGGACTTATTTATCAGTCTCTAAACTAAATGGATTAATAAATTGTGGACTCGTCATAATCTATCCACCAGGCACCATTGACTGAATCGGATGATGATGATAAATTGGTTTTAGTACTTCGCCCAACAATGGCAAATTTGCACTAACCCTACAGGTACACAAGAGCTGATCAAAGGAAACGATCACATCGGTAGAAGACCATTTTAACTTCAATATCATCAGACAGATGATTTGCGAGATCCGTTGTCGTTTCAATCAGCTTGTTTCGTAATCCGGACAGAACCTGCATGATAAAATAAAGTTAGATATCGGCCTTCAATAGGAATAGTTGCTGATCGTAAAGAGCAGCGGGAATCATCCCACGAGGGTACGTTAAGCTAATTAAAAATATAAATATTTGTTAGATTTGATCTTTTGGATATTTACATTTCTTAATTTTATATATTTACGTCCTATCCACGTATTTTCATCGTGTTTTTTGAATAAAACATAATTTCGCCTTACTATTTGTTATAGTTATGTTGAGGTGGGGCGCGAGGCAAATTTTAAGAGGGGCGCGAATCCAAAAAGTTAGTGAACCACTGATAGAGTTTTGTTTGAAGAATATTATATACTTGGGTAGTGAGTATTTACTGAAACTTATAATCGCAATTGAATTTATACAATTTCTTAAATCCAACTTGTGGATTAGTTATGAAATAAAATAGATTCCGAGTCTGGGTTAAACTTAGCCCCTGGAGTGAATTTGGCCTAATTTGAGGGTATATTGGCGATCAGGAAATTCTACAGCCAAAACATTACTTCAACCCAACAAGAATACGAATCGAAAGGAGGCAACGCTGGCAAGTGTACTTCAGGTTGAGATTATTCGGACAAATCATGGCGGAACGCTTTCATATGTTGACACAATTAATTAATTAATACAATAAATTTATACAAGCTATGATCAACAAGTATTGTCATAAAATCGGTCATCGCGGGCTGTTACGCTCTCACTACGAAGAGACAGATCTTCCTTGTTTGCTGGTTACAATTGTAAAGAAATTAGCTACGTTTTGACCTTAGTGGTTGAAGGAATTTTTTTAAGTGGAAAATATTGTACTGAAATGGAGAATAAAGTTTGACAACCTCTTGAAATAAAGCATATATTTAAACTGACACACTAAACAAATTAAATTTTCCACAATGCTTAAAACGCAGATCCAGACTTAAAGTGAAGAACGCACTCGACTAATACCGTGTCCAGAACTGAGTAGCACCATAAATATTTTTCATTTCATTGTTTTAGGGAAGGAAACTTCCATATGTGGGTAGTACAATAAATATTTCTCATTTAGCATTATTGTAAATGATATTTATTCACACTAAACTATTCAAACCCTAAACGCTAGCTTTAAACAGACTGAGGAAAAAGAAGATTGCGGATCCCGAGTCGATGCACGCACGTGTCTTAAGGAGGGGTTTCAAAACATGATAAGTCCATTTTAAAATACACTGACATATAAAGCCATGATTTTTTGTGAATACACAACTCTTCAGATATATTTATTTCAATAACATATAGTTTATTCTTAACGGACTAATAATCCTTGCATATATTAGTCATACGTCTTTTAGTTTCATTTGACAAAGCTTGTCGAAGTCAGATCATGCTTGTTGCGATAGAAGCATAGTTTTTTTTACGTCTTTTAAGGAATACTTTGACCTGGAGAGGGGCACATGGTGCTTAGCGTTATGAACTGAATTGCCATGGCACCTTCAAATATTCTTGCAGAGGTTTGAATCATGTGGAGTTAAATTATGTGAATAAAGATTGCTAACTCCTAGGTGGTTTACGTAACCGCTGATCGGCTATAGCTGCCTCTGCCACCAAGTCCATACATTCAGAACTAATAATAACCGGTTAACTATTCCCATACCCGACATGGACTTGTAAGAGGACGAGAGACCAGTCTTCACATGATCAAACCGTTTTACGGCTTTCCTATCCACTGGGATAATATGGAAAGACTATTAAGGAAAGATTATTACTTACTTTCACAAACTCTTGATTCGTGAGATTTGCTTTCACCTTATACGCTTATGCTCGTATTCATGGCATAACCTAAGTAATAAAATACAAGTTAGGAAACTGTCGAATCCGAAATATTCCACCCAATTAAAAAAACGCCTTAGCGCAGAAATCCCTGCCAATGTTATTTTACATTCATTTTTATTTCACTCAACACAGAGGCACCTAATGCGTGTACACGGATAGGATGTTTCGGCTCGGAATAAATGATAGCATTAATTTTAGTGTGAATTCAATTCAATTTATAAACACGAGCACTTCCCAACCCCAACAAGAGTAATTTTAGGGTAGTGCTACCTAATCTTCTTTGTTAAATTTCTCCCCGTTTTGGAACTCTTTATTCCTTCCTCACTATGCATGAGAACTACTTTATTTGTTCAGTTTTCAATGGATCGTTTGTTGTAAATTGTTTAATAACTTACATGTTTGACTCCGACGTAACGGGCGTCCTACATTCATTTCATAATAGTTTTCAGCTTCCAATAAATACATTTAAAGCCAAATTTCAAACCCCGACAATTTCTGTAACACAAACACCGGATTCTGATTATGCCCGTTAGGTATTGTTTTTAAAAAGACAAATTTTATGTTTCTGTTCCTAAACAACGTAAAAACACAATTTATATGAGTGTCTTACGAGACGCATCGGAAAGACACTCATCTTGCTTCACAAATAAAACGGTTCTTTCTATTAAATGAATTTAATCGACAATTTTAAATTTATAAAATAGAAACAAAAAGATCGTTATAATATTGTGGTGAACAACGGCAATAAAATATTACAGGAAAGACAATGATTGTGTTGATAAAAACTTACTTTCAGTTAAATTGTTCTGTATGTTAGAATCCAGTTATGCTGAATATCCACCTCCTATCCACTTCCGTATGCACATGCATATTAATACAACATAAAATTGAAGGGTAATTTAGTTGTGGAGAATTTTGCAATTTCAATTGCTAGTGAGACATAAAATTGGGTCTGGCGGCTCTGGCCTACTTCTTACGAAGCGTGAATTACTTATTGCGTAAGAGTTTTTCTTACTTATCATGTTTGTCAACAAAAATAATCTCAGTGGTCGATAGAAAAACTACTACGGTATTATTGGTTTTACAAAATACGAAAGTTACATAAAATGAAATGAATTTGAGGCCCGATTCTGCCGGACTATATCTGTTTCGATTGCTACAAGATTCTTCAAACTCAATTTATGTGAACAGAGTACATTCCTAATAGCTATAACAATGTGTTGAGCATCACAAGCTGTAAGTTCCTGATAGGTTGACACAATCTTTTTGTTAGACATGCTGTAATAAACTATGGATATGCCTAGTAGTTTATGCACAGTTATATCTGTAGACTCATCTATTAGAATACTAAATCTGCCATCATCAATATCTCGTCTTAGGCCTGTTTTAAAATGCTCACACAGGGTATTTCCTATGATATGGGTACATTTAGTTCGGTGCATTTTCATTTTGGACACTGTTTTGATTGTGAGGAGATTTCTTTTACAACAATCAACTAAGTGGTCAAAATTCTGCAATTAGAAATAGCTGAGTGGCAACATAAAAATGTGGAAATAGACGCTTCCAGCTCTGATGATTCGGAGTTTTTAAGAGTCATAAATGAATCGGGAGTCCTGGTAGTGAATCGACAACAAATGTTAGCCACTGCTAGGTACTGGTGAACTGCACTTCACTTCTTTGCCACTAGAAAACAATGCAAAACAACATTTGTCAAAATAATCTAAAAATATCTAAATGAATGCTGAAATAATCTAGAAAATAATCTAACATCTAAATGGGTAATTCTTACATCTAAATCATACGAAAATGATCTAAATCTAGATTAAAATAATCCAAGTTGGCAACACTGCAACGAATGTTCGGAGGAGCTACTTCTGTTCTGAGCACTCTAGTCTAGATTATCCAAGAAGACTCTGCCAGAAGAAGCAAGTTAAGCGCCTCCTTCTTCGTCGAATCACGATACATCATTGCTAGGATTGTGTTTTTTCGTTAATACAATAAAGAATTCTGAATCTTTGGATTGGAATATTGTATCAAGTAAAATAAAAAATAAATATCCCGTTTTTTTACAATTAGAATGTTGTAAAAGTAAACTGGGATAAAGCACGATGGGAAGCGTGTTTATTTTCACATGGATTCAAGCTAACCGTTTTTTTCAGGCAATCGCTCTTTCACAGAAATGGCAATCGCCTTTTCAGACCTTTCTTACATAAAAAGTGTGTCTCCGTGTATGAAAAGTCGATTTGCATTGTTTTGTTTATATGAATTACAGTCGGTTATGCTTGTGACTTTGGCGAATATCGCTAGAATTTTACAGTAACAAAAGAAGGTGGCCGACCAACGTTATTTTAATGAATAAACGATGTGCCGTTTCTGCATTTACATATTGTACCATCGCGTAAATAGTATATAAAGGCATCGAGAGAAAATTTCACACATTTCCAGTATTTTATGTTATTGGACATTTTACCTGTAGGTACTCGACAAATGTCGCCAAAGACTTATTGAAATGCAAGACGTGCAGATGTCGGCAGCACATAAATGTATTAACATTACGTGTCCCTGTCGCAGTACGTATTGTTGTTGTTTTGCCTGTCTGTTGTGAGGTACGGACATTTGACTAGCCGAAATTTTATGCATGTAACTTAGGATTAACAGGTTGACCTTCTTGCATTTTTTGATCATTTGTTTATTCAATAACTGCAGGTCTGTAGTCCAACCCACAAAAAGTCTACCGGTAGCACGGAGTACCGTACCGTACCGGTATCTTACGGAGCTACGGTACCCAGGTACCGGTAACTTATAAGTATAAGATCGGATCCTGTGGTTGTCATCAATATCAGAATATACCGGTACTCTCTGTCTGACTGTGGGAAAATCTATTAGTGTATTTAAAATCCGTCTCCCAGGTATCTCTGCATTTTGTTTGTCTGTTTACTTTTTGTATTGTTTATGTCAGAGAACCAAAATAAATGATTGATTGAAAATCAAGACTATTTACTAATGCAAAATGGTAGACTGGGAGGTATTATCCTGTGTTTTTCTTTCATTTTTCTCAATTTGCAATGGATTTCTTAATATTGAAGAACTGACAAATTCGAAATATGCCTTGGATATAATAAGCGGACCAATGAATGAATTGGAAGTGAGTATTTTGCAGTATTGTATTGTTTACAAGTTTAGCAATTGTTCAAAGTTGTATTACAGTAATTTATGGCATTATTGCAACAGAACAATAAGGCACTTCAGCTATTTTGAGATCCTTCCATCGGTATGGTATTTTAAATATATTTTTACGGTTCCATTACATTTGAACCCACGTACATTTGAACCCATGACCATTGCACCTGTATGCTATTGCACCTATGGAATTTTTTTTGTTTCACGGATAGTTAAACCCATACTAACCCATGGGTTTCAGCACCCGCATATAGATTGAACCCGTGGATGTACGCATGGGTTCAAATGTACATGGGTTCAAATGTACGGTCACCTATTTTTACATATATCAATTAAGTATATGGCTGTATCTTGATATAGGAATTGTTATTTTAAAAAGTCCATTAGTCTACACAGAAATAAAATTTTGGGGTGTTCTACATACGATTTATCTTTCCTTCTATGCACAATTATGTATATTTTATATGCAACGTTTTCATGCATTTACTCTGAACAAGCCGTTAAGAGAGAGAAAGTTAACAGTTTCTGAAATATATGAAATAATATCTTAACCTTTGTTAATTTTTAGTTGCCGAAACAGTCAGCGGAAGGATTGAAGCTTGCATCACGCCATGGTCAAAACTATTATTGTAAACTTCCTTTTCTCGCTCAAAGTAATGAAGAAAAAGATGAAGAAAAAATTTCCAAAACAACACCACTATCATCTCTTCTTGAGCCAATGAAAAGGGAGTCATGCTTGAAAACGGTTGTTGGGTGGTGGACTTATGAATTTTGCTATGGGAAATATGTGAAGCAGTATCACTCAGAAGGTTGTTTTTGCATGGTTTTCGTTCATTTCAACATTTGTTTCAACACTGAAAACTTTGAAATCTTGCATTGGGTCTTGGGGTGTACAATACCACAGTTGTTGTCTTATTCCTTGGGATTACATTAATGAAAAGCTTTCTCAATTAAGCTATCCTGTCAATATTTTTCAAACCTAGATATCCATAATTTTCAAATATATTTGTTCCTTTTTCAAATCCACTAAGAATGACCTGGTGTAATCTGAACTGTAACCAGATGCTATCATATACCATTAAGGCTCACTAATTTGTAGAATGTCAGCATCTGGTTGCAACATTTTAAATACATTTTATTTACATTAACATGTTTAGGTGATACACCCAAAGGTGATATTACTTTTCTTGGATACTATGAAGCTGATTTTGATTGGAATAGGGAGATTGCAGAAGAAACAACAAAATTCAGAAGACATAGATTAAATAGATACCATAGTCAATCTTATGTGAATGGAACTTCTTGTGATATCATTGATCATAAACGGGATACTGAAATCAGGGTAACATATTTTTTAATGTTATAATTATTCTTTTTATTTACTATGCCTTTTTTCTCATCGTTTCGGATTGAAGTTGAAAATTGGGATTGATTTGTTATCAATATGATTCCATTGATTGTGAATGTTCAGATTATAGATATAGCATTTGAGTTTTGCTTCTGTTGTCACTCTTTAAATTAGTGATAAAATTTGAATTAAAAAAATCTTCATTTTTATAATCTAACAAATAAATCAATGATACATTTTGGTTTAAATTCGTGTTTCTTATCCACGATATAACTGGTATTTACCATTAAGATTTTATGAAACATTAAAAAGCAAAAATAACATCCAATTTTGTGCCGATTTTTTATTTGATTAAACTTAGATTGAATGTTCTTCTGTTTTCCAGCTTGTAACAGTATCCTGTACTAACTAATAAGATCTCAGAAAACGAGTTTTCTCTAGTTCTAGTATCTGTGTGACGATTCATCGAGATTCAATATTGTACAATTTTTCTATTTGATTGAACTTGGAGATTGAATCGGAAAAAATTATTTTTCATTTTGTAAAAGAAATTTGTAACTAATAAGATTTCAGAAAATGAGTTTTCTCTATTTCTAGTATGTGTGCGACGATTCATCACCAGAAACATACATAGCCAGAGTGGACGAGCCGTCAACATGCAGTTATATTATTACTGTTCACACACCCTACATTTGTTCCCATCCTAATACTAAACCACTGAAAAATCCAAAACCTGTAGAAATAGTTTGCAGACCTGTGCTTGCTCCGGATGATTTTGCCAAATTTAAAGAAATGGAACAAGGTAAATATACTACAGGCTAAATATACATCAGGGTGTCCATGATGTACCTATACAATTTCGATTTTTTTATAAAGTCAGTTCTGAACAAATCTTGATTCTTAACCAGTTTTGTTGTTTATTAATCAGTGATTTTTACCTCTTCAATACATCTGTAAGGGCCAAAACAATATTATGGTATCGATTAATTCCCTTTGCAATTTTTAAAAATTTCAAGACTTTATGCACGCCCTATATATCATATTAATAAAGTACAACCTTGCAGTTTCTAATACTACCTATGAATAATAAAATCTAATCTTTTTAGCTTATATTTTTTGAATTTAAATTCTAAGTTGATTTAAAAAGGGATTTTTTGAATTTAAATTCTAAGTTGATTTAAAAAGGGTTAGGTTATTGGATTCTTATATTTAAAAAGTTTATTTTTAAATTTTAGAAACCTTTTATCATAATTTTGACTAATTTGAATAATCATGAAACATTGTGATTCCGAACTAGTTCTCCAGCCCCGAAAGCTCACTATTATTTTTGTAATAAATAACAGAATAGAATCAAATTTAAATAATCAATTTCTTGGCTTTTATCATGAACCCGGCCTAGCGACCTAGCTCATAAATTGTAATTACCCTAATTTCAAACCATACTCAAATATGTGTATTTTGTCATTGCATTTACTGTGTGATGATGAATCTGTTTTCAATAATGATTCATTTGAATAAGAATTCGTTGAAATAAAAATTTGAGTGGGCAATTTATCACAAAAAAATGCATGAACTCTAATTTTCATTTCAAAATTAAACAAAAAAGTGGTCGAGTCTGAATGTCAATACACTATGTTTAGACAACCAAAAAGCCATTTTATTTTAAAATTTCAAATTTCAATTTTGTGGGTATAACAGATTTCATCATTTTTTAATTAAGATTTTGATTATTTCATACTTGTGTAAAAAAAATATTGTGATTTACTTAATAATTTTATTTATAAATCAAAAGAAAATTATCAGTGAATTTCTTGTTTTGTTACTCTGTTACTGTGAAATTTCTTTAATCTTTTCCATAATTCAAAGATATTTATGGTATATCCAATTGGTGCGATAACGAGGTGGTGTTATAATATTAATTACTACCTTGCAGAAGTTAATAACAATTTTCTTCTGGTTGTTTTACATTGTTATGAATCATAACATCTTCATTTTATTCACTCTGTTATCGGATCAGAACTAGTAACCATGAAATTTACGTAGAAGTTTACTAATTTTTTCGTTGTTGTCATTTCAATAATTTTAATGGCTGTTTGGCTGTGGTGAGTTTCAGTGAATAAATCAAGTTTTTAGATTCAGTTATATACTCAATTATGCAGGACGCTAACTGTTGAAATAATTTATTTGAGATATTTGGAAGCTGTTATTCTGCTTTTCTGCATTTTGATCGTTGAGCTAACACATTTTGTACTGTTTTAAGATAGTGCCCTATCAGCATGCTTTGTTAACAGTTGGTTTTGCACATTAAAATAAGTTACTCGCTCAAGCTAATAAAACGAATGTTGAGGTGAAGTTTGAGTATCTTGTCAGTTTAGTTATGAGATATAAGCTTTATTTAATGAATAAAATATGCTTTTTGGGTACTGGTAGAACGTGAGTGGGTTTTAACAAATTTTATTTGGTGAACTCTTCGTTGATAAATGCATCAATTTGGCTTTTTTACTTCTGTTTTCTTTTTGACTTACTTGCTTGGTTTTAAAACCATATTCCAACCATTTTACTATTGGTTCTGAATCGGTGATAATCATCTTGTATTCTTTCTGAATATCTCATTCTCATCTTCAATTCTCTTCTCCTACATTACCTCCATTGATTCTTTTGCATATAGCAGTTTGATTTTTCCAGCTTTATTCAACCTTTTTATTGCGCTACTTCAAACAATTAGGATTGTGATTTGGTGCGGCACCGATTATCCTTCATCGATGAAATGCGATTTATAACCAATTGTACACTTCTATTGTGTATCTAATGTTTCAGCTAAAAAACAGAACAGGAAAGAAATATTCAAACGAGCTGCTGCCCGACGTTTGGCTAGCGAAGCCTATGAGTTTTTCAACTTCGAATATCCTAAACTGATGAAACAACATCCTTTCCCATATCCTGGTTTAAAACCTGTTTTCAAACAATTGGGAAAACAAGGTAGGATTGTATATATGAAGGAAGAGATGTAAAAGGAACAGGATATTGTTAGCTATGGAGCCAATGTAGCAAGCAATCTTAGTAAGAATAGAATGCAGTTAGTAGCGACTCTCTATTCCTACGCAATGCTTAACCAGTATTGTGAGCTTGATTTAGTGGTCAGCGTTATGTCGTTAAGTTCAAACAGTTTTATTGTTCATGTGTTTACTGTAAACATTAGGTGAATGCCATCACTAAAAATAGAAATATGACACAATTTTGCTATTAAGTTGACCTAAAATATGAACCTATTTTCATGATTTTACATAAAATAATTGTCGCTTTAAATAATCATATATGAGCCAGTAAGAACATTTTTTTCGAGTCATATTTCAGTATTTACCGTAGTTCAATGTCTAAGCAATATTTTCAAGTTTAATTCGTAAAGTCAAAGACTGACTCAAAGTACAGGAACACATTAATATTTTGGTATTATTCGTTTTCAGCTGCGGAAGCAAGGGCAGCATTGTTGCAACAACAAAAGGTTTGTACAGTCATGCTTGATACTTATTTGTTGTTCGTAGGTAGTGTCATCTGTAGTGGGTGTATAGCAGGGGTCACCAACCTGTTGTGGGCACCAAGTCGCTCGCAAGGACCATATGAGTCGCCCGCAGGCCTTTTTTGAAATAACTCAAATAATGGCACTTATCAGTAAGCTATATTTATTAATTTTATTCTTGTTTAAACATTATATGAGAAATGTAAATGACAATATATTAATTATTGCACCGGTCAACCTTTTATATATGTGACATAGGTAATGTCACTGGTCATTCCAATTATGACATCACACACGCTGGGTCAGCTGGAGTCATGCGTGATAAGTATTGTTGAGCAACGTTCAGCCTTGATGGTGGACAGACGGAGCCCAAAGTTGTGACACTGCTAAATAACCTCCACCTCAAAGCCAATCAGGGCCTGTCACACTTTAGGGTGCTAGTTGACACAGAAAGTGCTGTGGTGCATGAACAGCAGCTTCGATGGTAGGCAAGCTTGTTTGGTTCAACCTATCTTTGCGAATCAGCCTTTTATTATATGAACTTCATCAAGAACAAACACTGAACACGCCTCACCGATGAACATCTGCAAGACCCACTTAGCTTAATCGGTACCCAGAAAGTAGCCCGCTGCTTCGTAAAGATTGGTGACCCCTGCTGTATAGTCTTGGGTAGGTTTAGTGTTGCTATGATCTTAGTATAGGATTTACATATTTATCCCGGAGGAGGGAGAATATCGATAAGACTGCTTAATTAATGCATATGGTGAGCCACTGCTGCTCATCTGGTTGCCAATTCATGCCAGGTTTGGTGATTTGTTAGCCGGTTATTTTTTTTCAGATGCGTGGTGGAAACGTAATCGGCCATCACTTACATGAACCACCCTATGGCAGCGAGGAGTCCTGCAATCCTCTCGCGCACATAATTATCCACCACAGGATGCGAACTCACGCAGGTTAATCTTAGGAGCTGTGGCAAGCGTATTCCCATTGCTCAGCACAATGCGCCCCATCGTCGAGCAATGTGCTGGTTGCACATCCTTTTCAATCTTGGTACCTCTCTTGTCATTATACCTCCGAATACCCTGCACAGGTTCACATGTTGGAGTTCCAGGGGATTTTGTGTGAGCAAGAGAATCGCTGAACACCTTGCCATGGTGGGGTGGTCCACACATAACTGGTGGTCAGCTACGCCTTCGCCCACCACCAACTCTATGCATCAGGAATGAATAACTGGTCAACTATTCCATTCCCAATATCGACTGGCAAATAGACCAATACACGAATCATCATATGAATAAGCCAATTTATCGATGTTTTTCTCCTCCGTATCAATATTAACATGCAAACCAATTCGAATATCGTTATTCTACAGGAGGAGGCTTTTGAACAGAAAGATGAAAAGCCTGTGAAGGGAGATGGTCTTGAGCAATTGTTTTATGGTCAAATGAAAAGTTTAGTTGATTCACTGTTACCATCAACAAAAAATCAAAAACCAACGTCTGACAAGAAACCAATGTTTCCCGATTTTGTGAGTATTGCTTCATAAAGTTGAACTTCCTAACACTAAAGTGTGATTTCTCCATAAAATAAATGTTTTTTGCTCAACTGATATGCAACATGAAATAATATGTCTAATTGTATCACAAAATATCCCTTGAATTACATGTGAGTAAATATCGTACAATGTCTAGGATGGATTCTCGTGCTGGGCCCTCAGCAGTGATGTCCAGAACGAATCGAATACATTGTAGATTAGTTATATTCAATATAATAAATATTTGATTTAGGAACAATTTAGAACATTTTTATTTAAAAATTAGAGATTTTGAGTTGTCAGACAAATTGTTCCACTAGAGCAGGGGTTCTCAAACTTTTGGTGTCGCGGAGCCCTTGAAATTGTTGACTATTATTCACGGAGCCCCGAAATAAATGTTAAAATTGTAACTTTCAGATTAATATTCTTGAGCAAGTTAAAAGTACTTTACTCAATTTAAATGCTGAACCTTTTTTATTAGAGTTAATACAAGTCATAAATATATCTAAATTTCAAACATAAATTATATATACTAAAGCTGTAAATTTGACACTTGACAAACATACTAATAAATTCGGGTTCGAATCTATTCCCTTTTGACATTTTTGGAAGACTTAAAAGGCCGCTAATAATGTGCGCGATTGCATTTTGTTAAAATCGCCGATTTTTTCCTCAGCATGGCGGCGTGTATTTGAACCTACAATCTTTACGCCGGTGTTTATTCTCCTTAAATCAAAAATTTCCCTGGTATATATATACATGTATTGTTACACAATGACGACGTAAATTGCATTTTTGTTCTCGTGGGGAATTATGAGTTCAATGTGAAAAATATGTTACCATTTTATAGTCATCGGCGACGAACTGCTGAAAATAATAACTAATGAAGAGGTAGATCCGCAACTCAAATTTCTTGATTGAAAAGCGGCACCAAAATATTAAAACTTAAAATGGAAGATCACACGTTTGGTTTCAGCAGACTCACCTCAGATTGAAAACGCTTTTGTAGACATAGTAAATCACAAAATTTGCTGTTATGTTAGATTTTCATCGTAGTAAATGCGAAATCGTCAATTGTGCGTGCGTCAATTGTGCGTGCGATGTACCTTTTTTACCCATTTTGAAACTGCCGACGGAGCCGCACGCAATCAATTGTGAGCGCGATCCGCGATGTACCTTTTTTCATTCTGAAACTATCGACGTAGCCGTGTGCAATATAATAAATTTTAGCTGTTCGTATTTTGCCCAGACATTGTGATTTTTTAAACGGCGATATCTTGCTTAATAATAATCTCAAGTGCGGAAGAACAAATCAAGTTTGACAAATCCCAAGATCGCAAATATACGACTCCAATTTATTTATAGTTGACAGTTTATCACATATTTTATGTTATTAGAATGGTATTCTTTCATTTTAGTAATCCTAATAGTAATCTCGAATCAAAGGTGAGTAAAGATGAGCACAATTACATTTTAACGACGAGACACTTTAAATGCTCGCATCGGTCATGGATTGAATATTTTACGCAACAGAAATCTCGTCATCCGTTTTTTAATCGTGAATGTTGCGCGGAAATTGAACCACCTCCCTCTTAAGAATCCTGGCTGTGCTCCTGCTTACAGATAATGTCATTTTTTTTACTCCGTCTCTTTGCCGTATTTCGAGGCTATATTGTTGTTAGATTATATCAAAGCTGTTATTGCTTCTTTGAACAATTACAAAATTAGTCAGTATTTTGAAAAGTAATCGAATAGCTCGCGGAGCCCCTGGGTTTCTCTCGCGGAGCCCTGGGGCTCCGTACGGAGCACTTTGAGAACCTATGCACTAGAGAATATATGAAACTGCCAACATATATATATATATATGGTATTCACTATTCATATTATATATAAATGTCAGAAATGTCCAAAACCGAACCAATCAGTATTTCAAATAAATAAAAATAGTCTTTTTGAATATGAGATATTGAACATATTCTAAAATGGCTTTGTGGAGTTTAACAAGAGAAATTCACCAAGACAGACAACTGTAAATTCATCGATTTACGGTAATTTGGATATACAGAATAATTGAGATAAAGTTTGTTTTCATTAGTATTTGCTATTTTATTCTGTCAGAGAAGTTTACTAATTTTTTATTTATCATAAGATATTAAATCTTAAAAAGACATTTTCAAATTGGGATATTCTAAATTTTTCCTAAAATAAAAAATTTACTAAATTGAATATAACCAATTTTTATTGTATGTGCTATTCATATTACCGTATTATTTTCATTGGACAGAATCTGCGTTTTTCTCCATATTGTTTACGTGAATTAAAATATTTCAGTCAAAGTCCAAAGAAACCAATAAAGCAAATAGAAAACCTTTTGAAGCTGAAGCAATCAAACTTATTGAAAGATTTGTAGTGGAGTAAGTGGAATTTATGTGTATATGATGTATATGAAAAAAATGTTTTAATGAGGAAATGGAAAAATAAATGGACTCATCGTTTGTTAACTTCCCGAAAGTATTGATACAATTTTTTTTCAAATGTTTTTTCTTTCATAATAACATAGTATATTCGTTCATTCGCATATTCAAATATTGTAATATTAATATTACTATTCATTTATTCTGGTTCATAATTGTTTGCAATGTAAATTTATATCATTGCATATCTACAATGCAAGTGTATACATTTTTACTGTAAACTATATCTAACATTTTGCAAGCAATTGGCTCTGTGGTTGGCATATCATGCTGAAAGCTAATCTATTACCATGGGTTGATTTGAATTCCACAGAGTATGATTACGTGCAAAAGAATACTGCGTTCTTCTTGTCAGTTGGTTCATGCAAACGCTTGTTCGTTATGGCTTCTTTCACCATCAAGTCCATGCATCTGGAACAAATAACTGGTAAAGTTTTCCCATACCCTACATGGACTGGTAACGGGGTAAGAGGCTGTGTATCACCATATGCTTTAGCAGTCTTATTGAATTCCTTCACCCCGGGTAAAATAAGAAAAATCCACTCGTACTCCTACTACTTTGAACTTACAAGAATATATATTAAACTTTTACATTGATTCATTCTTCTATCATTATTCAGAGACAGATTACGAAGTCTGGATGCCTTCAAACAAAAACTACTTGTGATGAATGTTGCGGATTTATTAAAAAAGAATCAACATTTACCAACAGCTGATGTAGCAAGAAAGGTATAGCTGAATTACTATTTCAAGCTTTTTTTAAGCTTCAGATCAAATGCACCCAAGTTCAACACATATTTGCTTCCTGTAAAACAATCAACCAAACAAATCAAAACAGGGTTATTGCAGATCGACCAAATCCATAAATAACTATAATGCAACAAAGAATAAGGAAGTGCTATGTGGAACAATGATTCGAAATTATGATGTCATGGTTGTGCTAGCAGACAACAATGTAATAGTGATAATTTCCTATAACGATAAAAGTGAAAGTTATAGATTAAGTTAAGTTATAGAAATATTACAGCATTTTCTAATCAATATCTCAATATCCTAAATATAAAGTATACTTGGTTGAAGATCATAAATGAAATAGTACAGCAAATTTTATCAAAATCAAAATTCAAACTAAGTTTATTACTTATCGATTTTAATCGGTAAGTATGTTGATAGGTATTTGTCTGTCTGTTGTCTGTTAAGTGCATGCGATATCTCACGAAAGCGAGATTGAATCTGCTCCAGATATTGCATGTGCATTCATCTTATCTCGGACCAGAAGCCTATTGATTTTGGGCGAATTATGTCGTATAATTAGCGATTTAATAATTAATTAGTGATGGGACACAAGGTGTCACTATGGAGTAAGAGCGTTGTTTTGGGGGATCCCCTAACTTTCGATCGATAAGTCTTCGGTCTCTGACCGATATTCTCGTCTAATTTTTGATGCTAAAATTGTTTACTATTTTTTCATTTCAAGATAGAGAAATATGTTTCAACTTTTGTTGGTGCATTGGAAGATGCTTGGCAATCACAATTTGATTTGGATCATATTGAAAAAACAATGGCAGATTCCCTCACTAATCAGTTAATGCGAGAGGTTGAAAATATGCCGGTTGGTTTAGATTCAGAGAAAGAAAAAGAAGAGCAATCAGGTATTAACTTTTGCTAAATATTCTGATCAGACAATTTAGGAGGGTTTCATGTGGACAAATTTTGTCGCTTTTGCGCTGGTTGTATTTGTTGCTGTACGGACTCTGTGCTGCAGTTCCCATGGTTACTCCACTAGCCAGTGCTCAGAGTCGTTTTCTGAGAATATTCAGTCGCCTCAACGTACCTAATATGCAAACTTTTGTAAAATTCACTGTTCGATTTTCTCTGTTTATGCTAGTAGGCCTTACGGTAATTACAGTTGGCTTATCACAGTTGTCACTGCTTGATAGCCAATATTGGTTTTTACTCCCTTTACCCTGAAATGGCATTGTTGTTGTTTTTGCATTCTGTACGAAGTGTATTATCTATATGGTGGAAAAATAAGCTACGAAAAACTGATTGTAGTAGGAATTTTCCTTCAAGATTCAGAGATTTCTCTGATAGAGTAGAGTCGCATCCCTCCCCATTCCCCAACACTGGGTATTACCGTACACACATCGGTATGATCTATGATGATTTATATAAAGTATAATTACATACCAACTCTTTGATACCATTCAAGTAATCTGTATCAATGTGCACAGTTCTTCTTTCAATATGCTGAACATTTTGCGCAAAAGTGAAATCATTAACCACTGAAAAACTCTATTTTGTAGAGGAGTGACGTAATTGTGGCAACTACTTTAAAATCTGTTGTATGGGTATTTTCAATTTGAACCCCCTTTGAAAAAATCCTGGCTGCTCACAAGATAGGTATATATTTTTGCTTTAACAGCTACACCTAAGAAAAAGCCTTCAGTTCATTTGAAAATTCATAAAATCAACTTGGATGATCTTGAGAAAGCGAGCGAAACAGATGAAGATATTGATCCTTCATGGAAGAAACTAGAAGAAGATATAGGAAAAAGCCTTGAAGAGGCTGGCTTTGAATCTGAAGGTATCTCAATATTTATCACTATTCACATGCGTGGGTGTTGGAAAAATATCTATCAAAAAATTTTTTTGTGGAGGCTAGGGTTGAATTTGGTTTGAATTGAATACTTCCTGGAAAAAATTTTCCATAAATGGAAATTTCCGAAATAGAAATTTTTCAGTAATTATATGAGTATTTTTAATTTAAATTATGAGAATTTCATAAATATTATATTGTAATCTATTTGATTTATCCATGTACAGTGGTTCCCAAACTTTTTAGAGTTGCGACCTACTATTTATTACCACAGCTTATGGCGACCCATTCAACTTTAATAAATTAATAAAACATTGATGGAGGAAACAAATTGACATAACACAGAACACAGCAATGGCTAATCATCGCAAAACTACCGTGTTTCCTCGAAAATAAGACCTGGCTTGAAAAAAAGATCTAATTTGAATTTTTAAAATGATTATGTTCATTAAAAAATCTCGTGATTTTCTACAATGAAATTATATTTTTGATAAAGAACCCAAAAGGTCTCTTCCACAGAAAACTAGTGTTATTCTTCAAAATAAATCTAAATCCTGTCTAAATTTCGGGGAAACACTGTAAGAAGTGCTGTACAGTGTACAAAACTGCTATGCGTAAAAATTCACATGGTCATTCTTCGTGTAGCAAATTTTGTTCCTCTGAGAAGTTCGTAAAAAGGAAACTTTTAGAGATTAGAATTTAAATTCAATTCTATTTTTATTTTTTGAAGATTTACGTATTCGAGTCGGCACTGATCCTAATACCCAGTATAAATAATCGAAGCTTTCCACATCTTTTCACGACCCACTAAGATTCCTTTTGCGACCCACCAGTGGGTTCGACCCATAGTTTGGGAACCGCTGATTTATGTTGTTATTACATGGACATAGAATCCATACATTTATATTTATATGATATTGAACTGATAAAGTTGTTAGTTTTTGTTAATTCGATTTCCATTGAAATTTTTATTATCTGGTCCAAAAAATATCATTTTCAAGTGTGTTCAAGTACGTTTTCATTATGTTCCCTCTCACATTCTTGCTCCAAACAAAACAGTCACTTTATTTGAGCAATTATTTTACGGGGTATTAGAATCTTTCCGGTTAATAATGTTGTTTATAACATCATGGGTTTTCCTTTTTCAGTCACTTTGTTTTGGGTTTCTTCTATCTTCAATCTAATTTTTTTTTCAGATAATCATATTGAAATCAGAGTCGTTACAAGCCATGATAAATTGGGTGACGTTATTACATTAAGTACAGAAGAAGGAGAGAAGTTTCGAGATATGTTACTTGAACTTGTGGTGAGTTCTATTTTGATTCTAAATTTATCTATCTAAGTTATAGCAAGTTGGGAGGTTCCTAATCCAAAGAATTAACATTCTAAATTTCTGTTCTCACATATTAAAGTTTAATTTAAAAATTTTAATGTGGCTTATGACAAATATTAGAAACTGTACTTGTATTCTGGAAGATATAAAAGCACTATTTCAGAGGTCGGCAAACTGCGGCCCACGGGCTAATTACAACAACTAAAAATTTATTTTTGGTTCTCGAACGACCTCACTTTTAATGCATAAAAACAAAAAATGCTCATAAATTTATTAGAATCTGCAGACCGATATATGTCGTAACTGTCGTAATAACTGAACCAATTGCTTTAACATTTTCAGTGATTAGAGATTGTTGTTGTCACTAAGAAGGCTTTGTTTATTTGTTCGTAAATTTCTTGTAAGATATGATATTCCATCCAAATGTCCATTGTTTCATTTTTATTCATGGGAACATGTTTTTATTACACCATTACGACCTTCTCCACATTTTTATGACATTATGACGACCGTCTTTGTTTCGATCTTGCAAACTCATGCCTGGTGTTCAGGCGAGGTCGAGAACACTGCGGTGCCAGTAGTGTACTGTGAAATGTGAATACATACATAGAATATAGTACACATACATAGTACATAGAATATAGGTTATTTAGTGTCTTTATATATTTTTTTTTATCTTTCTCAGGCAGGGGAATCGGCCTTGAACAATGAGGTCAAAAAACAAAAAACTCTTCATAATAATTATAACTTAGTTTGGAAAAGGGGTGATAATGGATTTACGTCATTAAGTACTTTTGATGAAGACAATCAAGAAGATACGGAAGGTCATGTAAGGTCACCAAAATTATAGCACCATGGACAATAACTACGATAATAATATTCAGTCGGCCACAAGGAAATTTTGCTGCTTTTTTCTTTCTACTTTTCTGCAGGTTTTAATAAACTTGCGAAGTTTGATGAACTTTATGTCCTACGGAGAATATTTCCTACTCTATTAATAATAATTTGCAGACCACCGTCTTGCCAACCACATTTTTCAATGAGAAAACAAGGTTTGCAGTATTTATGAAACTGAGATTGGTCAATTTTCACTACTCATAGATTTTGTTTGCGCAGCTGGAACTTGTCTTGTCATATTGTTCTACCATATCTTTTTTGGAGCAAACTTGACCTCATAGTGCCTTCACTCAAAAGCTATATTAATAACAATTGTTCCTCAACTTGAAATGTCACTGGTAAAAAAATTGTAAATTTGTCATAATGTCAGGCCATCTTTTTATTTACTTTGACTTTTCTCCTTACTACCAAAGTATTTTACAAATGGGCAAATACTTTTGTTTAATTGATTTTTATTTATATCATATGTGGGCATGACTTTCCATCTATTTGTCATATGTACTACCAAATTGGTGTATTGTGTGCATGTCATCCATTTGAAGTCTAGCTGGTTAACAGAAAGTCTTATAATTGTCATGGTTAAGTCACCATAGACTGGCATATGCATCTTTATGATGTAAACAAATTATCAAAATCAGTTTTTTGTTTTAACACTTACAAAAGGAATGTATTTGTAACCATACCTATAGAGTACCTACATACAAAGTATCTATGTACCAAGCATTTGGCCTAAATAAGTCCTGTTTTTTGAACAATATTAACTGAAAATAGCAGGTGGAAAATATATTCTAAAATATGGGCAATCCCTCATTGATTTTTGAATGCAATTCTAATTTTTTCTATGTAATGCAATTTTAGTCATTTTTTCGGCTACGCAGGTGATATGCTTTCATGCAACAAAATTTCAGTGGCTGAATATGATAAATATTTCGGAGTCGGTGGCGTTTGAACGAAAAAATCAAAAATATACTAAAAATTTAAAATTTATATTTTTTGCTTCTCTACACTGTCATTTTATTTGTATATAGTTATGAGATTTTTAAATATGTGAGTCTTAGGATGCAGAAATAATTCGAAGACAAGAGTGATAATCTATGATGTGAATCTGTGTGATAAATTAGAAAAAATAAATTAGCATTTTAACCCTTTCCGTGCGGTGGGCACGTATACGTACCAACGACAAAAGTCGCTAGATTGTGGCGGGTACGTTGATGTACTCCACTGTTTTATTAAGCAATCGGTCGCAAACTGTTGGTCTAGTTTTTCCAGGTTTTAGTTTATTGATAAGAAGTCTTCTTCGAGATTAACATAAGCGACGGTAAATCTCGCTTTCGTTTACGGCGGGAATTTTATTTTGGTGGAACTAGGGAGTGTTTTTAAATTTATGCAAATTTCGGTGTTTTTTGGGTGGTAATGCCCTTCCATCTACCAAAGTATTTTGAGTTAGATCACGAAATTGCTACAGCAATATTATGCTATTGTTTGCCAACCACGAAGCGGTAACAAAGGATTTAGCGAATATTTCAATTTTTATCACGGTTTGAAGTTTCAACTCCCAAGAAAAAAAAATGCCTTTTTCTATCCGGTTTGTGAATTAGACCACCACTTTTAAAAAAACTTTTTTTTTAATCGCCAATTGCAAGCTCTTTAAATAAGCTTTCCAACGAGCCATCAGTGGGCAGCGGAGGATCATTAGTTTTTCGTTAGTCGATCGATTAGTTGTGGGGGTACAAATGCATAAAATCGGCGTAGCAAATACGATTATTTAATAAAAAATAAAAAACGCATGGAAAGGGTTAAAATGTACTACTTAAAAGTCCTGAAAATTTGTAATGATTGGTCTATTTGTTTTGGAGAAACGGATTTTTTCACAACAACAAACAGACCAAAAAGAACAACAATTTAGTGAAATATTCTATAGGTTCACTTCGTATCCAAGCATGTATATTTAATTGTGAGTTGGGTTGCGCGAGACCAACTCCCTATCCTTCCTGTATGTTAGTGGATTCGTATAATGCGAAGATGCTGTAGCAGAAATAAACATGACTATACTGTGCAATCCAAGAGTTGGCTGCACACTAACACATGTATTTCTGTAACAAGAAATACGTTCGTGTTAGTGTGCAGTAGGACTCTTGAATTGCATGTAGATTTAAAATGCAAAAATCCTAGTACTATCATGGCTTGTGATCTACCTTCAGGAATATCTGATTTCTATTATTGACTTGAATAAAATTGATTTTATTATTATTTTTTCTTGCATGTTAAAAGTAATTTCGGTGTTGGCAGATATGTCATGGACAAATATTTTCGATGTGTGATATCCTAATTCACTCCTTTTATTCTCTAATTCTTGTGATCCTTGTGTGATTTTTTCAATCTTGTTCCGATTTATGCAAGATGTCATTTATTGTTCTAAACGAGGTTTTTCTGAAAATATATTCTGGTTCGGGAAAGATGTTTGTTGGTCTTTTTTGAATTTTATTGTTCAAAATTTTTTTTCTGCATTTAGTATTATTGTAATACGAATTCATGGATATATTATTTATAAGATATTCAAACTGTGCCAACGCCCGAGTGCGAGTTGTGTTTGGCACTAGCTAAATAAGGATCCATTAAAGATTGAACAAATAGCAGAAACAGAATTTTTATGCGAGGTGAGGGAGAGTAAAGATATCTAAAATAGCCAAAAGGAGGAATTTGTCGAAAATGCTTAGGAACCAACCAACCACTGGTGTAATGTGTACAGGAGTAAGGCGAAAAAGTCCATAAAGAATGTGTTCCATGGCAATGAAAGACTGAAAGTGTTAAAACAGGGGTGAGCAACATTTTTTTAGTAGATCGATGGGCCATATAACCAGCTTCAGACATCTAGCCAGGCCATACAAAAAATTTAGTTTTTCCCTCCAGGAAAGGCAGGAGAAGATCCCGAGGATATTGCTTTGCCTGGCAATAAGAAAGGCACTGGGCGAAACAGCGAAAGATTTAACGCCGCGACAAGAGCAAATAATATGTATTTTTAACCGTGTGAGCGACTTATTAATCATAGATTTAAAAGATTTACTGACGCGACAAGAGCAAATAATATGTATTTTTAACCGTGTGAGCGACTTATTAATCATAGACTGTCAGATTTAGAATTTATGCTTGATAGAAAAAATCTTAGTGTTGACAAGGGTCAGACTAAATGTCTTGGCGGACCGGGTTGTGGCCCGCCTGTTGCACACCCCGATAAAAGAAGGTATTACCCTCAAAACTTTCATGGCCCCTTCCAAAAACTTTTGTAGCCCCCGCTTGCCATTAAAATACCTAGCTTGGCTTCTAAAGTTTGCGTATAATCAGGTATTTTATGCACCCCTTCTGGCAAAAAGAATCTATCAAATTAGAACTAATGCATCACAGTCAAAAAATTACCAATCGACTTTGTTTAACTTCAAACTAATGAACTAATGTAGTCATGGGGAATGGTACCAAGTGAAGGCCTTTGTTCGTGGCTCCCTAGGAAGGTGGAGGGCCCAGTTTGATAAACCATGACCTAGTTGTCGGAAACGATCAAAAAATGATATATTTTGAAAAATTCTTTAAATGATATTCTCCTATACGGAATATTTAAAAACGGCACAGGTCTGAAAAAGAAACAAGTACATTTCATTGTATATCATACATTGTATATTTGACATGAACTGTTTAAGATTGTTTTCTGCAGTTATCAGAAGTTTTGCAGTATGGACATCAGATACCTATTGAGCAGGTTCATGTCTTTTTCAATGAATTGGTGCAAATTATTTATGAAATTATCATGGCATTGAGTAAATGTAGAACTCATTATCTCTCTCGGTTTCTCTCTCTCTCAATGCATGAGGATAGGAAAATTCTTTATCATGAACTGGCTAACAAAATTTGGAACTATTCACTCTGTTGAGTTAGGAAAAGGCCACTCTAATCTCTTCTATTCCAAGAACACCCAGTAATTAAAAACAGCAACCAAACAAATAGATCTCTAAATAAATCTATATTATTTTTGTAACAAAATAGACTAAACACAGTAACAATATATGATACAATACAATTGAAGACGTGCAACATTTATAATAATAAACGAATGGAACTGTCAATATTTGAATCCAGTCTTTCACAAAAACAGCCAATGTTCTATTTATCATCTCAGTTGTTTACTGGTATCCATATGCTGAAGCAACAGCAGGTGCATTCCCACAGTATTGTTGAATGAACGTCAGAACGTCGTGAATTTCATATGATGGAGATATTTTTGCTGATGATAAAACAAATCATATCATTAATACAAATACTGTTTAAATAACAATCTCGCTTATACATTTGAATGCAGTTTTGTTTATCGAAAAGATAGAGCGTTTCCTCTTTTGACCGAGCTGTGAGTATGAGTTTAGCATGTAGGCCTAGTAGTTATTGATATCGAAGCCGTGTTTTAAATTCATCGTTAGAGCAGAAGTAGAAATTTGGATGATTTGAAGACAGAATATAAGACTTTTATTGGCAGTAATCCATGTTAAGCAAAATTTGACTAGTATTTTCAAACTATTTTGAGTCTAAAATTTCTCAGCAGTCAGAATTTCACACTTTATAAGTGGTGATAAAAAATTCAAAATCTCATACAGAAACTCAAAATATAACAAGTCCACTATAAATTATCAGCAGACGAAGAAGTTTTTGTGTTTATACGTTTCTGTGGTCAAAATTCAGAGATGGAGTAGGTAGTAAAATTAACTTCACCTTGGATTCAAAATTCCATCTCGCCAGGACTTATTCTTAAATGACTTTCTTTGACCGCCCAGCCGCGCTTTAGACTAAAATAATTGTTGAAAATAAAAATTCTGCAAAACGGCCTTTTATAAGTTTACCTGCCATATTAAATTTCTGCCAATCTTCTGCATTTGCTGATTTTCCTTTGACTTTAAATTCAACTTTATTTCTCAACACTGGATATCCAGATATAATACATGGTAGTGATTTCATATTAGTGGTATGTGCGATTAAATTGGCAACATATGTGTCTCGTTCGTCAACTGGAAGTTCTTGTTCCACTCTGTATTAAATGAATATAGTAGATTTATAATGCATCCAATTTTTTTGATTCTGAAAGGCAGAGTTCGATTAAAAAGCTTAGTTGCGGTTACGGTGCCTAAGCTATTCAATCGTAACCGGTAATGAGAAAAAAAATTGTGCGACTAGTTTAGATACCATTTGCGAAAAAGCAGAGAAGAATAATCACAAGAATTTTGTCAAAGTCTTATTTATATACTTTTGATAATTGTCAAAATGGTTAGCCAGAGCCATTTTTGAAATGGCTCAGAGTCAGATGTATATGGTATTTTCAGCTTCTACAGCATTGGTTATGATCAGGGATGGCCAAAATTGAATATTTCACTATTTCGAATACATTCTGAGAAAATATTTTTGAATACAGATTATCGAATTCATAAGTTAATGTGGAAAATTACATAAATCATTATCTTCATGTTGATCACATCTAAAACGACTTAAATGTGCGTTTGTTACCAGTTGAGATATTGTATTTATTATAAGCTTGTGTGACGCAGGGGTGTACCCAGGGGGGTAGTTTGTGGGTCAAACCCCACCTTCCCCCTGATTTTTAAATAAAAATATTCTAAATTCAAAAATTAATTTAATATGTCAAATTCGATTCCTTTTGAACATCTCTGGATATGAAACATAAAATGACTTAAGAGGCATCATTGTGCCCAACTGATCATCACGTCTTACTTTTGATCCATAGAAACAGCAAGAACCCATTCTCTGACTTCTTCTCTTTTGTCCTCGGTCAAGAAATGTTTTTCAGGTAGAGGAACTTCAAATGGGACATCGGTGTCTTGGAAATCAGCATTATCCATCATGTCCAATGATCCTTCCTCTATTGCTTCTGACAAATCAAGGTATCGATTCCAAAACACAAATGCCATATTGTTCCACTCGACAGCGCGACAATAGGCTCCAGCCTAAAATAAATATGATTGCTGATTTTTAAAATTCTACATATACAAAAAGTCTTGTTACAATTTAAATTTAATTATCACTGTAGCCAGGGGAATTGTAGATTGAAACGATTTTTAGACCCTCAAGACTCATGAAACCACACGTTTTCTGGCATTTGGCCGGACCCGCCAGCTGTTTTGACCTAACTTGACAAATATAAATTCAGAACCCCCCCCTTTCTGGCTACACCCTGTGCCTTCCAACACACAAAGCAGTGCTTGATATGTTATGACAGTGATAACAGTCTGCGATTGGTTGCCATACACATGATCGCTTGCATGTTTTGTAGCGACGGCTTACATGCAAAATTTTCTAAATCCTTCGTTTTAGGGGGTTGGCTCATACGTGAGATCGGCTTATATGCGAGGATAATACGGTGAGTCCATAACTATATATATGGTATCGAAAAAATTCTCCCTTGAAATTCAAATATTTTAAGATTGTATGAATAACCTTCAATATTATGCCTATACTTACCTCATAAAATGCTTTATCTGCTGGAATTAAGGTTGTATATCGCAATAACGATGTTGATATTTTTGCAGCAATTTCTGAAAGTGTGTTTTGATTTCCACAAGCAGATCTCACAGAAAAATAATGTGCTATTTGCAACTGAGTTTCAAAGCCCTGATGATCAGGTGTACCATTCTCCTGCAAAATAGAGTTATGAAGTAGTTGTACTAATATGTGGATGACTTTTTCACTGTGAACAATTTGTTGTTCAATATGATATGGAGCATCACAAAATGAAGTCACTCAAAGCGTTTACTCCAATGGCATTATAATAGTCTTCATAATTTCAATTTTGATACAAAGTCAGTTCTCAATATATCTCAACCCTTTTTTGTTTCATTTTTTTCAGTGTTGTTCGAGTATTTTATTTCATTCAATATACCTGTACGGCCCAATAAACTATATATGATGCAATTAAACCACTTTGTATTCTTTGTGAACACCAGTATATAATTTAAATAAAACTCAAATAGGTTTATATCAAACTCATCCTATTCTTCTTAGCTATGTACCTTCAATCATCAAAGCTACCAATTAGATCAAACCGAGATAAAAAAAAAATGAATATTACCTCCCAAAATATTGAGAGTAATGCAAAATGAATTCTCAAAACAAAACAATTTACTGTTAGCTGATACGGAAAAACACCAAAATTTCCACCAAGTGCATAGAAAATTATTCCACAAAACTTTCGTTATAAAACAAAAAAAGGGAATATAATATCACTGAATTTTGAATGTATATTATTTTTATATAATCTCCTCTTTGATGTCTTATGTTTTGATATACTTACATTGGATGATTCCATATTTTTACACAAACTGAACAACATATTTCTCAAATTAGCCCATGTTTTATATGATTCTGCTCCTGAGTCTGGATATGCAAAGACATCTTGAACTACTCGCTTATATATGTTAAAATTTTGTGGGTTAGCTGGAGCTCCATGTTGCACATACAATTCCATTGCTTCCAATGTACTGTTCTCTTTTATCAAATTTGCAGCGTACATCGCAACATACTTATGTAGAACCTGAGTAGTAAACATCATCGACATCTTAACATATCATAAAAGCAAACTTCACAGTATTATATAAAAAGAGATTTGTGTGGCAATCGCCTAGTGGTTAAATTGTCAGACCTAACTGTCTGTGTTATTAAAATATCGAGTTCCAATCTCATGCCCACCATCTCACTAAGGGTGTAAAGGAATGCTCGAATCACAAAAAACATGGACCTTCCAAACTATATATAGTAGCTCCTTACTTGATTGCTTATGCAGAGCTTTGTTCAGAGAGGCGTAAATAGGGATGCACAAAACAAAAAGAAGATTTCGATTCATACAAAATTGATTATTTTCGATGTGGTAGAAATATTTCCATTTTAATATTTGTTGTTTTGAGGATTTAAAACCTAATGTTTGAGACAAACTATGTTCAACAGCATCCAAATCACAGTTTTCATATTTTTGTTTTACCTTGAATCCAGCTTTCTCTGCTGTCTCGATACATTTATCCCATTGTCCTCTTTCAACATACATGTCTAATGCTGTTTCTACATCCACCGATGCCATTGTTTTTGTGTCGCCCTCATGCTTAAGATGGTCCTTGTATCTGTCATCAACGTAAGATTCAAGTTGGGGAGCGAATTCCTTTGCCACACGTTTTGCTTTTTGGTAATCCCTTCCTTGTATAAGAGCATCAATTGCTTCTTTGATCAGATCAACATTTATGTACAATTCCGCGGCTTTACTCTGCTTTTGAATTTGAATTAATCTCGGACCAACGATTTCAACAACTCTAACCGCTTTATCTTGGTTTAAAAATTTCAGAGCCAGTTCTGCAGCTTTCATCCAACACTTTTCCAGAACTCTAATATCGCTTGTCATGTCTGATGTTATTTTACAATAACAAGAAATCGCTTGTGCGTATTCCCCTTGTCCTTCCCAATCCAAAGCTTGCTTTATGATACCTTCAGGGCCACTTGGACCTTTGTGTGTCATCTCAACATCATATTCGGCTTGCATTGCGGCCAATTTATTTGGCAAATATTCTTTAGTAATACGAAGTGCGTCTTGCCACATCCCTGCATCTTTGTAATACTTTACAGCTAAGTCAGCGCGCTGAGCACGGAGTAAAAATGCTTCCGCTCGTTGGAAATCTTTTGCTTCGAAAGCAACGCGAGCTTGTCCAATTAATACATCGTTTACAGAACCAGGATCGTGTTTTTGTGCAACTCTCTGAGCATTATCCCAATCTTGGTTGTGTACGTACATAAGAACAGCTTCTTTTGGTTTCTCTGCTTTGACAAATTCACTTTCAGCTTCAGGGAATTTTCCCTCATCTTCCAAAAACATGGCGTTTTTCAGATGTATATCACCCATTTTTGATTTCATTCCAGTCTTTGCCAAATCAAACGCAAAATCAAAAGAACAATTTTCTGATGCGTAATCGATTGCAGCTTCTAATAGACCAAACCGAGACAATAATTTTACAGCGGAATCTCCTCCAAGTGATTTTGCCCACAGATAAGCTACTTGTTTATGTGCAGTTGGTGTTCCAGAAGATTTTGCCACTCTGTGAAATGAGAAATCAAAAATGAAATCATAAAAAATAAGCTAAGTCTAAGTCCTGGGTGCTCAGCTCAAAGTCAAAATAAAAAAGATAATATATCTTCTTTTATGCCGGGAAGGGGAAAGTTGATAAGATGGCTTACTTATTTGGTGTACCACCGTCTCTCGTCTGGTTACCAGTTGATGTTGATGATGTTGGATATTTGATTAATTAGCCAGTTATTTATTTCAGATGCATTGACTTAATGGTGGAGGAAGCTGTAACCGAACAGTGGTTATGACATAAACCGCCCTACAGCAGTGAGGAGTCCTCTCGCATATATCGTAATTGGTCAGTATGGGTCTCGACTCTCGAACCTGCTAGTATGCTCTGTAGCGAGTACATAATACCATTTATTATGGAATGATGTTCCAAACAGTTTCCCAGCACATAAATTTCAGTGTATGAGCTTTGCTACATGAAGTCTCTTTGCTACATTCACAAACCATAAATACATGTATGACTAATGCTTGGCAAAAATCTAATCGCACAGGAGCTATCAATATTGAAGCTCCATTTTTGAAATTTGATTAAATTGTAAGCAAGCACCTGTAAGCATCTTCCCACATATCTTTCTGTCGATACATATTCACAGCAGCCTTCCAATCACCACCTTCAACATAATGATGTTCAGCACGACGCAATGAATTCTCTCCTTCTAATTCTTTAGCAAGATGAATATGGGTGTCCTGCATAAAATAGAGAAAAAGCAAAGTGTTAATTATTATCAGTGTACTCAGTGGCATATCTTTGTAAAGTGGTGCCCATGGCATAGTTTGAAATTGCAGCCCCATGATCGCTGACCGACAATTTATAACGGCTGTTAATTAAATTATGATGCTTGTATGTTATTATTTAAGTAAAAATGTGAGTTTTAATTTTTCTAATTGGAAATTATCAGAGGCTGGAATCGATTATAAATCATCCTCGACTTCATAGCCCTGTCTAAACTTACAACCCATGTTCCTAACTTATCAGTGTGAGTTATTATCCGAATATTTCAGAGTTACAAACTAAGTGAAAATTACCTGTAATAGGTCTGAGTGATATTGTTCGACCAGTTTAATCATATCATCATATCTTCGTAATTTCTTGTGCATTGTTATAGCCAGATCTGGTTCATCCACAGTTACATATAATCGTTCCGCTTCTTTGTATTTGCCCTTTGCCTCTTGTTGTTGTGCACTGTTAATATACAGCATTGTAATTTCCTCAGGCTTCATGCATGTTTGTGCAAGAGCGTATGCTTCTTCCCATTTCTCCGATGCTAGAAGTAGATCCACAGCCTCCTTTCTTGACCCTGCTTTCATGAAAAGCTGAGCTGCTGTGGCTTGATCCTGTGATTGTGCATAATATTTTCCAATCTTGTGGTAGAATTTCGCAGCCATTGCTGGGTCTTGTCCTTCCAAAATAACAATTGCTTTTCGAAATTGTCTTGCTCCTATAGCAGCCTCAACTGCTTTTTCAGTTGCTCCGGCTTCAATGTAGTGGTTAATTGCAGCATCGAGTTGTTTTTGAGATGAAAGGTGATCTCCCCATTCCTCCTCAAGACGAACCACATCAGAGGGAAACGAGTGTCGCGCAAGTTCGACCGCTTTTCTGTACGCATTGCCTTTTCTGTAGCATTCCAGTGCTCTTTGATTATTTGCCGTTTTTTCGAAAAGCTCTCCTGCTTGTTCATGTAGATCATACTTCAACAATGCAGAAGCAATTTGTTCCATTAAGCTTCGATTCGACATCAAATCTGATCTTGAATAAGCCAATCTTGCTGCTCTCGCTGGCAGACCCGCTTTCATATATAAAGAAATTGCCGCGTTCCAGTCCCCTTGCTTTTCTTTCAAACCCCCTGCTGCCTCATCTTGATTAGTATCGAGCAACCATTTATAATATTCTTGACGTAAATTGTCGAGGTCAGGATGACCTTTTGCTTCTGCAACAGCGATAGCTTCATTCCACATTTGTATACTTTTATAAAACTGAATGCATTCTTCCACTGCTCCATTTTCAAGATAGATTTGTTCTGCCGTTTTGTATTGTTTGTTCAGTATAGCAAGCTTGGCTTGCACCGGAAAATAGGTAAGACCATTATTTTCTGTTTCTGCTTCATAACGATCTATCATTTTATTGATTTCTCTCAGATATCTTGTTTTTGTCACATTCCCTAGAGCAGCATAACATCTTTCAGCAATATATAGATGTTTTCCCTCCAAGGCAAGCTTACTTAATGTTCTCCACATAGCTTCAGTTTCTGGGGATGGAGGGAGAGATTCGATGTAAGCAATCGCTCTTCCATAATCTCCATCATCGATTGCAGTACCAAATTCAATTTGTCCCTCGTCTAAGGGATATGTTATTGTATTTACCCCCTCTTGAACTAAAACAATAGTGCTGCCTTCATCTCTTTCCATATCTACGATATCACCTTTAATAGGAATCATGCTCAGCTTTTCCGGTGTATCAATGTTATACCAAACACAGAGATTTCCTCGATTTTGTCCAATAAGTACATCGCTTTGAGGTACCCATTGGACATACGAACAGTAATTGAGAAGTGTAGTTTTTGCTTCGCTTTCTAAATCGAAAAGATGAAGACCAAGCCTTTTGTCTCTGAAGACAAGTTTTCGAGCGGTTTCGTTTAGTTCAAACCAATCTAATTTTGAGCTGTGATGAATCGTTGCCACATTAAAGCCAGTCAATAAATCCAACACAGTGACTGTTTTTGCATCTGCAAGATAAGCCATTTTCTTGTTGTCTGCTTCACCCCTTCCTTTCGTTGGCCTTCTTTCATTTAATCGAACACTCACAAGATGTGGATTCATGAATTCAGTTCTGACAGATCCAAGAACTACGTTACTACCATATTCAACAATAGACAATTCACCAGCATTAAAAATCATACAACAATTTTCATTTTCAAAGAAAAACTTCTCGTTACCACCAGTTCCTTGCCAAGATACCTCAGACAGCTTATTTTCCAACAAATCACCAAGAAGTAATGTATCAGAAGTATGAGCCACAATATATCTGTCATTGCCAAGAATTTTCACATCCTCAACTTCGTAGCCAAAGTGAGATTTCAAAACCACCCTTGTTCCGGAAGTTAAATTTCTGATGACAACTTGTGATAATCCAACGTAGGTTATTTCAAACTTATTCCGAACTATTGTTCTCTTCAAACAGCAATCAAATAATTCAACTCCTCCACACAGCGTGCCAGCACAAACTTTCGATCCATCTTTTTTCCAAGCAAGTGCAGTAATCGTATAAAGATTCTCAATATCTTTCTGTTTTCCCTCATCCCACGCTGCTCTTCTTGGACTCCAATTGTATACTCGTAATCTGCAAATAAACACAATAAAAAATTAAAATGATAAGAAAATGATAATGATAAAAAAGAGAGAAACATTATATCATTATAGGCAGTGATCAGATTTAAAATTTTGTATTGAAATCATAACAACAGGTTCCATAATTTAAGAAAACCATCCAGAACTTATAGTTACAATAAATAAGATTCGCTAATTATCACGCCATTCCAAGAACAAGTTGAGAATGAGTCCACAATGCACTGTAAAAAAATGTCAGTGAAAAAAATACTATCCTACAATCATACATCGGAAAAATATTTGCCATTATAATTGCACATATATTAATACAGAAAATATCTCACCTATTATAGCTTCCGAAGATGACACTCTGTCCACTTGGACTTGTTGAAGCCACAGTGAATTCCTTTTCAGTTGTATCTCTGGAATAATCAAAATTTTGAATCACACGAGCATCTTTGCCATAAACAATGACTCTTCTATCGCACCCAGCAGCAACAATTGAATTTGTACCCCAAGCTAGGGCATATGGGGGGCAAGGATGGGTGATTATCTTTCCTTGAGACTCTCCAGAACCTTCATCATCAAAGAAATAACGAACGATGGTACCATCTGCATGACCAGATATTATACCTTTTCCTGATGTATTACAACAAACAGACACAGTGTAGGATTCCATTCCATAAATGGTTGACGACTTATTATTTCTGGTGTTAGCAAGTCGAACTTTACCCTCTGACAAGCCAAAAACGATAGCATTATCCATCGGCCAAATGAGACAAGTAACAGAACTCGTTTGAACGAATTTATTGCAAATAACTTTTTTATCGCCCCATTCATCTCCGATCTTATACACATAGATGATGTTATCAGTTTGACCGACTGCAAGTTTACTTGAGCATGGTGAGAATGCGATTCCTTTTACAACATAACTCTTTTTTCCATATTTTGAATCTAAGGGCTTCGTGGAGAATTTGTCTCTTCTTTCTCCGTTTTCATCATACAAAAGAATGACACGATCCACAGTACAAACTGCTAGTTTAGCATTATTAGGAGCCCATGCCATACAACATATTTTAGCTGCCCCAACTTGAGCATTAAGTAACGGTTTTAAATGCTTCAACTGCATTTTAATACTATTTTAGAAAATACTTTTATATAAAAAAAGGGAAATTATAAAGAATTTTATGGCTAAATATAATATATTTTCAAACATGGCACCTGAGGCACACAGTACGGCACACTTTTCAGATTGAGCGACATTGTCTTGTTTCAGAGAATGCCCTTTGCTGATGAACAGACACCCCTCCTTTCGGGGACGAATGGACATTGTTGTCCCTCAATATCAATAAAAATACAGTAAAAGAAGTTGCGTAGTAAACAAAAAAAACGCAATCTTAAAACATCATCATTGAATTCATCCGAAAAATATTCCGGTTTACAGAAGGAAAATTTTTTTTACCGTGGCACTCGAGAGTTTTTAGCAATAAAGCGGCTATTTTGTTCACATGATGGCCGCGATTAATTTAGTATTATCTAGACAAGCATGGCGCAATATGACGCATCTGTCGTCGTGCCAGACGACCCTCGTTTGTGAGACACATGAAGTGTTTGTTTTAGTGAACCAAATGACGGGACATTCTTGGAATTTGAAAACTGTGCCCTACTGGTAAAGGAGTGGTACTTTTTCGATGAAGTAAAAACATTCTGCCCTTACTTAAGCAATTTTTATTTTTCTACTTTTTTCACTGTTGAGTCACTCTCAATTAGGATCAATTTTAGAAGTATGGTTCTAACCGGTGTATGACAGCGTTCTTCTTAAAAAGATGTTGTGAGCAGTGTTAGAAAGAGATCAAGAATATTGCATCAAAATTAACAAGAACAAAATACATATATTAAATGCCGAATCAAGTCAGTTTTAACTTTAAAAGTTAATGGATGCTGTGTTTTGAATAATTCATAAAAACAACCTTCAAGCAGCAATATGGCACTCATACCTTGTGTTAAAAATAAAGTTAAACAAATCTTCGAAAAACCGGATGTAAGAGTGGTTAAGTTAATTAAACTTTCAAATCTAAAAATGCTCACCCATGTCTAAGTTATACTCAAAACAACCTTCAAGCAGCAATATGGCACTCATACCTTGTGTTAAAAATAAAGTTAAACAAATCTTCGAAAAACCGGATGTAAGAGTGGTTAAGTTAATTAAACTTTCAAATCTAAAAATGCTCACTCATGTCTAAGTTTCACATATCTTTTTACGACTCGAAGTTTTTTGCAAAATACTGAAACCTGAGAACACTTGGATCGATGGAATATTGGATTATCACATTACATTAGACCTACACACGTTGTCTTGGTATCGGATTGTATTGGTCCTTATTAGCTTGAGTATTTTAAAAGTAAACAACAACCCGAAATTTTATTACATTCGCGTATTTTTTGTGTGTTATTTTTGGCCCAAGCCTTGTTTAAAAAAGTTGTGTTTTTTTTGTGAATGCGTGTTGTTGGTGAGTGGAGGCGCAGTTCTTACCACTTCATGGCAGCTCCTGCCACGAACGAACCGCGGCAGCTCTTGCCATGGTTTTATAGCGCTATTCAGTAATCAGTATTAACGGTATATTCACAAAATAATGTACCAGATTTTAATTGATCATGTGGAATTATATCTACTTAAACCCTAACCCCAAATCAATCAAAACTGTATCCATAAGAAAAACGTTCCAACTTACCCTATATTTGTCACCATAATAGACAGCCTTGTCTTTACGGCCCACCTGCCGCGATTACGGCAGCAAAATTTTACCTGCCATTGGTTTTCAATTTGCTGCCGCGGTAACGGCAGCTCGACATTGGTTTGTGGCAGCTAAAAAGTCAGTTGCCATGAGTTTGGCCGTAGCGGCCATGGTATGGAAATACCGACATGGTTTTGCGGCAGCTGCAGATGCCACAGAATACTTAAAACTGCACTTGGGTGAGTGGGCGCATGATACTCATCCTGTTTTAAACTGTTAAAGATTTTGCTCGCTCTTCAGAATTCTCCATCTTTATATGTTTGTATTGTCAGATTGTGGAGTTTTCGAAATAAATTATCTATCTATATTGTATTATTATATCTGTATATCACCTAATACAAAACTTACTGTAATAATATTAGATATCGTACATACGGTACATGACATAATATTGCAATAAAAGTAGTATACCGATAATCCAATATAAATAAATACACCAATTTGTCAATTCGTTTTGCATTGCTGTTTTAACAGTCACAGTTTAATTATACTTCAGCACTTATCAGACTTATGCGATTAACGTCTGAACTGAATGTTAACAATTCATATTCACCATTCTTCAGTTCCTTCAACTTGCATTAGTCTTTTACCTAACTTATCTAGGATACTAAATTCAGGATTTAATATTCACCATATTATTCCTACTATACTTCAAGTCCCGTCTGCCCCTAGTTAGGTAGTTTAGTACTCGGGACTTTCGACACACAGCACTTCGGTAACCAACAACAAACCAAATGCACCTCTGCGAAGGAATACTAGATAGGCTTTGACTAGAATAACGAGCGCCACATACCCCACAACGTTGACTTTCTATTTCAAGCGGTTACCTGGCTATTTAACTCGACCTCATCGTTAGTCATCGGTAATATTATTTTATCGGGAAAAAAACTTCTGATTGTGATCGAGATATTCGATCTTTCTCAGTAACAATGTACTAGTTCAATACTGAGAAGTCATAATTATATAGGGCGTGTTGTTCGAATGGGGTTAATTTTACTGTATTCAGTTTAATTTTTTAAAAACCATAGCCCATTACAATCAACTATGGAATGATGAAACCGATGCTCGCAGAGTTTCCTCAGATTGTCAACCCTTATTCAGTAACTGAAACATGCAATACTTCTATTTGTAAGTCGTGATACATCTTATGTGATCGTCCCGATTTGACGCAACCAAACTTTTCTTTCACGTGTTAATAACTGTAGACATCATTCAGAAACACACCCGCTGAGGCATCACTTGCTGCAATCGCCGTATTGCATATTTCGATAGGATTGCAGATCACCCCGCCGCCGTACGTTGGATTAGGAAACTCTAGGAAGCCTCTTACCTCCTCTACCACTGAGTTCGTGTATCCAAAACGAATAATTGGGTAATTATTTCCCATACCCGGCTCGGTGACCAGGCCTCGACTGTTGGCGCATCAGGCTACGCGTTAAGAATAGCGATGTACCCACGCCACTTTCGTCGCCGTTACCGATCAGATACCAACGAAAAATACTTGAAAAAAAAAATCCGATACAGTACTTTGTAATTATTAATTTAAGCGCAGATTCAGATGCAGATGTCTCGCGTTCGATTAGAAAACTCATATCGGTTTGGATACCATGGAGGGTTTAGCTTCAACTATCAAACGGATACATAGAGTTGCGTGCGCAGGGTTTTGTTCCAATATCATGTACTTTGGAAAATCCACCAATATTCGATTGATATATTTCTGCGTAAAATATTAAAACTATCAATAGCCGAAAACAGGTCAGAATTCTGTTCCTGTGTCTACTCGCGGGAGTGGGGACAAGCATGGCTCAGAGTTAACGATGCAGATACCACGAACATGATTCATCCACGCCAAAAATAATTTCAACACACGTATATTAACCCATATAACTTATATTTTAAGACATTTTGGATAACATCGAAAGGCAAAATATATCGGAAATATCGTTTTACGTCCAGACGACACCGAAAAATGGCTGGTATCGAAACCTCTCTAGCTAGGATACGCTTGCCTTGGCGTCTCCGATTACGCTATGCGGGTTCTGCGATAAAATTTATGTTGGTATAATGAAAATTGATCGAATTTACTTTACACTTATTGGACACGTAGTGGACATAGCGATCGTTCAATATTATGTTGTTGTTGTTCTTGTTGGACACGTAGTGGACATAGCGATCGTTTCAATATTATGTTGTTGTTGTTGTTCTTTGACACGTTTTTAAAAAGTCGCTTTTCTCTTTGATTACGAGACCAATTGCTTTGAAGTTTTCAGTGGTTAAAGATAAAAATTTTCTTCAGAAGGCTATTACTTTTTTTGTTTTGTTGCTATGACGTCATCAAAATTATTGTCATTAGGTGGCGCTACGTGTCCATATATTTGAGCAGGTTCCATTACATTTGAACCCACGTACATTTGAACCCATGACAATTGCATCTGTATGCTATTGCACCTATGGAATTTTTTTTGTTTCACGGATAGTTAAACCCATACTAACCCTAACCCATAAGTTTTAGCACCCGCATATAGATTGAACCCGTGGATATACGCATGGGTTCAAATGTACGGTCACCATTTGAGCATAGCTCTCTTGTATGTATATCAAGTGGCGCCAAGCTCGTAGGTAATTTTAGAATTGATCAGAAGTACATGGACCTTTCCCCGACCTTTGACCCCCAAAAAATTCTTCCTATACTCTACCATTGCAAAATTTTCGGGGCTATTTTAAGAGTGCTTTTGCGAGTTAGCGCCTGTGAAATGGGGTATGTGTTTCAAACCATCATTATGATTCATCGCATACAACAATCTGTTTTTTAAATGTACTGGTAAAGAATTTTAGCCTAATCTATCACAGCTATTTCTACACTAATTTATATGACTGCAATTAAATTAAAACTCCTAGGAAGACAGGGTGACCATTGAATTATCTGATTTATATTTAAATTTCCGAAACACAACTGAAAACTAACAAAAAGAGTTCAAAAATGCGAAAACGGGGTAATGTTTACGTCCACGCTTGAAAATCTGTCTGAGTGATAAAAGTGTCTGAGCGGATGCCAAAAGGGAGCATTGTTACGTCACTTTTTGCATCTTGCTGATTGGCCAAGGTCACGAAGTAAATAAGGAAAACGATGCTCGGGGAAAGGTCCATTGCGTTCACAATAGACCTTATTCATTAAAAACCCATCCTACGCGCAAAAAGAAAAGTGATGTAAAAATTTTTTTTTTAACATTAGCTCTTATGGGGAATGTGATCACCAGAGCAGAAATTTGCATTTTATGTCATTTTCTAGATATCTTTCATTGTATACGTGAGCAGTTTTGAGGATAGAATATTTTTTACATCTTTTTTGTTATTTTTATTATGATAAACATGGTCAAGATTTTTAATAATCGTTCATTGAAATTTTAATAAGCGCGGTGTTTCCGATGACGTCATTCTCACTAGATCATGAGATTCTGCCAACGCGCCGTGCTCTGTGGGATATGTGCTCCAACTGCTTATGGTAACAGAATACTGGAATACCGGTACCGGGATCACAACTGGCGTTCAACGAAAGACCTATTTTGGTTTTAATTGGATGTTCTGGTACATTTCTGGTACACCTTTCAAAATCCAATGGCCTAACTCAGTTCATATGTTGACGGTACCTACCATGTACGGTACCTATCCCAAAATTGGTGATGTTCAGGGCTGGATTTAGATCATGAGAGGCCCCTTCATATTTTTGAGTTTAGAATTTCTCTCTAAACAACACCACATTTAATTGCTTAAAATTTAAAAATATGAAAGCATTAAACTTTTCATTCTCCCCATTCATGGGTGTGGCTTTCAATTTCTTTGATCAAACAACCGCTACAGCCATACTTTAACATAAAAACTTCCAGCAGAATGCGCATAATAATGTCCCTTATTATGACGCAAACGACGCAATAATGGCTGTTTACAATGTGGTTGAAACTAGTTGTGTACAGAATTTTCTACTCTGAAAAGCTTGATATATATATATACTTTTTGTAGGGTTTAAACCTGTCAAGTTTTCAAAAGAATTACAAACTTTGAAACCGAATTTCGAGGGTCTAGGTTTCAGCCTGCCTAGCCTATTGGTAAATCCAGCCCTGGTTATGGTCTCTACAGCAAATTGGCCCTAATCACTCAGCAGATTGAAATAAATGATTTTCAGCATTTATTAGCAAAGATAGATATTTTAATTAAACATATAGTTCAACTTAAAGCGTGTATAATGATATTATAAAAATAAGTCCCATTATTACTGCATTGTGAGAAGGCTTTCCACACTATCAAGTCTATAAGGTTTTAGCGTCTTCCAATGTCTCAGATGGAAACTTCAGTCTTCATTTCGCATATTCTTTTCATTAATGCCATTAGCATTTGAAGCTTGACTGACGTGCCTTGACTGTGTCCAATGTACCTTTTCCATTGTTGTTTAATGTAATATCCTAAACGTGACTTCAAATTTTTTTCTCACTTCAATCATCACATGTTTGAATACCCGAGCTGACTTCTACTGATTTGTTATTAATTTATATTTTTTTTTTATAAATTAACTATCGTACTTGCTAAGTGTCCACTAAGCGAAAATCTACAAAAAAAAAGCAGTGTTTAATAATAGACTACATTTTTAACCGAATCCAAAAATATTCCGTAACTTAGTCAACCCTTCCTCCGAGGAGTCTATACCGAATAACTGTGTGTTTTGTATATGATTTTTATTGATTCAATGCTTGTATTCTGGTTGACAAAATAAATCTCCCTCTCGTATTCAGTTATGTTTTTAACCTAGTTACGAGACCGGTATTGTACCATTATAGGTTGGAGATATTCATCTTTTTTGTATACCGGTACCGTACAACTTGTCCTGCCTATTGGCAAGATGGCCAACATTTTTGTTCGTAGGCCTATTTCAGTATTCACTAAATAATTTAGTTTTCACCTCTTGCAGCCTTGGTACGGTACCGGTAGTTTAAATAACACGTCAGCATGCCTTCAGTAAATGATTGCTAGCTGTACAGGTATAAATGCGTAAAACCAGTAAACAAACGTGATAGAAATGGTACGGGTTTTTGAGTGTCAATGTTAAACGCGTCCAGTACCGGACGGCCAGCGCATATCCCACAGAGCACGGCGCGTTGGCAGAATCTCATGGTCTAGTGAGAATGACGTCATCGGAAACACCGCGCTCATTAAAATTTTATTGAACGATTATCAAAAATCTTGACCATGTTTATCATGATAAGAATATCAAGAAAGATGTAAAAAATGTTCTATCCTCAAAACTGCTCACGTATACAATGAAAGATATCTAGAAAATTACAAAAAATGCAAATTTCTGCTCTGGTGATCACATTTCCCATAAGAGCTAATGTTAAAAAAAAATTTTTTACATCACTTTTATTTTTTGCGCGTAGGATGGGTTTTTAATGAATAAGGTCTATTGACTGTTTTAAGTTACAGTTACTGTATTGTTTCGAAAGCTATCCAATCAAAAAGTATGCCGTTGGCACACGAAAGTTACAATCTCTAAAATATTATTTGTAATCTGTCGAGGGGCTCCCAAATCAAAACTAACTCCTTTATTTACTTTTAGCATTTCGTCGCCGATGTTTAAATAATAACTCGTCTTTCTCACTGGTTTCACAGTTCCGTCCAAAAAAAGTTAATATCGTCGTCCTCGTGGCACAAGACTAACGAAATGCAAACGCACTCGTTATTAGCGATCCCTTCATTCTTCCAAAACTTTCAGAGCGGGGGAGTCGACTGCGAGCTGTTACCGTTACGAATAAAATTTATCACTCTGCCCTTGGAGGGAGACAATAACTTTTGAAAGACACATATTATTCGGCACGTTCATTCTAAACTTTGTCAGCGGCGAAACTTGCATTTGTTACGCAAAAATATGCTCCAACAGACTTGCATGCTGTAAGTGTATGACGTACTTTGCGAGTGCACAGTCGGATTCACTGTATTAAGACACACAGCAGGCGCTGCATAATACTGCCTGAAGGTAATATTTTGCGGTGATTTTTGTGTTATTTATTTCACTCAACCTTAGACGCGATCGACTACTAGAGACATGGCGACGTGTTGGCCCCCTGTCGTATTCCGGAGTATCATCAACTACAACCCGGATCTCCAAGTAATATGAAATTCAGAGAAACATAAATGCGTCAGATTATACGTCGACTTTAATTATGTGACTACAGTTGATAGAGCTTCTCTTCAAAATAGTGATACAAAACCATCTTAACCTCAAAGTGAAAACCATGCGCTAAAGATAACTCCAATGGCTCACCTAGTTGTGTTTATATAAATATGAAGATAATCAACTGTAACACCCATTTGTGTCTACGGATTTACCCCGCAGATTGTGCAGATTCAACCAAGTAAGTAACATCTTGGAAATTGGTGTGTAATTTATCCATGACTGAAATAAAAAAGGGAAAATCCATCAGGTTCCAAAGGGTGTATGATGGATTCGTTACAATTCAATACCTTATTTGGGAACCATCAATGTAGGATATGTGAAAAAGTTAAAATATGACATTAAGAAAATTGTGATAGACTATGGGCAACAAATTTATTTTTAAATAACAAAAAATGCAAGACAAATAATATAACGGTGCATGCAGTTTTAGGACAGTATTTTCACAATTATTCCCGGGGGAGAGGAGACAGCCTAATCATAATGGCCACAGCCTCTCATTCGGTTACAGTCCATGTCAGGTATGGAAATAGTTGGCCATTCGTTTGTTTCAGGTGCATCGACATGACTTGAATCAAATTTTTTCACCAACAGCAGAACTCGTTCAAATTCACCATTTTTATTTTATAAATGCGGAAAACAAAGTAAATTCCATACATATTTATAATGCAGTAAAACCACAATCATTTCTGGGGATTATGTCATGTTTTCCCTAGTCAAAATGATCTTACCTATCAATGAATGGCAAGGCAATAAATAAAAATAATGGGGGTCCCTTCTGAGTTCTGATAGATCAAATTATTATCTTCAAAAGCAAGCAGGTAGATTCTATGTAAAAGTTTGTTGCACAATTATGTTTTTATACAAATTATGGTTGCCAAATAGTACACCACCTAATAGAATTAAGAAGTGAATTTGACAGAGTTAGCCCAAACTAAATTAGCATGTAAAACACAGAAGAAAAATAATCTAAATATATATATATATGTTTGATAGTATTGGAAATTATACATAGAGGATGCAAGCACATTGCATGGCATTGAAAAAAGTTCTTATATTTTTGTTACACGTGCATTGACTTTTTTGTGGAACTTTAGAAGCCACACAGCTAAACTTTAACAGATACGGTGCTGCTGCGGCTGCTACATGTTAATAGAAGCAAGTAGGAAAAATTCCATAGCTAAGAGATGTAACAAACTATACCGGAAAAATCGTATGTTTGTACCGTAAAATTCCTGAATTCCTGCTCCTATTTAGATTAAATACAGCATAGAATTTGACAATGAGCAAAGGCACTGTAAAAAACGATATTATGAGTGCCTCCTACATACATATTCTGTGAATAATAGTTTTATCATATTTCACTGATTTATGTTCTTTTATAACCGTTCAGCAGCAACTTGAAAATAATAAGCTTTAAGTTTGCTTAGAGCACAGTTAGGAAACATTCAAGCGAGGTGTGTAAATACCAAGACTGCAATGATGATTTGTAAAAAACACACAGTATTTCCATGACATCATGCGAATCAAGGTTGTGTGACAAATCGTCAGAAAGATAGAATACTTTATTCCATCTTACTCATTTCATACTTGGTCGTCATCACTTCTTCATCAGAATCCATAATAGCAGGAAGTGCAGCATCAGCTACAGTTTGTGGTATATTTTCCTCAATCCATTTCAGATCATCTTCTGCTTTTGTATTCGGATTGTGAGCTGGATCAGCTGCATTTTTTAATCCTCGCATTTTAACAGTTTCAGTTGCCCCACCACCCAACATTGGTTCTCCTGCTTCACCTTCATCATCATCTTCTCCATCAATAAGAGGAGAGAACGCATACCTTTGATTGTTAATATTGGGTCTCCATAACACCATGATCACGAGTAGTATGACGGAAAAAAGAATATGCCAAAATGCGTCGTATATCCAAACATCTTGCCAGCCAGTGACACACTCATCTCTATACCGAGCAGAATAGAAAATCATGATTAATGAAGCAATCACACAAAATATAATCGTATTAGAGAAATGGCGGTACAAGGAAAGCTTCACCACATTTCGTCTAAGGCGGAGAGTTTTCATTGTTTGCATCAGACTCATAAATATCCACCAACAAATGACTGAATCTATGACAGCTAGAGGAATTTGAGCAAACAGCAAATTTCCACTAGTAGGATCATGGCTTAAAGAGTCAGTGCGTACCAAAGCTTCTATTACCGCCAAAATGAAGAAAAGAACTCCCACACCAATAACACGATGTAGCATTGGCCCCAACCTGGGCTTGACGATTCCAAAACCAAGACTCACAATAATTACTAGCATCCTAGCAAGAGCTCTTTTCATTGCAGACACAACTTCGGCAAACTTGGCTGCACCAATTACAGATTCTCCTGTTGTATTTACACTATGATACTCTGAATAGAATACGGCTTTCTCAATCATTCCAAGCAATATCACTCCACCAATCCAGAACTGCACCCTTAGTAAGTCACGAAAGTTGCAAGCTGACATGACAAGCCAAGCAGCCGCATAAAAAGAGTAAATAATGCACATTATCATATAAAATGTGAGGAGGGGATATTCATGAGCAGACAGGTATCCTTTTGGTGATTTCATTTCAACGGTTATTTCGATGGTGCCTCTTGAAGTATTACCAGGTTTCGACGGTGCAATCTCAACAACCAATAAATAAGGGGCTACGATTTGTACCGTTGTAACAACATGTTTTTCAGGTGACTTAGTTGATGTTGACGGTTTTGTTGTGGTTGTTTTCGTTGCTTCAGGCTTTGGACCTGGATTCTTGGGTGTCTCCAAATTTGGGGGTTTCTGAGATTCCTCAATTTTAGGGTCCTTAGGTTGGGAGTCCTTAGGCTCTTCTTTTCCTTTTGCTTCACCAGTCTTGGTATCATCTTGTGATGTTGAATCTTGATCTGCAACTTCTCTTTTTGTCTTCTTTGCAGGTGCGGTCGTTGCTGATATATTGGTGTGCTTTATGGGGAATTTCTTCCAATCTCTCTTACTAGAGTCACTTAAAATCATGGTAGCATCACATTTGAAGGTTTCACCGATATTACTTTGATATTCTCCACTTGCACCCTCCACCTGATTCTTTTCTGGATGCTCAAGATAGTTTTGGAGTCGTTCACTTGGCATATCATAGCTGTATTCTTCAAAACACGATGTACTACGAGCAGTCCATGCTATTTTTAATTCAGCATCACTGGGATTACATTTTTTACTATTTATTGTGATTTTAATGGTGGAATCTTTGTATAAAGTTTTCATAAATGGTTGAATCTCAACAATCCCTAATGTTAATGTTTTGACAAATTTGCCCTGCTGTGGTGCCGCAGATGATGTTGTGCAAAACAAAGTCACTATTGACATAATCAAAAATATCTTCATAATTTCAATGTGTATATATACAATTTCTATTCCATAAATCTGTTTATTTAAAAAATAAAATAGAGTTGAAAGGAAATAATCATATTAGCTAGGCAAGGGAATATATAAACAGCGGTTGCCTTGTAAACATCTGTTTTAAACTCTTATTAACAATGTAGACGAGCATACAATGGGCTTGTCAATAATGCTGCACCAGTTACCGTGTCACAATTTCCTGGATATTTTCAGTTTCAAATGCTTTACAAGGAACCTCAATGTAGCACACTATTTTCTATATGAACATGCATGGTATAATATGATGGATAAGTCAGTTTTGTACGGTATATCCTTATTTTCCATTCTGTTTCCAATCTTTTTTACAAAATAAATGACAAATAAGTTGATCGTCAGGTCAGTTGAAATACATTTTATTAGCTAAGTACAGTTTCACTCGTTATATCACTACAGAAATATGCTCTGCAGAAATTCATTTAAAATTTAAATGTACCGGTACATACTTCGTGGCATGGTGCATTTGTATCTAATTATTACCATTCGACAATCACATTAAAAAGTCGTAAATATATTGCAGTGACATTAATGAAAAAAAAAGCTTCTGCTGCTATTTATAATTTATTCTATAATTTTAAAGTTTGGTTTGGGCTGTTACCCAGGCTGATCAGTCAGACTTTGGTTAAGTTTTTATTGATTTTCAATGGCTGTGCTCGAAGTCAGCTAAAAAATTAACCAAAAAAGCATGAAGGTCTTTTCAATGGACAATTAAAAAAGGCCACCAGAAATTTTAGAGACTCCAGCTCCTAGCCATCTAATTATATATCTCGAAAATACTTTATTGAGGAGTTAATTTATTATATCAACTCAAGTTCCATACTAAATTTGTTGCCTAAATTAAACTCCTTCGTTTAATTATAAAATAAATCCTTATATAGGCTATTCCAAGTGACGCTACTGGACAATTTTAGAAATTTTGCATGTTGTTAGATGCAATAGCCTATATTTTTACATTTCCAGCTACAAGTTTTGTGTTATTGTCCAATCAGTTGCTTTATGGGGTTGGAACAAAATTGCACAAAACTTACATACAAGACTTACTTAGTGGATATAAAATATATATTAAAATATAGCGTGACTCCACAGGACAGCAAATCCACCATGCATTACCGTTTCACTGTGTTGATGGTGCAGTAGCTGAAGAACCCCTCTATGAGTTGCTTAATAAGTAACTTACCGTAATGTAAAACTGTAGATCCATGCCAATAATGGGCACAATGTATGTGACTCTACCGGCATGACTCTACAGAACATTTGCCCCATTTTGGAACAGCACCCTCTATCATCTCTTAAAATTCTGGTAATAAATTGTTAGATAGGTCCTACAGCACTGCAAACACCTAGGCTTTATTGACTTAAGTTCCATTAGTGGTGGTAGCCTAAAAGTCTCATTGCGCGCAGCGCATTAGGAGCAGCGCGATCAGTGCATCTATTTGAAATTAAATAACTGTACCACATAATCAAACATTTTGTGTTACGATTCATCACAAAACGTGCCTATTATATCAAAATTCCGATGCTCCTGAAGTATGCGCACCAAGATGTCGCATAACCTGAACCCTAACCTGGTACACAATCTGAATTCAGGTTGTGCGCCATCTTGGTGCGCATACTTCAGGAGGTCCAAAATTTCTTTATTTCAGGCCACTTTGTGTAAATTATCAAAAACCTGGGTGGAATTTTAAATTTATCCATGAAATGAATGCAGTCCAATAACCTTCAATTGTCTTTTGATATAAAATATACAAAACAATTACTTTCACTTTTTTTTTTATAAATTGATGAAATTTAACATTTGCTTGGAATGGCCCATATATGATTGAGAATGCCTGAATTCAAATATAAATCTATAAAAATTTTAATTTTAAAGGAAGAAAACATAAATAAAATGGTGATGGCAAGATCACTAGGAAAAAAATATAAACAAGATACTGAAATATGTTACAGATATACAAGGAACAAAAGATCATTATGTCAAATTGGTTATTGGGCTTACAATGTTAAAAATATCAATTTCCCCCTCCCCCCAGGTACTGTAAAAAGTAGCCTACTGAAGTAAATTTGAATCTGAAAACAGCTTACATAAATTACTGGAGAATTATCATGATTCAATCTAAAACGAGAAATAAAATTAGGAAATAAAAAAAAGAAAAATATATAAATACAGATAAAAATCAGTAGAGAAAATGCCCATGTTTGATCCCTGATAATACAATAAAAGTTAAATTAAGTTCTCATTCTCACATACTCAAGGGCCTGAATAGAAAATGATATGCTGATCTAATTGCAGAATTGGAACAACTCTGAAAGGCTAAATTAACTTACAGGTTTTGGGAAAATAAAAATCTTCATGCTCAGCTAATAATATTTTTGTTTCAAATTTAGTATGATGAAATACTGAAATAGGATATGGTATTTTGAACTCTGTTATCAGGTCTTGGTACAAAAAAGCAAACCCAACCGAAAGGATAGGATAGGATTTACATATTTATCCCGGGGGAGAGGAAAGCCGATAAGACGACTTATCCATATGGCGAACCACGGCTTCTCGTCCGGTTACCATTCCAAGTCGGGTATGGGATTAGTTTTACTGTATTGTTTGTTTTCGGAAGCATGGACTTGGTGGTGGAGGAAGCCGTAACCGACCAGCGGTTACGTGAACCACCCAACGACGGCGAGGAGTCCAGCAATCCTCTCGCACATAACCATCTTTGCATGGGATTCGAACCTGCGAACCCACGCAGAGTAGTCAGAGGTGCGGTGGCGAGCGTATTCCTAACGCTTAGCCCGTTGAGCCACACCGCCGCGCCACAAACGTTTACAGGTTTAATCGAAAATTTGCAAACGTTTACAGGTTTAATCGAGACTCTAAGTATAAGTTTATTTCGACTCCATAATCAGCATAACAATAAAATGATTGGTAAAAATTAATAAATAAAAACTGATTATGAAATCCGGAGACAGGATGAACAAACAATAATAGGCTACAGTAATAATTTGATAAACGTAACCTATCCTGCCCTCACCGTCGTGTGGCTAACGTTAACTATACTAACATAAATCGAAATATTTTTAAATATATGACAGATAACGATAGATTCAAAAATTTCTACAGTAACGAAACATATAATAACTTATCGTATCGTATCCCCCAAAACACCCTGTTTCTCCAACTGCAGAACTACCCCAAGTCAACGACATTACTGCATTACGACACGCGTAAAAACCAAAGACGTGTAGACGGAGTCATACGCCAGCAGCAGAGAATGAGCGATTGGTCTCGTGTTCGACAGGAATAAGCACCAATAAATGTTTGAAAATTACAACAGGGTGGCAGGTTCAAGTCCATTAATTAACATAATATTCTTAGTGTAGCAATGATAGACATCATATACATTGATAGAAAATATACGTAACAAAATATCCCCATAAAACAAACAAAAACAGTTTGATCGATTTTGCGATTATTGCCTCGGTGCTTCAATGTGAAAAGTGTGTTGGGAATATTAGTTATTGACCTAAGGTTAAAAGTTTTGTTCAAATTGTTCTATTTTATTATTTGAAAATCAGTTACAACCATTAACTGCAACCACGCTGTGTTGTACAAATGTATTTTCCCTGACCTTTGACACCAGAAATTTTCTTCAATATTATTCTGTATTATATTCTAGTGTTCACAATCGCATTGTTTGTGGAAATTAACCTCCGCTAGTCACTGCTATAGTGCTTCATATAAAACACCCCCTCTACTCTAGTGCTAAATATAAATTTTCAGTCCTGAGAGTTTCAACGGATTTGAGCATTTATTGAGTATGTAGAAAAATTAAGTTCTTGATTCCGATATTATCAGTTCTGTTAAAGAGAAAAAGTCTATCCGAATAAAAAGATATATGGCAGCCAACATTCGCGCTGATTTAGCTGTTCTCAATAATGCTGCCAGCAGTTCACATAGAGATTTATCTGAAAGGTGAGATAAATTTATGCTTGCAAATGTAACTAGTGATCATCTTCTAACTAAGCAATGTATTTTATTGAATCACGCAATTAACATGATTCAAATGATATCTATCAATTTTGTCTTACTCTGCCTTGGCATATTGTTCATTTGAAGTTGTTCAATATTTATCTGAATATACTGATATACAATTACCTAGTTAAGCTAGTAAGGAATCCATGTACAAATTATATACATTTTTTACAATTTGTTTTCTTTTTGGAATATAGGCTATTTGTTCAATGAAATTTTCCTTGCGTTTTGCTGTTGGTGGTATAGAATTAATATATTTACCGTTATCTTTGGGCTAGTTGGGATAAGATTTACTTCCTTTACATTTTTATGCCCTCAAACTTTCTCAATCTCTACTATTCTGTCATTATTATAAAATGACATAGGTTTTCTATTCATAAATTGCTTCTGGTTATGTTTTGTCTCCACAAACAATGTGTATTTCTCAATAATGCTGCAATGTGTACTTCCATTATTGTTTTTTCAAGTTTTTTGTGGAAATAAATTCTTCCTTTCCTCAAATTTTCAAGCTTATCAAACGGCATATTTTCCTCAGTCCATAGAAAAAGTGTGGTAATCTGATAGTAACAGAGACAAAGAAACTGTGCTAGCTCACAGTAAATGCATTGGAGTCTTGAAAATATTATTGCAATCCCTTCACCTGTCTGCCTGTGTATTAGTCATCAATCATAAATAAACATATTTCAGGACATGTCTATATTTTTATACCTTTCAGATATCAACACATATTAGAAGCATGCTTCAAGTTGGTTGATAATGAAAAAGTTTCCGCATTAAAGATGTTTATAGATGCAAGTTAGTGTTGCTGAATATAAATTTCAACTTGAGTACTGCGAATATATGCATGTTAGGCCCTTTATATGTAATTATCCTTTTACCTTATTTTAGTTCTTATTGATTTTTAGTGGTGAATGAAAATGTGAGTCAAATAGTATCTCGTCAATTGATGACAGAATTTTGCCAACATTTATCTCAGCTTAATAATGCTATGTGTAAGGAAGTCTGTCATTTTGCACTGGATCGAATTCAACCAAGAGTAATTTCATTCGAAGAACAGGTATTTTTATCAAGTTCATGAAAAATGATTAACAAAGTTTAGATATAAACTGGGATGTAATCTATTTTCAGTCGTTTGGCATGAATATTTGTTATCATTCCTATGCCTTTCTAAATTAAGTCTGTGTTTCCCTTTTATTTTTTTCTTTCATCCTTATTACATCTGGAGTAACTCCTTGAAATATAACATCAATTTTTTTTTTAATGGTATTTAAACCAACTGATATATATCCTATTCTGTTTAGTTGGCTATATGGTTATCTATCATGAAGTTTAAAACTGTGTCCTTCCCTGGCATCAGGGTAGTTTTAGCGTGCAGGCAGAATGTATCTACGTAGTAGTAGGCTACATGTTTTAAATTTCAAATTCAAATAATGTAATAAGAACTCAAGTTCAAGAACCTATCAAGGTTTCATATCTTTGTTTTTACATAAAGGTACACGTCTCATAAAAACATCTTTAAAATACTATTCAGGTTGCTCAAATCAGACAACATTTAGCAAAAGTTTATGAAGATGAAGAATCATGGAAAGACGCAGCTACAATTCTTGTTGGAATTAACATTGAATCAGGACAGAAACAATATGATCATGATTATAAGGTAACATTCAAAATATGAAATACCCAGTTTCAGCTGTGTAACTTGGAAAAGTTGATAATGAACTATATGGCTGTGATTATGGGTCTGAATCTGAACATGACTTTTCTTTTTTCATCATTGAAATTTCCCTCAATTATTATTCGCCTTGGGTTAGTTTGTTGTTAGTGAGATACGATACCCAGTGTTCTTAAAACTTTCTTCATCACAATCCACTTGGCACAGCTAGATTTTTTTGCAACCCCCAGGAACTGAAATGAGTAAAATTTAATAATACAGAAAATATTGAAAAAAATAATAAAATTCTCGCACCAAAGATCAAATCTTGCCTCCATTTGTTTCCAAATGTGACTGATATTTTATTTCAACATAAGTTAGTGCAGAAAAGATTTTACTGCGACCCCCATTTAGCCTTTTGCTAAGTATAATACCTGTACTTTCTTATTTCAGTTAGAAACATACTTGAAAATTGCGAGATTATTTTTGGAAGATGATGATCCAGTACAGGCAGAAACCTATATCAATAGAGCATCTATGCTACAAAATGAAACCAAAAATGAGCAATTACAAATCCATTATAAGGTGAGGTTCTTACTAGATAGATAAAGAAAAAAGATAAATTTACAGCGGATTCATAACTCGGACTGGTTGAACAAAATCTTGACTTCCTACTCTAGCTTTGAATTGCAAGAAACCCAAATTTTCATTATTAAAACTTTCCAATTCATTACCTCAGCGGTTTCCAAACCTTTTGTTTGTGCGGCGCCAACGTAAAAAGAATTGCTGCTTTCATATGTGTACTTCATGTCTTTTGAAGATTGTAAACATGTGTAGGCTTAAAGTATAAAGGCAGAAGGTCAATATTAAAAAAATCACCCATGCTCGTTAACTCTGTTCAGCAGATAATTCATGACATTGCATTGTGTGTCTACCTCTATTGTTGCGTAACAATAAAGGCAGACACTATGAAACAGAAAGTAAACGACATATAAATGTGAAATGTATTTATTTATTTATTCATATAAACAGCATTTAAAAAAAGAAACAAAACACTTTTAATAAATACAATAAGTGGAGTATTCAATCATATATTAGTTATATTTAACATATTTATGTTAATTTTCGGGGCGCACTTAGAAAATCGCCACGGCGCACCCTTTGGGAACCGCTGACTTTGTTGAGAATGTTTATTTAACCTGATGGTTTATGAGTTTCAATTGTTTTCAAATTTTAAATTCCGATACCATCCTATAAAAATCCGTAGTTCCAACTCCCAACTCTGTACAATTCAAAATATCGACTTCAGACTCCAGTAGGTTTGAAAATAAGGCCCCATATCCTACTTCATAATCAGTAGGAATGTAGAACGCCAACTCCACTTCTCTGATCCTAGCTGCAAGTTTTGGTGCTCCCGAAGTATGTGCACCAAGATGGCGCACAACCTGAACATAATATGTGTACCAGGTTAGGGTTATCAGGTTGTGCGCCATCTGGTGCACATACTTGTGGAGCGCCCTAGTTTTGATGATTTTCACATCAATGCTAGTTTTCTGAGCAAAAGAATTAAATGAACCCTAAAAAATTAAAAACTTAGATGTTGAGTTCAATTGGTATTTGCTGATGCTTGCTAACTTTCTTCTGATTTGAGTTTCCTTTCCCCTACACCTCATGGGTTATGATCTCTCTTGTACCAAATTTATGAAAATGCAATTTGAAAAGTTGAAGTATGTTATTATATCAATATCAATGTCCATATCAAATCATATGTTATTCAGGTATGTTATGCAAGAGTGTTAGATTACCGCAGAAAGTTTATTGAAGCTGCTCAACGATACAATGAATTATCATATCGAACTACGATACATGAGGACGAAAGAACGAAAGCATTAGAAAAAGCTTTACACTGTGCAATATTGGCTCCAGCTGGCCAGCAAAGGTAAATTACTTCATCAGGTTATAATCTATGTATCATATTATACTTCAGGGTGGTCCAAACCGCTGCCTGCCGACACATATTGTGCGGCCCGCAGAACAATTTTAGTGTGCAGTGTTGTGCACTAAATCATTGGCAGATATTTGTATTTTTTGGCAGAACATTTTTGAGTTATTTTAAACTATTCCCGCGAACTGGGAATAGCCCTTTTCCTAATCCCGATTCCCGATGTTGGGATTCATGTTCGTTTCAATGTTGTTTTTATAAACGTCAATACGGTGCCAGTATGGGAATGACGGCCTGTGATCGGTATAAGATGATGGATTGTCTTGTACAGACAGGACCATGCCGATGAGATGGGTCGCGCTTTTTATCAAAAATTCGTACCTTGAGCTCGCGTCAAGCAACTCCTCATTTGGAGAGCTGTTTTGTGCCTTTATTTTATTAAAGCACTTCTCTATTTTCAAGCGTTGGCCATGTGGCTCGGCTGACTTAGAGCCAAGCAATCCAGTTTTTTTTTAACTGGGTTCGGAGTTCCATCTTAGACGAACTTGGTTGTTCTTTGACAATAGCACCAAGCCTGCTCTTTCCACAAGTAATGAACTTAGTCAAATATAACAATTCATCATACAATGAGTGTAAAAAAAGGTGACCGAGGTAAACTCAATTCCTAACCCACAACAACTTTTAACCACAGTGTCTGGTGTGTTTTCAAGTAATATCTGTCACGAAAGAATATAATTTGAAGCGACAATACAAAACCGAACACAAGAAAGAATACCGAAAATACCACTGTATTTCTCGAGGAGCAGTTTTAAAATAACTAAATGCTTTATATATCTACCTTATTAAAAAACTGATTAGGACGAAAAACTCTTTTCTAAATATACGTAAAGTCGCGATGTTTAGATCAATTTTGGGTTCTTTCTGACCGCGACTCGCAAAACATCCACAAAAAATTTTGCGGCCCGCCGACCTCTCAACCTTGGACCACCCTGTTATGCTTTATATATTATCTTTTCTTCGATTGTATGCCTTATAAGCCGGTGCGCCTAATGTATGGATCAGGTAGTTCTTTTTGCTTATTGCCTACAATCCAAACGAGTATTGTTGTGTCTTATTGCCCGATGCGCTCTATGTATGAATAAAAACCCAATCTAAGCAATTTATTGACAGTGCGCTATTATGTTCGATTTATTGTATCTATTTTTAAAATACTACGATACTTGTCTGATGAAAGTATGATTTTATTTTAATCTTTAAGATCAAGAATGTTGGCAACTTTATTCAAAGATGAACGATGTCAGCAATTATCTTCATTCGGTATATTAGAGAAGATGTATTTAGACAGAATAATTCGTGCTGATGAATTAGAAGAATTCGCCAACCAGTTGATGCCTCATCAAAAAGCAACAACAGCAGATGGTGAGATTTTTTTTTTGAAAATCCTCTTTTCATGAATGTGTTGAACCATTTTAGGTGAAAAATTTTTTAATATTTAGAATTTCAGCAAATGGTTTTGAAGATTATAGTCAGTAGTGTTTTGACATCTCCCTCTGCCTTGAAACTCCATATTTTCACAATTATATGATGAAAAATAAAATACAGTTATGACTTATATTTCACAGGAACAAGTATTCTTGATCGTGCTGTCACTGAACACAATCTCCTTTCTGCCAGCAAATTGTATAACAATATTACATTTGAGGGCCTCGGCGCTCTCCTTGAGATATCAGCAGATAAGGTATTATTCTGTTTGTCATTAGATTATAATATAAAGAAGAGATTCCTAGATTGAACATTACCTTGGACTCTTATACACGATGCTCAATTTCACAAATACAGGTTATTCTTTAAAGCAGGGCTTCCCAACCTGATTGTCACACCCTGCTGAGGGTCGTGCACGGATTTTAGGGGGCGCAAAGAGTACACCAATTTCACACATAGTACTGTATGTATTGTACTTTTTTAGACTTTTGATTGGAAACACAATTATTAAAACTGGTGCAAAACATGAATTTTACAATTTCAAGAGAACACATGGGATCAGAGAATGCTAACCTTGATTGTAAAACCCGAGAAGATGTGCGCTTGCATAACAATGCTGACTAAACAGAGGTTGCTGAAAACATATATTAAAAAGCGGTTGCGACTTGCGAGATTCAAAATTTAGGAAGCCCTGTTTCAAAGCTATATTGATTTATATATCTATCCCAGTGTTGAATAGAAGTACCGAAGCCCCAAGTCGAGCCAATCTCTGAGTTAAGTTTCACTGGTCGTTAGGTGATGGCAAGTTGGAGTCTTTTCATTTAGATGACTTGAGTCTTTGATAAATGGTGATATGAGTCCAACTCTGGTTGATTTAATGACTCAGAAAACATCCCAAACACTGATCCATCCCCACTGCAGTTAGTTAACATACACCTATGTGAAGCTGTGATAACCTTTTGTTTGCATTGATGCTTTTTAGGCAGAAAAAATTGCATCACAGATGATAAGTGAAAACAGAATGAGTGGTTATATTGATCAGATTGATGGCATTGTTCATTTTGAAAGTAAGCTTGTTAATAATATTTTACTCTGCTATCGTATAGCATTAGCAATATACTCAGATGTAGTCAATTGCATTATTCAAGATGAAAAATAAAATTAATCAAATGTACCATCTATTTTTAAAGCAAGGGAAATGTTACCAATGTGGGACACTCAAATTCAATCGTTATGTTTGGAACTCAATTCTCTGGTTGATAAAATAACAGCAGCACATCCAGATTGGGCCGCAGAAACAATGGAACAATTAGTTTCACCCAAAGACTGATATTGAAGATTACGCATTATGAATGTGTCTACAAGTTTAAGAGCTGTGAGCAACTTAACTCAACTCTGTGCAAAGCCGTTCAGAATTTCACCCTTTGTATCGAAGTAGAGGTTCACAGTCAATGTTGAAATTCCATTGTTTCAGTAAAGTTTTGCATATTTATATTCAATATTTGATTACTGCAATACCTAGTACTCAATGCTTTCAAATTTGTTTCGCAAAGCCTGTGGTAATAGAATGATATTTTTGGCCTTTGAGACTCTTTTTTTTGCGATAATCTGGACTTATGGAACCATAATAGTTTCTAAAATGAGAAACATTGCAAAAAATATACTTAAAACACATGGATGACTTTACTTATTGTTAGAAGCCAGTTTGTTGGTTTGTTAGTCAGCAACGAATCACGATGGATATAATGTTTTGTATCGTAAACCTCTCTTCAATGAGTAGAATTTTTCTGTTAAAGCTGAGCCATTGCAATTTGTTGAATCATAATCCGGCTGTGACCCGTGAAGGTTTATATAAATATATTATTGATTACTATGATAGGATTTTCATATTTGTCATGGGTGACGCAGTCTGATTGGGATCCTACAGATTCGATATAATTTTTCGTCTCTATCCCGGGCTTCCAATGCGAAAATTTTCACTTTCATTGAACATTTTCTCTTCTGTTATGCTGTTAATGGGAGTCTAGATATATTTGTAGGTTTGAATGCGGTATCGTAATTGCTCACGGTATCGACAGAAGGGTTCGGAAGGTAGAAGAGTCCTTAGAAGATCAATATATAGGCTTTTTGGGTATATTTTTGAGCCTCTTCGAGGTAGGACTGCAACGCTGCGGACGACTTTCCGCCATTTATTATCTTATGCACAATCCTGGTGTGATTATCAGCAATATGACTGATTTATCCTGTTTTACATGGATTTCTGTCATGAGAATAGTCTCGAAATAATCGAGAAAGAACAAAAATCCCACTTCGAAAAACGAACATCGTAAGATAATAAAGAAAGATGCGATTTTAACGAGTGATATGAAAATTGTGTGTTCCTTTTTAAATGCGATACTCGAAAAACAATTGTACAATCTATGCTATAATTTTATCTGTCAAAATAATAACTTATAAGTGCGAGTTGTTCATGTGACTTAGTTTATTGGCGCGACCGTGTGGCTCACCGTGCTAAGCGTTAGGAATACGCCCGCCACCGCACCTTTGATTACTCTTCGTGGGTTCGCACTTCGCAGGTTCGAATCCCATGCGGGGATGGTTATGTGTGAGAGGATCGCTGGACTCCTCGCCGCCGTAGTGTGGTTCACGTAAATAAATATGTAAATCCTATTTCATTGTAATATATTACCGGAGAAAATAGAACCTTTTGGAGGCAGACTCTTGATCCTTTGCTGTTATATATATCGAATTAACAAACATCACGGCTGAACACATCAACCTATTAATCCTTTCTGTTTTGGAGTCAGACCTGCCAAATAATTATTTGTGCGAATATCCGCATAGTTAGACCTAGACTTGGCCTAGACATATAATTTCAAACAATTATTAGACACGAAGTGGATCCATAGATGCGTTTCGCTATCGGCACGGCGGTGTGGCTCAACGGGCTAAGCTTTAGGAATACGCTCGCTATCGCACCTCTAATTACTCTGCGTGGGTTCGCAGGTTCGAAGCCCATGCAGGGATGGTTATGTGCGAGAGGATTGCTGGACTCCTCGTCGTCGTTGGGTGGTTCACGTAACCGCTGGTCGGTTACGGCTTCCTCCACCACCAAGTCCATGCTTCCGAAAAACAAACAATATAACTAATCCCATGCCCATTGGAATGGTAACCGGACGAGAGGCCGTGGTTCACCATATGGATAAGCCGTCTTATCGGCTTTCCTCTCCCCCGGGATAAATATGTGAATCCTATCCTGTAAATCCTATTGTGTTGTTGTTGTTAATGAATTCGTCTAAATTTGAAAAACAAAAAATATCTATATTTTAAATACTAATTTAATCAGAACCCTTTTTTCTGATAATATAAAAATTATTACATATTACTCTTTTTTAGAATTTCTTTTTCATCACGGACCCGTTAAATTTCCAGAAAAAAAAAAACAGAACCTGGAAAAGTTGTATGAGGAACTCAAAACTATCGTTTATCTATTCAGACTGAGAATGGATCTCTTGTATAAAGCCCCCGCCAACAATGCGAAAATGCGAGATTTGACAAAAACTTTGTTGGTTTGTACATAGGAGCCTGAAAATTTATTGAACCCGAAAATTTTTAAGATTGATGGGTAAAATTTCGGCCGCGAATTTAACAACAACTAACAACAGGAAGGGTTACGAGCTTATCGAACACAAAGTGTACATATTTTCGTTCAACCCTAAACTTACATTTATTCAAAGGGAAACCTTGCCTATTCCGCTTCCAACTTTCACGAGTTGTTAGCACTTGCGCGTCGCATGACATACGTATCTATCTGCCAGTTTGTCTTGTGTGCCATTACAATGGACGGGTTCGGTACCATACGAAACCACAGTCGACGCCCCCAACATGTTGCAAGTTTCCTGGTTTCATGCCATTGCGACTTATACTCAGTCAATAATTTTTTCGTTATGACTCAAGGATCGGCACTTCGTAGGTTTGAATCACATGCGGGGTTAGTTACGCGTGAGGTTTGCTCGACTCCTGGGCACCGCAGGGTAATTCACGTAGGTGTTGGTCGGTTACGGCTTCCTTCACCATCAAGTTCATCATGCATCTGACAACTAATAACTGGCTAACTATACCCGATCCCATTCCCGACATGATAACTGGACAAAAGACCCAATGTTCGCCATATGATTAAGCCGTCTTATCGACTTTCCTATGGGGATAAATATGTGAATCCCACCCTAGAAAATTTGTCCCAATGCAACTGCACATGCCTATTTAATATTTATTCAAGCGAAGGCTAAATGACAGTATGAAATTCTTCACAATATAGTTTCATATCTAGATTCGGTTTGACTTGGAGAATTCAATATTTGGTTACACTGACTAGGGTCAGGTGAAATGCAACATCAGATCCACAAAAAATGGTATGGTGTTATGTATGATATACAGTGATATCTAATAATAAATATACTAAATTGAAGTGCTATGATTCCAGAAATATGGGCATATCATGTAATGATGAACACACTGCAATATGAGCTTGTTTTGGAGGTTATATTGACCTCAGAACTGGTAAAATGAATAGTTTGGAATATCAAAGAGAAGGTTTACCAATTACCATGGTTATTTACAGCTGATAATGGATGGAGCATTATTGTCCCAGTGTCTGGCACACCAACAAATAGCAAAATCAGGACTTGACATAATGAATACAATATTCCAGACACAGGGACAAAAGAAAAGGGAAGAAAGCAAGGTAAGTGCAAAAACATATTAGAGCATAAAGTTTAAAATGTTGGAAGGCCAGAACCGTGCGACATAAAAGTTTGCTTCAATTTAAGCTTCTTTTGTAGTGATAGAGAAGATAATGAAAATGGATTGAAATAAGAATACAATGTCTTGTCTGTGGGAGCGCCTTATCTTATCACACAATTATATATTACCTTTCAACCCAACAAAGTCTGAAGGAGAATTATATAAAACATAGCGCAAAATATTTCAAACATATTTAAAAACATCATACATGTCGCCAGTTTTGCCACTCTCTCGCTCTATATATATATACATAAATAAGCCACAAGGTTTTTAAAAATGGAATAAAGTATAAAATTACATGAATTAAGGACTGCAATAGCATCACCAACTACAATATCATAAAAGCATAAAAATATGAACTAGGTATATACAAATGGCACAGTATTTCATGATTATTGGTGATCAATGCCATATAAGGCATGATACGAATGATGCTTATGCATGAATAATTCAAAAATTCTGATTTTTAATCATTGACGTACCAAAATAAAATTTGATATACTTTAAAATCAAATATTTAGAAAAATTTTTTGTAGAGCAGCAATTTAGTCTTGGACCATTATAATAAAATTGAACAACTTTCTCAAGTACCATAAAAATTAAAGTAGGCGTAAAATAATATTTTGTGCATCTGTAGCTGAGGGTAATATATTCTCAAGAAAATTTGACATCATGATGAATATTGACATGTCCGTTCTTAGTGTAAGGTGCAGGATTGTGAGAAGATGGTATACCACCATTTAAATTTTGATTGTGTACGCTTACCTCAACTAATTTAAACAAGTCTGAGTCAGATTTAAGATCATGTCCCAAATCTAGCATTTTTGATGAAAGTGTAGGTTTTATTTTTTCCTTTCTTGCCATTTTCATTCTGTATTTTTCATAAGTATACAAAACAGCTCCACTTAAATTTACAATTTGTCCAACTATCATCAATGCTGTGGCAGTCACACCACCAAATGTATACATTCCTGAAATAAAAATAAATTGATTACCTTAGACTAAGATACTTCAGTTTAAAAACATGATAAGATCCAAACAATTAAAATAAAGCTAAACATTTTATGTAGTTGACTGTTTTCTTTATAAACGGCAAGTCTTAAACAAACAAGAGAACATAGGTAAAAACGTTTTTGTCACACACATTTTATAACAAGAGCTGAGGAGCAGGTTCGAAACCACAATGGCTCCAGAGTCTCAGTATATTTAAACTGTGGCTCCAGCTTCGGCTCCCATTAGGGTTTTTGAGCTTGATCACAAACGTGGAACATCAGCCCGTTTGCAGTTATGAGGAAGTAGACTCAAAACTGGTATATAAAGGAACTAATTTGGGAATTAAACTTTTGAATATGAATTCAACTTGAAACTTTGAATTAATATCAGGAATTGAAATTTATAGAAAAAATTTTTGTATCAAGTATCAGAAAAATAGTAGTGAGAAAAAACAATTAGATGGTGCTAAGGCTACTGAAATTTCTGGTAGCCACGGCTCCACCAAATTGTCACAGTTCCATGGATCTGACAGTTCCGATTATAACAGGGCTTTAGTATTGTACTTGTGAGGCATTCTGAATCATGTGACATTATTTCAATACCTAGAAATTCTACTTGGACTTGACTAGAGTGGAAGCGTAAAAATAGATATGCTATGATCTTTCAAGATTTGTTCAGATTGTTTATTATAATTGCACTTACCAACCATCGTTGTAATTGCACTTTTAGCCACTCCTACTAATGCAGTTGTAAGAGCGGAGTTAACAGTTGTGCATAGAAACATAGAATATGTAAATAAGCATCCATATAAAACTAACGCAATGAATGAAATTATGAATCCAGGATTGTGCCAATGTTCAAATGTAACTATAGAGTTGATTTCACCTGCAGGAAAACAAAACAATTAATAAAATGTTATATTTTGACTAATAAGAACAGATTCATATAGCAAGTGAAAATATATTCACAGAAAAGATAATAGTGTAGCAAAAAGAGATAATGATGATTTAGAAAAATTATGTCCTCCAGCTATGGTTGCTTAGTCGTATCTAAACAAAAACCAGTTGTTTTACCATGGATGTTGTATGCTTCCTACATTACATAATAGGTATTTCATTAATGTACATAAAAGACCAGCGTTTCTCAAACTGTGTGCTGCAAGTAATTCGCAGGTGTGCCGCTGTGTATTTTGGAATTTTAGAAAATAAGCTATTCATATTAAACATAGGTGTGCGTGAAACGGGCAAGCTTGTAAGACTTGAGTATCCAATATTATATTGAACTGGTAAGCGGTAATATTATTGTATTTGCCTTATCGCTGTAGTAAGGGTGATTGTCACGTTATAATTGTATTGTTATGTCAAATATATTTGCATACACGACGTACACTTTCCACCATGTTGACTTGCACGCTTTTTAGGAAACAGGAAAGCAAGTTTGGACGAGTCTATCTACTTACAAATTCTATTCAATCATCGGTTCAAAAGCCATCAAAATAAGCTAGCCATTTACATCTTCATGGCTCTGTGAAAACGGATTTTCTGCTATGACTGAAATTTATCAAAGCAAAAAATGGGAGCGACGAAACCTCGTTTCAATTGTTTCTTAAAACTTGGCAAACACATCGCATGAACATTTGCAGAATAATTTGTTCAAAGCTAACTTTGTTTTTTCACAAGTCTGATGCGAAATTATTTTTATTTGTGAGTGCGCTGCGAGCAAAAAAAGTTTGAGAACCACCGATAAAGATGCTTCTAACATTATATTATACAGTGAAGACATCTAGTCAAAACGCCAAGTCTATATGTATTAAATCTCTGAGGCTTACCTGTGCAAATTACTATTAAAGCCATGACTGGTAAACAATTGATGCTATTTATATATGATATGCTCAGTGCACCGATATTGTGTTCCATATCCAATCGCTGAAGAGTGATGAGATAAAGTGCTTGTGATACGATACTTAATACCCCATATACATATCCTTTCAGATCGAAATCAAGATCGCCTATGGCTGGTAACAAAATATGAAAATTAGAACTGACGCCGGCATTAATAACAAAGAAATTAATACGACAGTCAGTAACTTGAGAAGGAAGATTTGAATTGACCAGATATTACTGAAATTGAAGTTAGAAAACACATTTTGTATTACTTTGTGCAAATCAATAACATTGGCAATTATAAAGTTCATTGTTTTATACCAAGCAAAAAATAATGATTCATAACAAAATTACAAAATATTTTGAACTTGAATTACTTACCAGCTATGAATGTTCCTGCAGTTATAATAAAAATTGATATAACAATGTTGAATGTTGTTTTCTGTTTTCTTAACATACAAAATCCTAATACAAGGCTGGCTATTGGCACACATCTTCTAATTGCATTATACATTGGAATGTTCATCCCCGTTAACGCCGACAAAGCTGTAAATTAAAAAACGATAATGTAAAAATAACACTTTATTTAAATGCCAATTTAATGTTTGTTTTTTCATGTGAAAAATGGAATATCGATTTACATTTGCTTAAACGCTAATAAAAGTTATAACAGAATCCATGAAAATAATCCGTAAAACCAAAGTCAGTCATCTTTTGGTAAAGTGCGACAACATACAGACATAGAGAGATTCAAATGAAGAGGTAAGATTCTAATTCTATCAAAAATGTACACTTTTTTACAAACAGAACTATACTCACACATTATTGAATTTACAGAATAAATGACCGTCAGAGGTAAAAATATTCTTGCTTTTTCTGGAGTATAATCCACAAGTGTTATTCGTCCAGCAGACTTCAATACAAATAATCCAAAGGATAAGAAGACCATTTGTGAGAACATGATTATCCCAGGCTCATGAAAAGACCAATAAGATAAAATATATTTGTTCAAGAAATTCATTGAACCCGAACAAAATCCATATAAAATTGTTGAAAATAAAGTCCATTTTAAGGATGCAGCCTCGTCTGAGTCTTTATTCCCCATTGTTGCAAGCTTTGTGTATACAATGTGTTATCAGATTGGAGCTTATTTTCTATTTTAAATCAAGGTAAAACTGTAATAGGATAATTCTCCATCACAGTGTTGAAAATTGGTCCGAACTGTTAAAAAACACAAAACAAAATCAAGACAAGTGGCAACCATTCTAATATTTTTAATATGGTGTGGCAAATAATTATTTATTTATTTTGTTCACTATGTAATTTATATCTTGAGTTTATATATATTTTTTTCAACTTTCTGTGGTTGTGTGTGAATTGATTTAATAGTTTTAGGTGGGGGAACACATACCATTTCTTCTTGGCAAGACTTTTCATCTTATATCTGTATATTCTGTAAGTTTTAAACCGAACCTTATCTAATGTCAGAATGTTTTGTTTGCTCTCCTCATTTCATAAAAGTTTTTATTTATTTGTTCTTCGCAGCCATTTTATTGCCTGTTATGCTGATTATGAAGTCGAAAAAAAAACTAATTGTGTCTAGTCTACATTCAATACAAGTAACCAACGAAAGACTGTTATTTGGTATTCACCTTTCAATTTTCTTCTTCTTACTGTCTTATAACAGTATAAGTTATACCGGTATTCTCCCTAAGTGTTAGTTATTGGGAGAAAGTTAATCATATGCTGGGATAAATTGCAGAAGTCCTGGCTGGCTGTGATTGACTTCAAGTTTAGTTGAAAACTTTTTTATACTATAAATTATTATCAAGAATTTGTGACTGAATACTTAACTTAACAGTTTCTTGCACAAATATTCAACTACAGTATGTAAACGGGAACACTTCCTGACATCTGTAAGCCGTTGGTAGACTATTCCAGAAATCGCAAAATACACAATAGTTTTTCTGGGAACGTCACCAACGAAAACCTGTAAGCGCCGAACGCCACAAATGTCCCGAGGCCGTTTATAAGAATCGTTTCCTTTTTATCCAAGCTGAACAACACCCCGCTATGAAAAAAGTCCTTAACGCACAGGTTATTCTCAATGAATTACAAAATGAAAAACGACTCTGACATCGACATGGTTTATCTGCCAGGGATTGCGCAATCGAATACAGTCTGCGAAATTAATAAATCGCGGAGCATAGCTCAATCAATAGAAACAAAAATTTGCGTATCAATGTCGCAAACCTATAAATTAACTTTTCGCGTTTCATAATAATCATCGTGAACATGGGCAACACCTGTAATCGTAATTTTGTACAGCTAAATAAAGGTCCAGCAATCCTCTCGGGCATGACCCATAAAAACTAACCCTTTGAAGGATAAAATATTCATCCCGGGTTGCTAGCAAGATCGCGACGCTACAAAGACCTTAATAATGTTCAATACAACATTTTAAAGCAATAGCTTTATTGAAACAATATCTGTCGCAAAAGAAAAGCAATGGGTCAAAGCAGGGCCGGCCTCAACTATTGCGAGGCCATATGCGAAACGGATTGCCTGGGGCCCAGTCTCATTATACCTTAAAATTAAGATGTTATATGAAAAGAATTAACTTTAAGATTCTTGCCTGCCCGATGTCCAATCTCAAAAGAAAATGCCATCTTTCCTACATGAAAAGAATAAAAACAAGCCCAACTCAGTTTTATACAGGCTCACATAAATCATTGCCAGTGAGAAAAGAACTATACTCCACAAAGATGGAAACTGCTGATTTAGCGTGGTTCACCCACTTGACCTCCTCTATCATCCAAATCCATGCATATGAAATACTGAACCTTGTAAATGTTTCCATACCCGACTTGGACTGGTTAACGGAGTCGGAAGTCTTTGTCCACCATAATAAAACAATTTTACCATCTTTCCTTTCATACATGATATTAAAATCCCAAACTAATGTTTGAAAGCACAGTGTTTCGTAACATACATCCACTTATTTCAATTGTGAAGCTATCTTCTTTAAATTCAATTATATGATGATGAGTTGTTTTTAAAGAAAGTCTTCGGCAGTGAGGACTGGGACATAATCTTCATCAGTCAAATTCATAGAAGTTTCTGTATCAGGTATTTCGTCATTTCGAATTTCTTGACCAGAACCTAAACCATAAATACATAAACCATAGATAAATGAGTCCTAATTATGGCTATTTAACAAAAAAGGGTAATTGAAGTAATTTTTTCATTCAATCGGGTTTTAGCTAATATATTTTATTCATACATTGCCAGGGAGATGTATTTGTTCCATTTTCATTCATATTTTTGTCAACAATATGCCTAGTATCTAATAGCACAGCATTTGAAAACTGAAGAAGATCTTCATTAACTTGAACACTGGATTCTTGAATTCGTAATGATGCTTGAGAAGGATTTGATGTAGAACCAGAACAAAATGCTTCACGCAATGAAGGTAAAACAGTAACAGTGTGTTGATTTGAAAGAGCATACAATTTCATCGATTCACCATCATAGAAATTTGTCTAAAATAATAATTTACACAAAGCTTTGAAATCATGAATAAACGTAGTTTCTGATTTTACAATGTCACTGACCTAAAGCAAATAAATAGCACAACACAACGGGTTGACAAAAAAAAAATAAGACTTCAGCTACACATTATGAAAAAACATATGAAGGCTGTTATCACCTACAGAAAACGCCATAGCCCACAGTACATTATGAGGCAATGTGTAATACATTATCGGCCAAATGTGAAAGAACGCAAGTGATAATTAGTTGTTACATTTTGTTCAAATGGATATTAACCAGTAAGAGGGTAGAGAAAAGTGTAAAAACTCCCAAGTTTTATAAGAAAGACAAACAGTTTTGCTTTTAAGAATTGAGATAATGGATAAATTACGAACCACAATTTGTAGAATTATAGTCTCAGACAGACAAAACAAAATTTTCAGTTTAATATCACATAAATAAGAGTGAAACTTGATTGAAACATTATGATTTTTGCACAAAAAATAATAACATACAAAAAAGCTACTGAAAATAAAGTCGGTACATGTACAATATGAATATCGAATACACAGGATATATATGAATGAATAAAAATAGTACCTGAATCGAATGATCTTTTGATATAATGTGGGTTGCATTGTTGGTTGATGCCTTACTGTGTACAGTTTTTCCATGAATTAGTGGTATATTTTTTGGAAATATGACCTAAAAAAAGTACACGATTGAATTTAATATAAGAAATCCTTGCTGCTGTTTCGTTGATGTTGTCACATATTAGATAAATCGTCTGTAGTATTTAAGTCAAATGATCAAAATATATGGATAAAATCAATTTGATGAATTGTTGTAAGGAGTTTTATTCTTCTTCAAATCAAAATATTTGAAAGATGCACTGCAGGTCTTCAGCAGACCGAGGTCACAGCTGTATAAGAATGTTATGTATATGGCAACCAAGGAAGGTGAATCGAAATGACAAGAAGATGTGACTTGAATTTGACCGATGTAATCAAATAATGGATGCATTAGAATCTATGTATTTTTGCTATGTCCACGAACAATATAATTTACGATCCATATTATTATCTTCAGCTTTTGCATAAGATCACTTTACCTGGTCATTCTTTTTGAGTTTCTTCTTATTCATAGAATTTTTTGACTTTGCATTGTTCAGTTCTTTATATTTTTCTGCATCTGTTTCTCCTTTTCTTTCATGGATTTTTAAATGACGATTGAGATGTTTTTTCGCCTGACATAGACAACGCAATTTAAGTAATAAATGCTTACCCTGTGAATATAAAATTAATTGTGGAACTGTATTGTGTAACTGGTTAGCTATTCCCATACCTCACAGTCACATGGACCAGTAACTGGACTTGGATTGATTTGTAAATATTACCTTTTTTCCACTTGGCATATAAATACACTTTCTTGTGTGAAAGCGCATGCATATTTTTTACATCAATATAAAACATGCTATAATACCTTGAAACGTGTCAAACATATATCACATCGGAAAGGCCGTTCATTGCTGTGAGTCACTGAATGCAGTTGAAGATAACCTTTTGAATGACACTTGTATCCACAAATATCGCATACATAATTAAAGGGAGCTGAAAATGAAGAGAATTACAAATGAAAAAAAAATTATTTTTCTTCAACTAATAAGTGCTTAGTAAAGTTTCTCTCGATATTTCTTTTGTTACATAATTTTAAAATATGAAAAGAGTTAAAAATATTGAACCTGACAACTATTTATTCATGTATTTTGTATTGGGTGGTAACAGACTCATATCGTTACCACCTAGTCATATACCAAAATCATTGAATACATCTTTTGTTTACATTTAAATGTTTGTTAACAGGTTTGACAAAAAGCAATAAATTTTTTTTCTTTCTATAAATTTTACCAAAATTTTAGAACCATATCAGTAGTTCTAAATAACCAATTCCATCAGATGGTTCAGGATTGAAAATAATGTTGGCTTTCGTCTCTTTATTATTCAAGCTAGAATTAGTGAAAGAACTGTGAATCATAAGCTAGTTATAGTTGAGTTCTTTAATCTCAAACCAGTGATTATCAAACATTGCATTCTATTTGATTAGGTAATTTATGAAACAAATCATGCCAATTGCTGCTGCATAAAAATCTGGGATGAATTTAATAATTGGAAAGATTCACCTACGGTATGTTGATACACCTATTCAAAAATGGGATTATATATATCATGTAGGCTTTTATAATAATTAAATTGGTGTTTCTTATATGAAGATCTATTCATCTTCTGACCTGAATGCTTTCTTTCATGAACATTGAGTCCAGCTTTTTGTTTGAATGTCTTACCACATTTACTACATTTGAAACGTCGACTATCATCATGAGTTAACATGTGATTTTTCAAGTGCTCCGCACGTCCAAATGATTTTGAACACTTATCACATTTAAAAAGTTTTTCGCCTGATAAAAAATGAAAACACATAAATAAGATAAAAAGAACATCACAAGAAAAAAATGAAGGAAAAACAAGACAAAAAATACAAATCATTCTAATTATTATCATATGTCAAGAACCTAAAAAAGATCACAAACCAGAGTGTGTCAATTTATGTCTTATGAGTTCGTGATTAGACTTGAAAGCAGCCTCGCATTTGTCACATTGAAATGGTCTACGTAAAGAATGGCTTTTCTCGTGTCTTTTTCTCAATTGAATAGTAGC